GAGTATTCATACAATTTTTTTTTTCGAAAGTGGACATAAGATAATATTTTATATGTCATTGATATCATCCTGTCGTGTTTGATAATAGATTGTTGATAAGGAATCGCATTTAAGAGGAAGTATCGAATATCAGCACGATGATTATGTGAATGAATACAAAATTCAGCGTGCTATAATTAAAATTAATTTCTAAAAATCTATCTATACGTAAGCGTACGAGAAAATTCAATAAATTCGAAAAATATAGTAATAATAAAAATTGACGACAAGCCAAATTACACTCGACTTAATTGAGAATTCTAATTGTGTGTAGGTACATAAATTCATAAAGTTGTGGTTGTTCCTTATTTCTCTTTGCGGAGTTTCTCGTCAATTTACGACAAAATTTAAATGCATAAAAATTAATGAACGATGCTCTTCGCAATCCGCAATCCTCCATTTCGGATTTTATTGCCAAACTGGTATGATTTCTTCATTAAATTTCCATTCGATTTACGAAACAATATTTTTATCTGTCCTTGCGCGCCCGTGAGAAATGCAAATGCGATTTTTACACGAATTACCTTTAATTAAAAGTAACGTAATGTTCCTTCACGGTACGGTAAGCTAGAAATTTCAGTTGATAAATCGTAAATAAATGGCTTAGTTTATATGAAGATCGGTTATTTTTTCTTAAAGTTAACAACGAATTACCTTTAAATGTTCAATAAACTATAAATTTCCATAAATATATTCAAAATTATCCTTTAAAATAAACTTAATAATTATACAGGGTTTGTCACGGTAGCCGTTCATTAAAACTTTTAGGAGTTCCTGAAGTGTGACGAATCGAAATGGTTTAATTATTAATAAATTGTTATTTTAATTACAAAGTTATTTCGTATTAAAAGCATCGAATAATGGCCATCTAGATAATTCAAGAAGAATAATAGGTATAGCATAATAAGTGTCGATTATTTCATAAACGACTTCATAAAGGACCTCCATTTGAATCGATATTTGAATTAACAAAATTATGGCGACTTTAAGTTGCCAAGTTAATCAGACAATTTTAATCGCCCGGTATATGGACCATGAAAACCAAGTATAGTTCAATTTAGTACTGTGTACTACTTTATCGATACAAAATGTCAAACTTCTAGGTGCATTATAATTAACAAAGATTATAGAAAATGCGTTCGATCGTTTTTCCTAAAAAATATCGAAAAAATTATAACGTAAAAATCGCACAAGTATAGTCAAAAAGATCCACAGAATCCAAAAATGAAGTCAAAAATGGTACTTTCCATTTGAAATAACGAAATTGACATCTACTTCCGGTATAACGGGGAGTCACATGGTTGAAAATTTATTTTATTTAAATTTTAGAAAAACTCACAACATTGCCTATATCTAACTCCCAAATTTTCAGATTTGTAACTCTTCAGGAACTTCTAAAAATTCTAATTAATGAACGGCTTTAGTAAGAAACCCTGTATAAATTATCGTGCGAGCAATGCATTTTTCAACGAAGAAATGCTGCTAATAAAATCAAAATAAACCGATGGCGAAATAATTTCATTACCGATTGTACATTCTCCATTACAAAACTGTTTTTTCGCCGAGTCGCAAATGTCAAGTGAGCCGCAAATAGTACCGGATTATAGTGCAGGACAACTATGGATAATAGTACAAGAAAATATAGTAGCGAAAAAAGCGTTTTGTCCACGAAAATAAAATGCTTACGAAGCTTTTCCTATTCTAGATATACCAAGTGTTTCATATTAAACGACCAGTTAGGTATAGAGTAAATGGAGAATTAACGTTTCTTGTGAGTTAATTACAATAATTGCGCTGTCCATCACAATAATACATAACTGGGAATCGTAACTGTACTTTGCCTCTTCAGCTCGTTAGAATCTGTTATGGTCGTGTATCTTTCAAAGCGAAATGTAAATAACGTGTATTATTGTGTAGTAAATAATCATTTTCAGGCGGTTGTAAACAGTTTTAAATGTTTAAAATTTATCCAAAAATATCGAATATATTCATGGACAAATTATTCTTATTTTCAAGTAGATACCTACAAAAAATCGACACTGAGAAAACACATTCCTTGCGAGGCAATATCAAAATTGCAGGTGCAACCTTTTGCTATTTAGTTATGCGGTAAAAATAACTCGGAAAGGTTGGATAACTCGGAAAAAATTGGCCTCTTACTATTTGGTTATGAGTTCAATAACCCGGAAGAGGATAAACATTCGTCCTCCCTGATGGCATAGTCATGGACGATAGACAAATGAAAAAAAATGTACAACAAATAATGATTTCCAAGTGGTTGTAAACAGTTTTAAATTTTCAAAATTTAATTCATAATTTTTCAATTCGAAATTTAAAAGAAAAGCAAGCATAAAAATATTCTAATTATTAGCAAGTATAAAAAAACTGCACTGAAAAAACAGATTCCTTCTTCACAAACACAAACAATTTTTTGTCGCTTACCATAGTTTCATTGTATCTGCTGGTTCTCAAGAAATTCATTTTGATAGCACCGGAGAATTTCGTTCGAAGCATATTTTTATTTACACTGATATTTTTTTTTCAATTTTTTTTTTTCGGAAATTCGTAATTCTAGGAAAACACGTTCGAATCAGACGGAGTGCCGGCCGAAAACTGCGATACAATATCGCCCGGTGGAAATTAGGAAACGACTTTTTTTCCGTGAATACGCGACGAAAAATGTTTTTTTTATATTTTTCAATAAATACGTTAGGTAATTTAATTGGAATTTTGTTTTTCGTTATATAATTAAAAAATTGAATAAATGCGCGAGGTGACTAAGTTTTAATTCTTTAGCATGTTGTAATGAAAATAGATTAGTGTGTCGGTTTGTTGCGATAAATTTCGTTAATTTTTCTTTATCGATATCATCGCAAAAATAAAATCGTGTGATGCGCTCTTAAAATTTTTCCTACTGTTTTTTTAATTCAATATCCGTAAAGTAATCCCCTCATAAAATTTTCATAAATAAACAAAACAATTACTCAATTTCTTTCATAATCAATAAATTGCACAATTTCCCTTAACAAACTTCTTAAATTCCCTAAAAATTAAAAGGAATTTTACTCTTACCCTGAAAACGATTCCCTGAAAATATCTCAGTTTTTCTAAACATTATCAAAAAAAACATCAATTTCCATGGAAGTCAAAAATAATATAAACTCTTAAATTAGAACTTCAAGAAATTCTTTAAAATGTCTTTAAGAAGGACTAAAAAATTTCTCCCTAATTCACAAAAAATCCGTTAATTCTCTGATAATCGATAAAAGATACCTACCGTAATTTTTCCAAAAACCAACATTTTTAATCGATTTCCATTCAAATCGCGAATAAAATCATCTCAATTTCCGTGAAAATCATCAATTAGTTTAATTTAGTTATATTATAATAAAATGTCCTAAATATCATCAAGGCAAGTTTTTTTAATGTTAATTAACATCTACAAAAATTGATAACAAATCCAAAAAATAGACTCCATAATTCCCCAAATAAAGGATATTCGCGCTCGCTAGGCAATGACGTCACAAGCCAACCTGTTGCAACGTTGCCGGGTTGAAATGAAAATATTGATGTGACAGATATATTTAATGTAAGGTTATGTTAACTTTCATTATTTAGAAATTAAAAAGAAGAAATACATTAGGCTGCAATCCGATTGACAGGAGAGGTGTTTATTTGCAACGCTTAACAACCCTATAAAACAGAAATATACATTTTAAAAACTATACGTAAGTTTAACATAACCTATAAATTTCAATGTGCTGAACTATCGAAAATATTGATCGGGAATTAATCGGGAAAAAAGGGCCTACATCGTCCCGTTCCCACTCAAAATAGGTCGAAAAACACCGAAAATCGCGAAAGAAACTGTCGATAAATGTACATAAACCGCACGAAAAAGTATCTAGAACGAACGAAAAACACAAAACCTACTCGTAAACTTGAAAAAATACAGAAAAATCGCGCAAAAACAACAAATTGTAGTCATAACCTGTCAAATTGTCAACTACAAAGAGCCGCTAAATATTGCGAATGTTGAGACTAATGCATGACAACATCGCTTTCGACTTTCAACTACGCGTCGTAAAATTCCCCTAGTCAAATGGGAGAATTAACATTGACACTAGGGAAATGTTGAACTGCGTGGAAATTAATGACGTCTAAAAATGACGTCATTGCCTAGCGAGCGCGAATGTCCTTTATTTCTATCATTGCATTATCGATAATAATCGAATAATAATGAGTAGTAGTCTTATGGACTCGTTGAACTGAATATGTAAAAATGAAAAAAAAACTCCAATTAACCCTAAAAATCTTCCCTGAGACCAATTTAATTATCAAAAAATACTAGTTTCTGGAATATCTTATACAAGAGCCCAAAGAGTATTTGACTATTTATCCAATTATAAGGATTTATTCAATTATAAAAAAAAGAGGAAAAGGGACGAGACAATTTAAAAAATATGGCTTCTTGCTATTCGGTTATAAGTTTAATAAATCGAAAAGGGGTAAAAAGGGGCGAAAAATGCACATCAATTAAGGCATGTGCATTTTTAATGATTCTCTTCTTTTGCACAATTATTATAGAGAGCAAATATCAATAAATGAGGTCTCTTGCTATTTAGTTGTAAGTTAAATAACCCGGGAAGGGATATAAAGTGGGTGTAAAATACACATCAAATGTGAAGTTTTTGACTGTGCAAGGGAAACTTCCACAATCACAAATAAGAAAACATAAAAAACATGGCCTCTTGCAGTTATTCTGTTATCCTTTTATTAATTTAACCCTTCGAGCGGTTCAAAAGATGCGAAAAAAACTTGAATATTTTACAATATTTCTCATCCCTTGCACAGTCCTAGTCATATTAACTATGCACCTCTTTTGCTATTCATTTAAATGCGTTTACAATGCTTTATAAAACAAAAAACCCGATAAAATATGAATTAATCGAAAGCCTTACCTGCAATCGTAGATCGCCCAAGGGCTGTGAAATGGACAAAGACGAGGAACTTTGGGCGTTGTCCAGCTCCATGTCCGAGCCGGAATTGGGCGAATGGAAGATGCTGTCGTGGGAGACGCTGAGGCCGGGGTGCATGGACGAGGAGCTCCTGGAAATCACGAGAAAATAACCTGTAGAAACTGGAAACTCGACAGTTGTCTTAGAAAAATTATCCTATTCGATGGATTGTTCTCGCCGGACGGATTCGTTATCGACTGATTGAATGATTAAAATCCGTTTTGGGTCGTGTTAGATTCGTGACCGGCCATTTTGAAGGTGTAAATACCGTTTAGGCACGTTTTGTTGTCGATTGTGATTTTCTATTGGAATCGGTTTTTTTGTGTTTAGTTCGAAAATAATTTGTTTTAGGTGGAATGTTGTGGAAAAAATGAGGTTGCACGGTCTAAGAGGGTTGTCGAGTTTCGTTCGGAAAGATGTTAGAAGGTCAATATGACGATTTTCTTGAGGATAATTTGTGCGGTTTTAAAAGATTTCTTCATGAATTTAGAAGGTTTTCAAGATTTTACAATTAAAAAATTTTACAGTGTACGATTATTCAAGAATTATTGCTCCTTTTTCCATTATGCAGCTTTTTTTATGCATCAATGAATTTATAAAATATTGCAATAAATTGAGACTTCAAACAGTAAAATTTATTAATTGTTTTTTTTTCTTAGTCGGATCGCTTAGAGAAAAATGGCTTTGAGGCTTTCCAAAGGTTTTATACCAGGGTGTCTACTATAAAACCGCCAAACTTCAGGAGGTGATTATACAAGTAATTTTGAACAAAAAATGTCATAAAACAGTTCTTCAAAAAGTTGATTTTGGTAGTAAATTTTGGCTATACCACCATTAAAAAATACAAATAATGAAAATAATTAAATATTTTATAACACTCGGTTTTAAACTTTTTTTAAAATTAATATTAATATTTCTTTTAGCAAATTTACTGTACTTTTACGGTGTGTGATAGTTTATTAGACGGTTTTAAAAGATTCTTAACGAAAATATGCACTTTTTTCATTCATTTTATTACTTTTTTGCACTAATTTAGATGATTTTATCAAATCACAAAGTTTATCCAACATATTTCAACATTTTTGAGGTCTTTTAAAAGTTTTTCCAAGATTTTAGAAGAACAAACGTTTTCAATACGTTTTAAAAGGTATTTGTTTGGATGCCGGAACGTTTTATTTGTTTTTAAAAGAATTTTTTGCTCATTTCTTAACCCTTAACTGGTATGGTAGGGTCAATATTGACCCTATGGAAAATTAATATTTAAATAGAAGAAAAACTTGACAATTTGGCAACCTGGTATTCCAGCTATTCTTTCTTAAAACTAAGAGTGTTTATTTGCCATATTAGTCATCTGCATGCTCCGACTTGTTCAGGTTGAATTTTACCAACAGGGTCGAATTTGACCCTACCATACCTAAAGTGTTTTAAAGTGTTTTTACATTATGGCAAATTTGAATAAAAGAAAGAGACCTTTTACTGAGCAGGAGTTACAACAAGTTGCTGAAACTATTGGTGATACAGATGAGGATATCTCAGACGGCGAAACAATTGTGAGTGATCATGATACAGTGAGTAACTATAGTAATGATGAGGAGGAGAGTGAAGACGAAGTTTCTGATTTAGATGTGTCCTTGGACCAGACTAATTACTACTCGATGACCAAATTATCAACGAGCTGATCGAAAGAACAAATGAGAAGATTACTGAATTGCAGGGAAATTATGAAGATCAAGCTTTGTCTTGTCAGTTTACTAATCACGTCGATAAAATAGAGATGAGGGCATTCTTAGGACTCCTCTACCTAGCTGGTGTCTTCAAGTCAAGTGGTGAAGGCATCCAGTCACTTTTCGCTACGGATGGAACAGGGCGTGATATTTTTCGTGCAACAATGACGATGAAGAGGTTTAGTTTTCTACTTGTGGCTTTGAGATTTGATGGATAGTGATAACCTGCCTAATCCAAAGAAATTAAAAATTCCAACTCTTGATGTATTATTATTATCTCTTATTGAACCTATAAAAAATTCAAACCGCAATGTAACTGGTGACAACTGGTTCTCCTCGATGGAATTAGTTAGAGAATTGCAGCTTCAAAAACTAACATATGTAGGTACTCTCAGGCAAAATAAACGAGAGGTACCTAAAGAATTTCTTCCAAACAGGCAACGTGAGGCATATTCGTCAATATTTGGATTTACTAAAGATGTGACATTGGTCTCATACGTACCAAAAAAAGGTCGATCTGTTTGCTTGATTTCATCAATGCATCATAATGATATGGTGGAAGGAGGAATAAAAAAACTACCAGACATTATTTCTTTTTATAACCTAACGAAAGTTGGAGTTGATGTGTTAGACCAAACTTGTGCTAATTATAAAGTAGGAAGACGTACGCGAAGATGGCCTCAAGTTATATGGTTTAGGATTATGGATATTGCTGGGATAAACGCAGGAATATTATACAATTCAGCAAATCCAAATAATACAATGGTTCGTCGAAACTTTCTTATAAGTTTGGGCCCGGAAATGATACAAGAGCATCTAATTCGGCGTTCTCAAATAGCAAGTATTCCTAGAGAACTGAAACAAGTTATTCGAAGAATTGCTAAAATTTCAGAATATGATCAGGATAGAACCGTACCTCCAGAACCACTTCCTAAACGAGCTAGGTTTTGTATATGCCCCTACAATCAGAAGAAACATTCTATAATTTGTGAGAATTGTCACAAACATGTTTGTAAAGACCATTGTAAAACTTCAAATGTGTGTACTAGTTGTTCAAACTAAATAATTATTGTGCTATAAACATGTTTGTTAGTTTTTTTACGGAGTATAGTTTTAAGCACACCCGTCAAGTATAAATAAAACAAGTTTAAAATATTTCCATACCTACGTCTTTTTATTCAATTTTTTTTATAAAAAAATAATTAGGTCAATTTTGACCCTGCCATACCACTACTGTTATTTTAAATCGCCATACCGGTTAAGGGTTAATAACCACATCCGAAAAAAAAGGTATGTTTCAGATTCCATTTTCACGGGCTTTTCAATGACCCTACACACGACATACATTTGCATTTGAAAAAAAAAGTTGAGTAGGGTTGAAATTGCAAATAAGGGGTTGAAGAAAAAAAATCATTTTATTGGCAACAAATCCGTCCAATATAAAATCGATTCACGTCTTTCGGCGTTTTTTGTTTAAATTACTGGTTCAAAAGACAATAATTTTATTCCGGACTTTTGCCCAACTCTGTAATAAAACACCTGTGAGATTTAACAACGCTGTTTTCCGGATTCTGAGAATTTAGAAAATTTCGATCAAGAATTTGTATAAAAAATAAATTTCTGATTAATTAAATTAAATTTAACAAAACAAAGTAAAATAAACAATTCAAAGGTCAACTAAATTTACCAATTTCGATAAAAACATTTCATTTTGATACAATATCTCTTTAAAATCTTCTATTACATACCCAATCGTAGAATAAACTTCCGTTGTGCAGACGAAATCTTCACGAAAACGCAACGAAAACTATACAAGATATGCGCCGTTATCATTAAAAAGTGTCTTATTATATTTTTATCTCTAGTTTTATTATCTCGTAATCAAGTCGACTGATTTTTATATCGGATTATATAATTTGTGGATGGTTTGATTTGAAAATGAAAAAATATTATCTATAAAAAGTATGATTGGATTTTTTTGAGTTGTGAAGGTGAATGGAAAAAAATTTCAAATAGGATGAAATTTCAAAAATATTGGGAGTATAACGTTTTAAATATTATTGTAGGTTACTAGATTTTAAAAGATTATTTACATAGGCCCGTATTCAGCGCTCCTGTTTAACTTTAGAGTGACTCTAAAGTCGCGTCTTTAACTTTAGCGACTTTAACTTTAACGACTTTAACGACAGTTTTACATTGTTGTTATGGAGTAACTAGGGACTAGAAATGCGTATTTAGAGTTACGCTAAAGTTTTAGGAAGTAAATAACATAATTTTTTAATATAAATGCTCGTTATTCATTTTACTTTTTCTAGCATTTTAGGGCAAATTAGACGAATTTTGAAGGTATTAACAAGATTATTCAACCTCTGGAGACGATATGTTTTCTATAATGACTTTTTTAAATGCAAGTTTTTATTAAATTATGTGCTTTTATACTAATTTATTAATTAGAAAATGTTGAGGGTAGTTTCATAGAATTATTAGAATATTGTTAAAGATATTTAACTATCTAGTTGCTTTTTTAAGATAAATTCACATTCTTTTTCTGTATTACCCATTAAGGTTTTCCAAGATGTTTACTACATCTATACCGACAGATTTTAGAATAATTTATCAAATATATTAACTATTTTTTGAGATAGGTAAGTCGATTTAGTAAGTAGGTACATTTATTCAAAACTTCTTCTTTATCCACAATTTATTCAAACTTTTGAAGACAGATTATACCTAATATCTCCTTACTACCGTAGTTTTTTTTTGCAAATTGCAATGTCATAAGAGAAACGAAAAAAATAAGTTGAACAAGCGAGAAATATGAAAAAAAAATCAAGAAACAATTGTTTCTATAATTGCAATTCGACGCCGCTGATGGCAAGGCAAGGCAAGTCCTTAGCGATCTCCCGACTGTCTTAAAAAGTTTGTTACCATTCGTAAATATGGGTGTTCTATAAAACAGAGTCACATTAAGCATTTGCAGCAATTCGGCCCACGAAAAACCGTTCAAAACCCAAAATATGAGACAAACTCTTTGTTCATTATTTTGGTCCACTGCAAAATTCTCGAAGCACTACTGAAATGAACCGAGTCAATCAGCTGTTACAAACCGAACTGATTGAGAAATCTCTCTAAATTTTTGCAGGCTAATTAAGATCAGTGTTGCCTATACATACACAAACTTGAAATAGTTAAGACTATTAAGTGCTGCAGGTAAATTAAATGTAAATTAAAGGTAAAGGTAAATTAATATCTCACAAGTACCAAAATTAATAATCAATTAATTACAAACAATATACATGGCCAACTTGTAAAAACGGATTATTTAAGAATAAGGCAGAAAAGTAAGTTTTAAGTAAAATTTTTAATATCACCAAACTTATTAGGTTTAGGTATAGGGAAATATACATGAACTGTCCTTATTTTTTATCGCTGATTTCAATAAAATAGAAAAAAATGGGTGGTTCCATTTAAAAAAATGAAATAATTTGGTATTTTTGAAGTTCAACTTTTCACATGTTTTGTATACACCCTGTATAAAATAAAAAGTTTTTAACACAGATTCAAATACCTTTGACCTTGCTAGTGGCCACCCTACAGAAACCGTATCCATATCTTTAAAGGGATCCCCGTAAAAAAATAATTTATAAGGGTCTGCATCGGTCAAATTTAAAAAAAAATTAGTAACTCAAAAAGTATGCATTTTAGAAAAAAGTTTTTTAGACAAAAGCACTCTAAAATTTTGCGTTCATTTTGAAAATATATTAATATATGGGGTGCCCCATTTAAAATAACAAATTTGCTAATACTTGTACACAAATTTTCAAATTTTAATTACCACTACTTTTCCAGATACTTTTAATGGGCCCTCGTCGTGACACACACTGTACTTATTAAGGAATGAAATACATAATTAAAATAAAATAAAAATAATTTTGAATTTTTCCTCACCTTCTTCTTCCTTCATCGGTGACCGAAAGCTCGCTGGTAGACCTGCTGCGCAGCGCGTCCTTGCCGATTTCCGTGACTTCCACGACGACCACATCCTCGCCGGTGTGCTTGCTCTTCCTCTTGAACCACCTCTTCGGGTTCCAGAACCTCCGCTTCGAACCGACTGGAAATATACACAAGAAAAAAATATAAATTTTTCAATAGATAAGCAATAATTTATACGGGATACAGGGCACATTAGTATGGAAAAGACAATTTTTACCCAGATAGTGTTTAATTGAACTTTTTTAATTCTTTCTTTAATGTATAATCCGATTAATAAAAAAAGAAAGCTTTAATTGTTTTTCCTTAATTTCAAATTCAGTTTTTTAATCGAAATATCTCGAAAAGTATTAACTTTAGGTGTAGGAACTGTTTAATAGGAATAAAATTACTTCAAAAATACTTCCTGGGAATGATATGAAATACAGGGTGAACCGTTTAAATAAATGGGAAAATGTTACTTTTGCGTTTGGATCCACCCTGTAAGCAATATGATTGAAATTTACGGAAAATATTAATTTTATATATTTTCAGGATATTTGCAATGTTATGGAAACCTGAAATTAATTTTCAATTCAATCCATTTAGTTTCTAGAAAATCTAGAGAGTGGTAAACTTAGTACGATATTCATGGAAAAATGGTTCATGAAAAAATGATCACAACATTTAAACCACTCAGTATAACATTATATAATATTATATTTTTGCAATAGAAAGCTGATAAGTGCTAAATTAAATTTTTTAATAAAAAACAGGGTGTTCCATTTAAAAAAGTATAAGTTTAGTCTACCACAGAAAAACGGGACATTCTGTAAATAATTTTAAAATATGCTGCTTAAAAAGATCTACAACCATTGTAATGAAGTTTTATTGACATCTTTAACAAATACCTGATATATTGAGCTTTTCCATACTAATGTGCCACCCTGCATGTAATATTTTATGATTAGAGAATTCGCCCAATCTTTATACGAAAAATACCAAAAAAATAAACATCAACAATGCAATTTCTAATCAAATAGGTACTCTGTTCTTTAAAGAAACGAGGCTCTTAAAGGGTAATTTTTAGTGCAATGTTATAGGTGATTAAAAAACCAAATTAAATGAATATGCATTTTATTTAATTTGTACAAAAAAAGTCCCCAAATAATATTTTGGTTTTTAAAATAACCATTCATTTTGAACTGACTATACTAGAAATCTATGTACCCATTGAAAAATAAAATTACATTTTTCAATCGATAAGCATCAATAATCTATAATATACTGCTCCACAAAAGTTAAGGAAGTTCACAAACATTGAGATAAATTTTAAAGTTGCAGGTTTTTTTGATCGCCAAATTTAGTGTGAGTTGTAGAGGTAGGGGCAAAAAATCCACTCAGATATGAGAAAGAACATGTAATTTCGCATATTTGAAAATTTGGTGATCATAAAGTCTGTAACTTTTAAAATAATCGCAAAATTCCTTAACTTTTGTGGAGCAGTTTATTTTATGATTAAGGAATTCGTTGTAACTTTATTCAAAAAATACGCAAAAAATCAAAAATGCTCTTTAAAAAAAATACTCTGAAAGAATCCAAAGATTAAATTTTTGTGCAATATTGTATTACCAGAAAATTAAATCAAAAGAAAGTTTTTTACATCATTTGCACCCAAAAAATACCTAAATTATTTATAAAATAACCAATTTTAATTCAACATTCCGACATTAGAAAATCAATAACAATCTTTTGAACGTGGTTAGAAACCAAATCACCCAAGTAATATTTGCGAACAACTTAATAATCACCCTATAACAAAACAAAACATTTTTAATCCGATACACAAATCTACAATTAAAAAAAATCAACAACACATTCAACGATCAAAACGTTCGACGATTAATAAAAAAAAAAAATGAATTAGATAAAACGTATAAAAGGCCTTTACCCAATCTGTACATCCGCCTCATCGGCTCTGACCATCCGCGAATCCGGCGAGCACGCGACTGATGGGGAATTCGGGGGAAAATAAAGGGGGCCCGGCGGGGCTCGGCGGGACCCGGTGGGGGCGCGACCTTATTATTTATTGTTCCATTTGAAAACGCTCTGTGTTTTCCGATGCGCTTACGAAACGCGTGATTATGCGACGGTTTAATCCGGTTTCAATAAAAATCGAAATGGGAAGTAATCGAGGCGCGTTCGAAACGAATTTTAGATAAATTTTTAATTAGATAATTATTAAAGGAAAAGTGTTTATTTTTTCAAGTGATAAAACATTCGATTTATGTTGTTTTTGTTTTTTAAAATTGTTAAAATTGACGGAGGATTTATTTATTTCTATCGGATCCTCCGCCATTTTTTAATTAATTAGTAAGGTGAATTTGGAAGAAAATATTGTAGGTCAAGCTGTAGAGCATTTTTGCTCGACATAAAAGACTAGTATCAAACCGTTTACGCGATGATATAAAGGATAATAAGCAGATGAATAGGTATGTGTTTTTCACTCTAGTTTCCGGTCCATTTGTTAGTTATTAACAATTTATTGCAAAAAAAACTCGATTTTTGTTTTTTTTTGCTTGTAACTTTGAAACTCACGGAGCAATCGGAATGTTCATTAAAAAAATGAAGATATTAAGATATAAAGGTAAAAAGATGAAGATAGGTTCAAATACCTCTGACCTTTGTAGTAAAGTAATTTATAAGGGTGCGCATCGGTTAAATTTTTCAAACAAAAATGAACTCAAAAAATATGCATGTTTGAAAAAAGTGTTTTAGACAAAAGTACCTAAACTAAAATTTTACGTCGATTTCGAAAATATATTGGATTTGGAAAATATATCGGAAGTGGTACGACTGTCAAAATATTTCTAAAAGGTTCGTCTTATTGAGTCTTACATAGCAAATATACTGCTCCACAAAGATTGACAAATATTGAGATTAATTTAAAAATTGCAGGTTTTTTGATCGCCAAATTTAGTATGAGTTGTAGAGGTAGGGGCAAAAAATCCACTTAGATATGAGAGAAAACATTTAATTTCGCATATTTGAAAATTTGGTGATCAAAAAGTCTGTAACTTTTAAAATAATCGCAAAATTTGCGAACTTCCTTAATTTTTGTGGAGCAGTTTAATATTTAAACTGGATAAGTAGTTTCCTATTGTATAGGTGGAGATAGTTTTAACTCGTCGTGGGGCACCCTGTATATTATCGCACAATCGGTTTGCTACTAGTCTTTACGTCACAAGAACGTTGTTTTAAATCTCTATAACATTGGCCTATAGACTTATTAGATTTAAATAAATTACATTATAAAGCGAAAAAAATATTATTTAGCAAAAATTGTTGTAAAATTATTAGAAACAGAATTTGATATTTTTATTTTCATATTTATTTTTATTCTTATTAAATGTAATTATAAACTATATTTATAGCAACTTTTGAAACAGTTCATCGCTCCTGTTTTCGTTTTATTTCTCAGTATTAATTACATGGTATTAAAAGATTTTTACAAAATGTTATACAACAATATTCAATATTTTCTAACAATATCTAAGCCAAAAATTAAAATATAAAAGCAATTATTTTTAGGATGTTTTTCCAAAGGGAGATTTAACCTTATTTCCGATGCCCGATGCAATTTTTCAAATTATTAAACATCTAAATACTCTATTCCTAAAAATACAAGAATATTCAACTATACCTAATTAGTAATTATTTTGAGGATACTTTCTCAAAAAACCATTTTACCATCTTTTCTATGCAATTTTTCAAATTACTAGTTTACAAATTTTACACATTTACACATTTTTTAGTCCAAATATGCCAAATAATTTTTACTGGAGCGTTTCCTGTGGTTCTAGAACGTTCTCAATGGCTCAAGACAAATCCAAATGATTTTGGAGCGTTTGTATAATGGTTTTAGACAATTCTAAATGATTCTAAAACTTTCTGAAAAACGTTCTAAATGATTCTGGAGCGTTATAAGTGGTTCTAGACAGTTCTAAATAATGATGTGCTACAATGTTGGACATAAATACGGGAAACCGACCTAAAATCATAGAAAACAACCAAAAATTTAATGCTCTGCATTTATAACTTATACCATTTTTATAGTATAACTTTTTAAATTTTTGATCTAAATTTTATCCTTTATAAAAATACAAAAATAATTAATTTTGCACAAGGCAAAAATTGAAATATAGTAAAAATTTTTGAGGATACTTTTCCAAAGTAAGATTTTACTTTATATCCAATGCAATTTTTGCAATCCAATGCAATTATTAACCATCTCAATATCTTAATTCTTAAAAAAAATCGACCAGATACGCTAACGAGAAACCTTCTACTTCGAGAAGAAACGTTCATTTAGTTCGAACAAACCGAAATTTCTATATTTATTAAGGCACGCAACGGAGGAATATGTACCGTTAGACAGGCGATATTCAGAAATAATACACAGCAAAACGTTATTATATGCGTACTAACCTAGATCATAAAATGAGATACTGAGACTTATAAGTATATCAGGGTCACATCCACCATCAAGTAGATCAAGTGGCTGTTTCTTCTCTTCGAGATGGAAAAAATGAAGAAGAAATATTGTTTTATGTCTATACGCCTACTACTTATGCAGGATGTGCATGTGGGATTGGTATGAAATCGTGATGGTATACAAGAGAAAATGGGTAATAAAATGAACAGTTCTGCATCAAATTGAATATCTAAAAGTTTTAAGAATTTTCCAGGACATCCTGTATACAGGGTTTTCCAAAGACAGGAGGAAATATTTTAGAGGGCGAACGTTGGTCCGGAAATGCTGAGTTTTCCAGGTACAGGATATTAAATTAAAACAAAAAATATTAATATCTTAAAAAAATTCTATTATTAAATAATTGATTTTGTTGAAATTTGGTAATGTTGTTTGTTATTGTATTAAGAGGCTAATTTAGCCCTAAACAGATTAAAATTATTAAGTCCAGTGGCGTCCTAAAAATACAATATTTTACCTCTTGTATTTTTTTTTTCGTATCTCACTAGTTTCGAAAAAAAAAATAGTTTATCAAATTTTTGTTAAAAAACCACAACGACTGGACTTAATAATGTTAATCTATTTAGGGCGAAATTAGCCTCTCAATGGAACATTAATATTATTTTATATTTAATTAATATTAATAAATTTTATTTTATAATTTAACATCGTGTCTTAAAAAGTCTGCATTTTCGGACCCATGTTTATAAACACTTTTTTTTTCATGCATATTTTTTAACACGGAATCACCCCCTAAAATATCTCCTAATATCTAAAGTAGGATATAGCAGAATTTTTAATTTAAAAACAGATATTACATCAAGATTATTTAATATTTTATAGAGGGTAAAGATGACGTTTAGGAAAAATTTCCCTTTTTCAAATACAAAGGACATTTTATATTTCTGTTTCTATGTATGTATAGCAGAATTGTTTAATTTCTTAATTATATCAGAAGCATTTTTTATCGAAAAATATCCACTCATAAATAGAAATTATACCTATTGTATATCTAAATATAGGTAAGTATACCTAATTAAAATCAAATAAACCAATAATTCCGCATCAAATTAAGTATCAAAAATATCAAACATAACCCCTCAATTCCACAATTATTTATAAGCGACATTTTCATTCGAACGACCATCTATAATCTAGAATACGGTTAATTAAAACGAAAAAAAACAAATTCTCGGAGAGTTGATGACATTGGAAAAGGAAAAACGAGAAGTCCAAGTAACCGCATGAATTAATTGAGCCGAATTGGATATCACTAAATGCGCCTCAATGTCAATAAAAAACCCAGATGAAAGGAAATACATTCTTTGTAAATTGCCAGTATCGAGTTCTCAATAACACTAAAATTAACCCTTGCAGAGGTAAAATGTGTCTTTAAAGATTGTATAAAAACCAACAAAATGAAAGAAAATAGGATTAGTAAAATGAAATTTTGAATTAATCGGATATATACGGAGTGTTTATTCAGTACTTAAGTACCCCAAACAGTAAAGGGTAAATCTTTGACTAATTTTGAATGAAAGTAAATATGTATATACATAATTCGTTTCGAAGGTATACAGGATGTTGAAATTAAAATTTTATTTTCAATCATTTATTCATAATCATGATTAAATCTTACTTCTACAATTTCAGCAATATGTATGTTGTTATTGCAGAATTGAATGGAATTTTTCGTGCATTTATAATAGCAAGATATGTATTTTTTCTTCAATTCTGTATAACCACAGTATAACCAATAAAACAGGATATATTCAGCACGTTTCGACCTGTTTTCCAGCATATCAGAAATATGTTTATTTCAGTAAATTCTTCGCTATTTCTAATTATAAACGTTGGAAAACTTCCAAGTGGAATTTCGTATGTACTATATAAATTAAAGTACAAATGCGACCCCACCCTGAATCACCACATTAATATGTTTAATATAATTATTAAAATACGGCAAAAATATAGGGAAAAATTAAGGAAATTGGTGGAATATTTACCATTCCTTTCGCTGTCAGAGTCGAAGTCTTGAAGAGGAGAAGATTCCCGTACGCAAGACATCAAACTTGATGAACCTATTGCGCCCCTATAACAGAAAAAAATATCTATTTAATTATCATTACCCTTTAAAATTGGGTCAAAACCCTTTAATATTTGTACTTTATAGACAGAAGGGGTGAACACCCCAGACGATTGGTAAATTGGAAAATCCAAAAGGGCTTTGAGCTTTCGAGCGAAAACCGCGGCCGGAGCTTTATGCGTGGCGTTTGGACCGGAGCCGGAGGGCCGGGAGAGCAAGGTCATGAATCCCAAGGTCGGGGTTGCACGGGTGAAAAGATACATCGATTTTCGGCTCGAGATAAAAATATTCAATAGAAAGTTCGTGGAAAACGATAAGAAATACTAGAAAGTTTGTTGGGTTTTATGAGTTATTTATGATTATTTGGTCACAAATGAAAAGGGAATGATGACGAATGAAATGATAGGAAACTACAGGGTGTCACAAAATAGCAGGGTATAGGGATTGATTGTAAAGGGTAGTTTTATTTTGGGGCAACTTGTATTTACTCGTGTATTTATTCATCTGTAGATACTGTTTATGGAAATACTTTAGTAGGTTAATTAGAGTTTTAGATACAATTGGATTTAATTGAATATACATAGATTCAGTACAATGAAAATATTTGTTATTTATACTAGTTAATGAGTGGATATTTAAGGTTTAGTTTTGTAGGTACAATATTTTTATCTAGTTATGTTAGTTACTATAGTTTGTTAATTTATGATTTTAGAAGGCAAATAAAGCAATTTTTCAGTATATTATAAGTACGAATGATTTTAGAATTCAGACTATTCAATATTTTAGGAAACAAATTAATCGATGTTTGAAGAAAAAAATCTAATTATTTCTTTCCTTTTGTAGTTTTTTTTTGGGTAAAATAGGCGATATTGGAGAGCGATTTTGATAATACAGAAGATTCTCTAAAATTTTACAAGAATTTTTAAAACATATAAATGTAAATTGTAAAAGACACATTAATCTATCTTGAACAGTTTATAAACGATTGTAGAATATTTTCGAAGATTTTACAAGATTATTACTAAACATTTTAGAAAGCAAATAATTGATGTTTCAAGATCAAATGTACTTTTTTTGTACAGTTTGTAGTTTTTTAGGGTAAATTTTGAGGCGATTTTTGAGGATAATACATAAGATTAAAAAATTTTTACAAGAATTTTAAACGAAAAAATGAATATGTTCTAAGGTAATTGGTCGATTTTTGAAGAGTTTTTTTCTACAATTTTAAAGCTGTTTTAAGCAAAACAAATTCAATTTATGATTTATGAAGAAATTTACAACAAACTAAAATAAATTCCACCATTTTGACTAGATTTTTACATTTTACAAGATTTGACATAATTTTCTAAGGTTTTAGAGAAAATTCCTAAAATTATTCAAAACTTGAGAAAGTAAATTAGTCAATTTGTCAACAAAATAAGTACCTACTTTTTGCTACATTCTCTCCCTTTTTTTCTAATATCATACTACAAAATCTATTTATTAAACAATCACACATTCAACCGTCCAATTCCTTCAATATTTCCTAGTTACATAACACTAATTAATTGTTGGTATAAAAAGAAATAACAACATCCCGTATTTAGCGTTATACACACACATTTTATTTTACTCCTATTTACCATTACGATCATTAACGGCAAATACAAATTAAAATACTTTCACAATTATACCGAATCGATAAATTAGATCTTAATAGCACTGAAATCGGATGAAATCCTTACATTTACTATTTAATCGATTAAATAATTACGTATTAAAAAAAGGCGGCTGTGACGCCCGTAAACCCATAGTTTAATAATAGGATTACTAAAGTATTAGAAAAGAGTCGGTTAACTAATCGTTAATTGCAGTTTGTAGGTTTTTTTTATTATGATTTTAGAACAATTATTTATTTATTTTTCGCAATGGAATGAAATGAAAGTTTTAGATTTAAAAATATTCACTCACCGGACATCGACAAAGAAGTAGACAATTAAGAGATTGTGGATGCGATTTTTGAAGATATTTTACAAGATTCTGGATAGTTTTTTTAACGATTTTGAAGGATAATTTACAAATTTTTTCCACATGATTCAACATTTTAGAAGGATAATACAATTTATCCTTTTTCAGAAGAAAAATAATTTGAAAAATTTTCTTCAAATACCTATGTATACTCACTAATAATTTTATTTTTCTCGAACTATAATATGGGGAGGAAAATTTTAGATTTAAATATTTACCAACTGGGATCATCAAAAGAGAAAATTAAGAGATTTTGAATAGGATTTTTGAAGACATTTTACAAGATTTACTAAAGATATTTTTTTACGACTTTTAAGAATAATTTTCCCTTTTCCAGAAGAAATGCTTCCTGTAAAATATTATTCAAAACCATTGAAATTACTGATGTCCTTTATAGACAATTCCACCAAAACAAGCAAGATTAATCTTACTCATCCTCCTAAAAAACCAGCAAAAAAAAAGAAAATTGCCATGCATCATTCAATAAAAAAGCGATCCTGATAAGAACGTCACGGGTTAAACCCATCCCGGTCATTTGGCATCCAGCCAAACGCCTTTCTAATGGGATATCTATATTATTCCCGTTTTCCAAGAAGTCCCTCGCTCCCCTCGCAATCGGTGGCTGAACGGCTCGCAAGTTCAAGGACACGACCAGACAAGCTCTCCCGGTCCAAGGGAGGAATTTACGGGAGAGAGAGGAGGGAGAATTCTGGGAATTTTCCCAGAATGGGAATTGTATGATGAGAATGCTCGAATAAATTGATTTAATCATTTGAAAAAAATTACTTGTAAAATGTTTTTGTGTAATTGTGTTTTTTTTTATGTTTTACCTTAAATTCTTTATTAGGTTGCCATGTTTTGATAGTATCCATAGGTATCCATAGTGATCTGCAATAAAAAAATATTCAATTTACAACAAATTCAAAAAAATAAAAGTATTTTTCAAAAGTAAATTGAAAATATACTTAGTTTATTAGAATAGAGGCTACCAGGAAAATATAAAATTGAAAATTAAAACTCGCGATGGCATTATTAACCTTAAGCCTTACGGCAGGATTATATCTATTCCTGGAGAATTGGATGTTAAATTGGGTCAAGGATGTTTCGGAGTAGCAAAGAAAAAATTGCAATTCTCAATTACTCTGCTTCAATTACTCTACCTTAATTAGTGTAGTGTCAACTTGAATTTATTAGGAGAGAACTTTTAAGGATAATTGTAGGAATTTTCAAAGATTTTTCAATCTTGTATACCTACGATTATTATTTTACAATTAATTCAATTGATAAGAATATTTTTAACAAGATTTGAGGAATGTAACTTAATACCTATTGTAATTATCCAGAATTATTAGAATATTAGAATGGTCCATAAAATCTACTAATTAGCCCTTTAGAAACTTGAATAAATAATCTATTATAAACAAAAATTTACCTTCAAACTAGTAGAAATATCTTGAAAATATTTTATCCTTACATTAATATCTATTTTGATTATATTTTACCGGATATTAATTATTATATTTTTAGGAGTAAATTAGACAATTTTTGACGATAGTTAATTCAGTAAATTGATCAACATCTCTTCACTATCCACTACTGAATACAAATCAAAAATTAATAAGAAATAAACTTTGCAATGACCTAGTGAAATAATAAACAAAAAAAAAATAAATCCCCACACACACAGGAAGGTGTCTATATGGAATAATTCTTGTCCCATTTTAACTCCATATCGACCAAACACACACTCGTATAAAGTGAATGAGCGAAAGGGTTAACGACCTTCACTCGCCTTTTATAAAACCCGTTCCTTCGCCTCTTTCTTCGTTATATTCTCTTCTTCTCGAGACCGTGATGAAGAAAAAAAACCATACGAGGATCGGCCGGCTCGTTCGCGAAATTATACTATTAAACACCGAAATAATAACAGGGCCGAAATATATTGCGCGGACCCCGTATAATCGGTTCGAACGAAGTAACTTTACAGTTAGGCACACACACGTGAAATTTCAGTAAATCACCGAAGTAATTATTAGACTAATTGCGGTCGATTTGTTTTTAATTAAAACGCGATTTGTTGGTAGAAAGTTCATTTCGAAAATGCCAGGAGTTAAATTAGCTTTGTTCTTGGAAATAAACTAATTTTTGTACGGTAATGCATGATTTTCAATACGGGTAGCATAAAATTATAGCACTTGTCGAAATTGTTTAATTTTTTTTGTAAAATTTTATGAATATTCTTTAGAAAAAATTGATGTCTTTAAACTACTGTGCTAAAAGAAAGAAAACATTTACATCTCTCCCGGTAATTTCGTAGAACAATTTATTCCTTCTTGCCTCCTATTTGTCTCAGTAGATAATTTTACAGAGATTCATTTTTCCTCCTGTCTTATATTTTTTGCAGTAATTTTACAGAAGAACTTTTCTCGTACAGCATTTGTCCCTGTAATTTTTCCTCATTCCTTATTTTCCCTGCAATTTTACAGAATAATTTTGCTCTTCCCATATACTTGTCTCATTGTCACTAATTTTGCAATATAATTTTTCCTCAGCCTTTATTTGCCCTTGTAACATTACAGAACAATTTTTCTCACCTCTTATTTTCCCTGTAATTTTACAGAACAATTTTTCCTCGCCCCCTATTTGTCTCTTGTTCTGTAATTTTATAGAACAAGTATTTCTCTCCTCGTAGAACAATTTTTCCTCACCCCGTATACTATAAAAGCGCCAAATAGAAAGCTGAAACATAAACCTCACGATTCGCGAGTCCTTTTTTTATTTTTTTTTTCTTCATTGTTTTTCCTCTTTCCGTAGGTCAAAGGTTACCAAGTTTCTTAGCATTGAGAGAATTAACCTACTTTTACGCGTCAAAGCCGTATCGATTTCGAACAAACGAAATTTATTAGCAGATTTATTTTATGTGTGAATCGCGACATTTCAGTTTAATTAGCCCGTTTTCCTCGCTTTTCGGGCTATTTTTAGTCATGGGAGTTAATCAAATGAAATGCTGCAAAAGGATTGGAAATTTTGTGTTGTATAACACAACAGGTTTTTTTTCGGGATAAATTCACCGTTTTTGTGTATACGCTTTTATGTGTGTTGTTTAAAAAATATTTGATTACAAAAGGGGAATTAAAAAATTGTTCAATTATTATAAAGAAGTGAAACTTTAGAAGGGTTTTCAAATATTTTTACCGCAAAAAATGACTAATTTATGTTCGAAAAATAGTGAATAAACTTGGAAAATCTGCTAGTCTGGAGCATTATCCAAATCTACTAATTTATCTTTAAAATTTTGAATAATATTGAAAATTTCTCTGAAAAATTGTGAAAATTTATCTTCAAAATAGTTAAAATATTTTGTAAAAACTTGGATATTATCCTATTTTTTTCAATCTTCAAAAGGGTATAAAATTTACCGGGGTTTTAAAAAAAATGATTATGATTAACATCACATTATACATTATCACCCCTAAAAATTTATCGGTGTTATTTAGATACACCATGCATAAAATAAAATCGTATAAAATCTTGGAAAAATTTGAAAAACACTTCAATTTATCATAAAAATCAACCGATTTATGTTCCAAAATGACGAATAAACTTTAAAAAAACTTTAAAACTGAAAATAGTGTAATATCTTGAAAAATCCAAGAAAATATATAATGATATTTTCTAAACAAACAATAATTATCATTATCGCAATAACACTTTCATGCTGGTGATGTACTAATAAAATTTCACCTTTTTTTAATATTTTTGCTTTCTAGTTCCGCGTTATGCGCCTTCATTCCGTACAAAATTTCACGCAAATGCGCCAAACGAAGCGTGCACGTCAGTTTCTTTTTGCGATTTTCATCGAAAATAAATGACGAGAAAATCCGGAAAATCCATAGGCTAAAATATCGTTGATTGTTTTGTTGCGTTTAAATTCTTTGTTTGCTTTTTGGAGATTAGATAAATAAATTGCCTGATTACCTAATACAAAATTTAGTTAGGCATGATAAACATTAATATATTCAATAGAGTGTTATGGTTGTTGTTGTTGACTAATAATATCCTAATAAACTGAGAATAAAAGCTCGAAATGTTGAGATTTAATTTAGTTACATTAGTGCATGTAAATATTAAAGTTTGTATTTAATTGATGATAATATAATTTACAAGATTTTTATTCAGATTTTTTTATTCAGTTTTAATAGAGTTTATTCGTGATTTTGCAACGTACAGTACCTCGTCGTTTTTTGAAAAAAAATCAAGTGTTAAATATAAGTTTTTAGTAGATGTTTCAGCCATTTAGAGGGTAAATTGGTCAATTTTTTATAACAATTGCAACATTTTTTAAATTCTTCCAAGATTTTACTGGATTTTCGCAAAAACTAGCAACAAAATTAGCATTTTTCTAATTTTGCCAAGATTTTATATGAATAACAATTTATATTACATTGCAAAAACTAAAATTAGTCGATTATTTGAGGATAATTTGGAGTTTATTTCAAAATTTTTAAAGATTTATTAGGATTATTCGTATTTTAGAAATTAAAATTAGTCGATGAGTAACCCTACCCTAGGTAATTAAGTAATATCTTATATATTTAGAAAGTCCAAATTTTTACAAAATATTTCAACGTTTTTGAGGGAACGATTTTTGATGATAAATTTCAAAAAACTTTAACATTTTAAAATATTTTCAAAAGTTTTTAAAAGTTTGTTCCTCATTTTGGAACGTACATTGGTCGATTTTATTATTAATATTTTAGAAACTAATGTTAGTCGATTTTTGAGTAGTTATAGGTACTTTAAAGGATTATAGACTTATATCGGAGTTTTTAAAAGATATTTCATATAACATTTTTGAAGGTAAATTAGTCCATTTTCGATTATAATTTACATATTATACAACAATATTTTAGATCATTTACATTTCTTTTATACCTCTTTTACAAAAACATAACGCTTTAATATAAAAAATTATATTCTCCTACTATAACTAGGTAGGTAGGTAATTACAATCACATTTATCGCAACACTTGAAGCAGTTCATTGTTCTTGATTTTATTCCATTTTACTTTATTTATTATTATCATCGTGTGCCACATTTTCCGCATTCATTAACTCTTATTGTATCTTATTTGTCCGTTTTTTGGTCATTTTGCCTATCTGCTCAATGCATTTCATTATATTACACCATTAAAGAAAGTTACACAAAGAGTAGTCGAGCTATCTCTTTGTTTAAATAATTCGCGAATGCTAATTAAAACAATTAGATAAGAACGTTATAGTAATGTTTAAATTTAATGGGGCATTTGTTCAATCAGTTTATAAATAGCGTTTCGATAATATTTTAATAATTCGAGTAAATATAATTATATCTATTATTTTTAGGGATTTTCCTCATCGTTTTTATACGATCTTTTATGATATTAATTAAAATCAAGTAGGTTTATTTACTTATTGTTCTATTAAAAACAATTAGTTTTTGGGCAAATTAGGAATTACGTGGAGATGAATTAAATTGAATATAGAAATAGAACCAGAGCAAAAAAATCAACGAACCGAAAATTTCCTATACAGTATAGTTTGTGTTTCGAAAAATTCTATTATAAATATTTACGCAAGCATAAAACGTTAAATACTCCAAAAACCTAATTAAAATCTCCATTTACAAACAAAAAATAATACCTAAATTAATCACCAATTGCTAATTACTACAAAATAATATAGTAGTCATTATAATGTACACACAAATAGTTTATACCATAATGTAGGTATACCAGTATATTTATAGGTATAGCATATAGTAGTAGTAGTTCTTATGCTATAAAATACTGTAAAAGTAGTAACATGTTTTAATAAATCACTAAATGAATTCAGTCGATTCAGAAAACAAACAAATAAACCACTCACCTCAGTTGAACAGTTGCGAAACCAGCGCAATTCAACGACGAAAATCACGAATTATGCACTCGGTAAATGCGCTTTCGGGTCCATCTGATGCGGTTTATCTCGCAAAACCGGTGCCCCGTGTGCTGAAATCGAACGGAAAAATACGGGAAAAGTTTAATGATGGTTTTGCACGGTTACAACAAGTTTTGTTTGACAAATTGCCGCGCCGGAATTGCACTCGCACTGCGCCAAAGTCCGCTGAAAACTGTTGCTTTCACGGCCGACCTGAAGGATGCACTGGTCTGTATACCGTGAAGTTAGCTACATGTAACTTACAAAACTATATCAAACAAGAAGAATTTTAATTATAAATCAAATTAATAAGAGTAACGCCTAATTACAATACTAATTTTAATAATTTTTATACTAATTAACACCTAGTTAGCACTAATTTTACTCTCGCAACGTTTTTGTATCACCTAAAGTGACCGTAAATTCGCAAAGTAAATGGCCGGCACTAAATGACTAACACAAACACAACCTCACTTTTCAACGTCAATTTATTATTAAATTCAACTCGCAAATTGCAAATTAATTTCAAAATGCAAATACGACAATGAATCTACTGCATTTAACGCTGACTGATGGTGTTTACGATTACGGCGCGATTATATTAGAAGACAGTGAAATCAAATGGTTGTATCGGTTGAAATCGGTAAAAACAAATTCGACTGTACAGGTGTATGTAGACAGTACTTTCTGCTATTATTTGGTGAAAGAACTGTTTCTTAGCAGCTTTTATAGACAATGTTTTCTCGATAGAACCAAAGAAAAATACGGCAGTACTTTAATGTTACGTTTAAAACCTACACGATACAATTTAATCGATTATAACTGGAATGATCGAGTGTATCTATTAGTTAGAGAACGATGTGAATTAGATCACGCCTTATCATGGTTGTCTACTCTAGGAGGAGCGTTTTCGGCTTTAGGTGAGCTTTTTTTTATATACAGGGTGGTTTTCTATAAAAACTGGTACAGAACGAACCAACAAGTTGCTTGTAAAATTAGTTCCCGATTAGCGAAACCTTTCCCATTTTATCCCTGTTAGAAAGATTATGAACATAACAGTGGTTAGAGTTAGAATGTTGCAATCTCTCCACTATAACACTTTTTCTTTTTCCCTTATACTAGACTAATGGAAGTTGTCTTTGTTACACCCATAGACCATGAATTCATAGGCAAACAGGTTTCTACAGGGGAAAAAATTCTAATTACAAAACATATTCTGCAGGTGATTATTTCACGAATTGCGCCGAAATGGCCGGGAGGATATCGATGCACCAGCTGCAATTAGCTCTGAAATTAGGCGATCCGAACATAGCCGTACGATGCAGATTGTATATGAGTTTGAGCCTCATTCAGAAGAAGAGGTACAAGCAAGCCAAATGGATCGTGTTAAATGAGTTTAAAAATGCCCGAGAAGCGACGATAGTGGACCAAAGGCTCGTTAATATGTGCAAAGGTATATGGTCGAAATTGCAGTACGAGTACGGATTGCACAAACTGCATTTGAAAGGATCCAATAAGTTAGTGATAACGAAGAAATAATTAGGTTTTTGTGCAATTTTGTATTTGTTACGTGCATTTTTTTTCGAATATATTTGATCAAAGTTGTAGTACGAGTAAGGTTTTCCACAAACTCCGTTCGATTTGTAAATTATTTAAGAGTTATGAAATAATAGAAACAGTTTTGTGTGTACAGGTTTATATTTGTAACATGCATTTATTCGAATCTATTTTTCACAATAATAAGGTATAATTATTTGGTCGAATTTTGTAAATTTATCTAAAACTTATCTACTGGTAACAGATTATTGTTATTATCAATACAAATACTGTAAATATACAAAAACAAACAGGGTATTTTTTCCACCACTGAGCCTAGGTTAATTTAAATGCAATTCATTTTAGTATCGAAAAAAATGTATTAGGTATATTTATTTTAGAATAATTTATTCGTTACCTAAACTTAGTAGTAATACAAATTTGAATTCGTTAAATGGGGCCCATTGTTAAATCAGTCAATAAAGTGGTCTTAAATTGAGCCAATGAAGGGCTATTAAAATTACTATTATAGTAAAAATTTATCGTATAAAATATCCTTAATTATTCGCCTAAATCTAATCTACATATTTGTGATGTAAATGGAAAAAATACGGTAAAAAAAATGATACATGTTATTGTTTTAAATGCACTTATTTCTTAACAACTATTTTAAATATAATGGTTATTTTTTAATAATTATTTCTTAATTATACATTCTCCATTGGCACATTTTACAATCACGTTTGTTATATGTGATAAAAACAGAAATTTATTGATATGAATTAATGTGATAAAAACCATCCCTATTTTAACAGTAACATAAAAATTTTAAATTCCCATATATTTAGCTGCCAATCAAGATGTTCCTTTATTGCATAATTTATCAACATTATTTAGTCGATTTGAATGATTTTTTCAAACGGTAAAATACACCCCTTAAAGATATGTAAAAATACTTTAATAGTAGGGGAATAAAACGCGATATTTTCTAAGGCATGTTTCGGGGAAGACGATTCTCTTTTACAATTAGAATATAAATTATTGCGTTATAGAATAAAAGTTTCTATTTTATCGAATTTCAACGAGCCGTTTTCGATAAAATAAAAACCGACTTATTTTTACAATGTAATATAATAAGTAATCTTTTTTTTCAAACTTTTAAAATTATTTATTATCAAGTGCGCCTTTGCGGGGCCGGGGAATTCCCTAGGGAATTCGGCAGGGATTTCGTGTTTGTGTCATCAATGCGACGAAAGGCAGCCCCTGCCTCTGGGTTTCCCCTCTTCGTTATCTACAAAACATTTTTAAATATCACTATTTAATTCAAAATAACAAGATATTGTGAAAACGACATCTTAAAAATTAAGCATTCACTTTAAAGTAAAAGGTAAGAGGAAAAGGTTTTGCTCCGACCCTTATTCACAATCTTCGTCTTTTCCTTGCAAGGAAACGATTCGTATAAATTAAGTAAATGGTTTTAAATCATTCTTTACAGTTCTAAATGATTCAAGATAATTCTAGATTACTCTGGAGCATTCTAGATTGATCTAACCAGTTTTAAATGATTCCAGACAATTCTAGACGATTCTGGAGCGTTGTAAATAGTTTTAAATGGTTCTGGAGCGTTCTAGATTGATCCAGACAGTTCTATATGATTCTGTAGCGTTCTAGATTCATCTAATCAGTTCTAAATCATTCTAGACAGTTCTAGAGCGTTTTAAATTGTTCTAAACACTTTTAAATGGTTCTGGAGCGTTCTGGATTGATCTAGACAGTTCTATATGATTATGTAGCGTTCTAAATGGTTGTAAACGACTCAAGATAGTTCTAAATGATTAAAGACAGTTCTAAATGATTCTAAACAGTACTGAAAAGATTGTGAAAAGTTGCTATGAACTATGTCCTATAGACTTACATTGTTACAAGCAAATCCTTTTCTTTTTAAGCAAATGCTGATTTTTATAAATAAGGCTTAATAAGTTGAATTTAATATGTAAAGATGTCATTTCCAATAAAATTAATGTTATTTCTATTCAATCGATATGTTAGAATAAGCATCGATTAGTGTGAAAAACCAATTTTACTAACAATAAAACTAGTAAAATTGGTTTCAAAACCAATTTATTGCGATTAAAAGCAACAAAAAATAATAAAACCTTTTCGATACAAAAATCCATTATAATATAATACATCTTTTTACATACAAAATACAGGGTGTTTTGACAAACATGTTTCAACATGTTTTAACAAATGCAGTGATTTAACTCGTATTTTAATTAGAATGGATTTCGTTGTTCTTTTGACTTTAAAAAAACCACAAACATTAATTTTTCTAAACAAAAAATTTGCGTTAATACGAGCAATTAGAGCGAAAAATCTCTTCTAAATCTACTCCTATCTAAATCTACTCGACAAAAATTCAAAATAATCCTTCAATTAAACAGCCAAATTAATAAATTTTACGAAAAAAATTCAATATGAAAAATCTCATTTAATTAAAAACATCAAATTAGCCTGCTTAATTGAATTAATATTAGATCTAGATTACTTTAATAGGAACAAACCTATTTTAGGACCTATTTCTGTTCGAAATCAGAAAGATTTAACAATGTATTATCAATATTTCCGGAATCTAAAAATCCAAGCGGGCATGAAATAAAGACGTTTTCTCGAATATAATTCCATCAAAAATCATCTGGTACAAATACGAATATTTCATACGATTGAAAAATTAAAAAGAGTTCATGATATACTTCATTATTCGTTTCGAAAAACGTGTTAGAAAGTTAGTAACTTACACCTGTGGAATGGTTAGAATTTCCCGACATTTCACCTGATTTTTCCGGATTCATAGGGCACACTAGATCGCCGTAATCGGCTTCACCTTTGGATTTTTTCCGTTTGAGCGAAAATTGTGATTTTTTTGGCACCTAAAAATACGAGAAAATTTTCAATTATTACGCCGTGTCTAGGCTTTTTATTGGGCCTCTAATATAGCGAGGCAATGCAGATACAAGCTCGCTGTTTACAGTTATATCAAAGCTTCAGTAGAGCATAATTATTACTGCTTCTATGATTAAAAAAAAAAAGAAAAAAGGGTAAAAAAAAGACCAAGAAAGGACACATAGAAGGCTAGGAGTGGCCAATAAATGATCAAATGAGAACAATAAAAGGTATAAGAAGGCCAAAGAAAAGATCAAATAAGGCCAAAAAAGATTAAATAAGACCAAAGGAAAAGATCAAATAAGCCCAAGGAAAGATCAAATAAGGCCAAGAAAAGATCAAATAAGATCAAGAAAGGGTCAAAGAAGGTCAACAAAAGGTTAAAGAAATGATCAAATAAAGCCAAGAAAGGGTCAAATAAGGCTAAGAAAGGATCAAAGGCCAAGAAAAGTACAAATAATAAGAGCAAGAAGGTCAGCGAAGGATCTAAGAAAGCAAAGGAAAGATCTAATAAGACCAAGAAAGGTCAAAAGAAGTCAACAGAAGGTTAAAGAATGTTAAGAAATTGCCAAATAGGGCCAAGAAAGGGCCAAAGAGCACAAAAAAAGGATCAAAGAAGGCCAACAAGGCCACAAATAAGGGCAAGAAAGGGTCAAATAAGGCCAAGAATGGATCAAATAAGTTCAACAAGGGCAAGAAAGGGTCAAAGAATGCATCGAGAAAGGAACAAATAAGGCTAAGAAAGTGTCAAATAATGCCAAGAAAGTGTCAAAGAAAGCAAAAAGAAAGGATCAAATAAGGCTAAGAAAGTGTCAAAGAATGACATGACAAGAACGTCCAAAATAAAGGTAAAAATAGGCCAAGGAACTCAAAAAAAGCCAAGAAAAGGACACATAAGGCGAATAAAGCTTCCTTTCTCATTCGAAAAGCAAGCCCTCTTAGTTACTTTAAGCTTCGAAGCCGGCGTCAGCGGCACGTATCCCGAAGCCGCCTCGCATTCCCTCTTCTCCTGGATGACGTCCTTGCCGAGGAGCTCGTTGAACCTGGTGTTCAGGTGGCGTCTGAGCAACGTCTTGCCCGGCGGTATGGCCAGCAGCGAGGCCAGCAATTCCGCGTTGAATTTAGGCTCGAGCACCAGCAGGCCGCCGTGGACGCCGGCGCCGCGCAAGTTCGGCGCGTATTCGGCCAGATCGACGGCGCGTAGCCACTCCATCACCCTGTATGAAAAAACGAGGGAGGAATTAGAACGGGTTTTAGTAGCGTGGGGAGGTTTGTTATGTGCTGCCGAATAGACAGAGGCCATCATATGACAAGGTGTTATATGACATTTTTTGTTCGAAATTATTTTTATACCTAGACCAAACCTATAGATGTTTTTCTTGAATTGGCGATTATGGTAATTATTTTTATTTTTTCATCGAATAAACAGATGGCGCTGCAGCTGCTTTATTCAGTCGGGAAAAGAGACATGGCAACACAACATCGCATCGTCGAAAAACGTGTGGGATTTGCCAATGTTAGCGTTTTGAGCGTTTGTTGTCAGAAGACATTTTGCATTTATAGTTATTATATTTTGTTTGTAGTAATATACAGGGTGGCACATTACTATGAAAAAGCTCAATATATCTGTTATTATAGAAAATATCAAAAAAAAAACGTCATTACAAAAGTTGTAGATCTTTTTAAGCTGCGTATTATAAAATTAGTTACATTTATACAGAATGTCCTGTTTTTCCGTAGTAGATCAAACTTACACTTTTTTAAATGGAACACCCTGTTTTTTATTTAAAAATTAAATTAAGCTCGTTTTCAGCTTTCCAAAAATACAATTTTGTATAACGTTATACTGAGTGGTTTAAAAGTTATGACCACTTTTCCACGAAAATCGTACTAAGTTTACCACTCTGTAGAAACTAAATGGATTGAACTGAAAATAAATTTTAAATTTTACAACATTGCAAATATCCTGAAAAAGTACAAAATGAATATTTTTCGTCAATTTTAATCATACTACTTGCAGGGTGGATCCAAACGCAAAAGTAACATTTTCTCTGTTATTTTAAATGGACCACCCTATATTTTATATCGTTAACAGGAGGTATTTTTGAAGTACTTTATAACCATTTGTTTATACCCTGTACTTAAACAAACAAAACAGATAAAAAATTAACCATTGGCAATGTGGCAACGTTGTGTTTAGTTCCTTCGAATTTGTAGAAGTCGCTTTATAGCTTTAAAATTATACCATTGTGTATGCATCTATATTGTTTGGTCTATGCTTTTATAATCACCTCCTGCAGTTTGGTGGTATTTATAGTAGATACTCTGTACAGTAAATTGTTCTAAAGCATCCTTAAAACAAACCTGTGAGTGGTCCACAAGGATATCTGTCTGACGTTGGGCTGCGGAGGGTCCTCGGGCGAAGACCTTCTCTGCAAACAGCCCGCTTCGTAATTGTTTTCTCTCAATACTTGTATGCCCCGTTTTATGCTGGCCACGTGCAGCATAGAAGTCACGTGCAAAAAGGCCAAATCGTCGACGGTGAGCCTGTGCAAAACGCGTCCGTCCACTTTGTTTATGAGGAAGCTTTCCTTGTGCTGGGGCAGACCGGTGTCGTCGAGCCATCGTAACACCCAAGCCGTGTCCAATTGTCCTAAAATTATACAAGAATTATTGAATTGTATATTATAATAATAATATGGTAGATAGTGTGGTTGTTATTCTAACCCCGCAGTCAGAAGTTTTTTTTTTGTAACCAAATGGTTTGGTAACCATCGATTATATTTCCGAATTTTAAACATGACAACGTTGGTTATTTAAATCTTAAACAAGATGAATATGAGGTTCGTTTTTTGTCATTCTTCTTCTTCTTCCAAATAAGACCTCTGCTACAAAATTCTTAATAGATTTAAATGGTTCTAAACAGTTTAAAATAGTTTTGAAGCGTTTTAATTGAGCCTAGAGAGTTCTATAAATGAGTCTGGAAAGTTCTAAATGATTTTGGACTGTTCTAAATTGTTCTAGACAGTTTTAAATTATTCTGGAGCGTTCTGAATGAGTTTGGAGAATTCTAATTAGTTCCGGAGCGTTGTAAATTCTTAACAGTTTTAAATGATTCTGGAGCGTTCTAAATGGGTCTGCAGTTTCAAATGGTTTCCGAAGCGTTCTCCTAGACAGTTCTAGATGATTCTGGAGCCTTCTGGCAGAAGAATGACAAGAATCGTTGGTTACAAAACCATTTGATTACAAAAAAAACTTCTGAATACGGGAGTAAGGGAATGCCAACTTTGTTAATATTCGTTTCTGTGTACATTTACAGGGATATGTAATATAAAGCTTCGGGTTTCATCCATATTTCCGTTTCTTTATTGGAGAAATTTGTGACAAGAAATTTTCCGTCATTTTGGAGCCCTTTTCGAATTAAATTTAACAGTCTGTTCGAGTAAATTACACCGATTTGTTCAGAACTTGCACTAAGTTAATATTTAATTTTGCTAATACTCTTCTCTATGTATGTTTAACTATGCTATATGTTAATCAGGCTTCATCGAAATTTCAGCATTTTCCTTCGAGAAGTTCGTCGCGAAATTGAAATTTTCCGCCATTTTGAAGCACCTGTCAATAAACAATAGTTTGACAGTTAATCTGTTCGTGTAAGTTACACCGAATTGAACAGAACTTGTAATTTTTAACTTTGTTATACTTTTCTTGTATATTCACTGTCATTTGTGTCATTATGTAACAAAAGCTTCATCTAAATTTCAGAACTTTATTGGAGAAATTCGTCGCGAAATTGAAATTCTCCGCCATTTCGACGCACCTGTCAAGATTTTAATTTTGACAGGTGATCTGTTCGTATACAATTACACCGAATTGCACCGAGTTGTAATACTCGAAGTGAGAGATATAAAATAAGCAACAATCACCTGCCAGAGCGAGATACTGATCGCTCGACCCGTTCGTCTGGGCGTCGATCAACGCCAGCTGGATTTTCTTCCTGTGCAACGGGTTCTTGATGTTCAACTCCTTTTCGATCTCGCTCATCGAGGCCTCCTGCAACTGCTGGCCGTTTCGCACCCATCTCTTGGCATCGGGCACGTAGCTGTCGAGGCCGAGGTCCTGCAGCCAGTCGCAGACGTTCTCCGTGTCCCATTCCGCGAACGGTTTGTCCGGTCTGGAAAACGTACGAACCTGTTCACTTCTGGAAAAAGAGTTTATACGGAACGATTTAAGAGGGAAGAGGCGGACGAAGGGTTAGTTTTAATCTAACGAAAAAATACGATTGTTCGGTTAGTTTGGTGGAGTTTCGTATGACATTCTGATTCTGATGTGTATTGATCGCTTACTTTAGCATAATCTGGGATTCGCTCCAGCCCAATCTGGCAGAGGCCGTGGCCCTGACGCCTCCTCTCTGGAACTCGCTCAATCCGGGCAAATCGTCCAGATTTCCGGATCCGGATCGTTTTATCTTGCCGAATATCTTCTTGATGCCTTTGGATTTGCTGAAGGAAATATTAGGCGATCCGGGGGAATCGTCCTCGTGCATTATCTTGTCCGTTTCGGCTGAGATAATCGAGATAATTGAGTTAATAATAATTAGATTATATGTACAAGTATACAGGGTGTGTTAAGAAGATGGATTAATAATGATTTGAAATTTGGTATGCAAGTTATTTTTTCAATGTCTGGAATCCCAAAAATCTTTGAATTGTTTTAATATTTAAATCTTCATCCTATCTTTATAATATTTAGTGAGACTTTCTAAATATTATTACAATACTTATCATTTTAATATCTTAAATGATTAAAATAATTATTATCTTATCATTCTTTCATCATACTGAGATCTTTTAATCTTTTTGCCATCTTTAGGCCATTTTTCGTGACACACCCTGTATAATACGCTTCCCCTTTAAGTAAAAAATACACGGAAAACTCTCCCAATATAAAATTTTTTGAATAAGATAGTTTTCCACATAATTCAAACCTAAATATGAGTAAAATTGTACGTTAGATTTGTTAATAAAAATTATTAAATCATTAATAAGCAAAAAATTTTGAATTTCATAGTAGTAAAGCCAATCAAGTTAATCAATTAATTTTGAACGCCCTGTATGTTTTGTTTTTCAATAAGCATCAAGCCTGGTCAGTCGCATGTACATTCAGAGATCTATCGATATCAGCAGTACAAAAGTATCGAATACAAATAATCGATTTAGCAATATCGAAACATCTTAATCGATTATTAAACTTTACTTTCCTCCATTTCATTACCCCTTTATTAATTTGAACTCGCTCCAATTATATCGATACCAAAAAGAGCAAAAGCTTGCATTATTTTTGATCAGCAGTATCGAAACATCTCCAATTAATATAGATTTACGCCAAAAAAAAAAGGATTTAGTAAAATATTCGTATAGCTGCATAACATGCTCGAATAAGACCAGAGCTCGTCACCTAGATTCGGAACAGAGAAGCCCCTATGTCTGCCCCCTACCAGCGAATAAAGGCCCCTACCGAAGGCGACTCCTTTCTTGGCGGTTACGCAGCCATTTCCCGATGGATTGGCGGGATTGGCGTTGTTGTCGATGCTGCCGTTCGCCAGGAATTGTTGCCTCGGCAGGCTGCTGTAGTGCACGTCTATTTGCCGCTTGTAATTGGCCGGAGGGGTCTGAAAAATAGGGGTTATTCAGCCAAGTAAGTTTTGGAAAATGGCCATTTTAAATGTATGAAATAACAAGGTTATACATCCAGTAATAAAGGGTGTTTCAATAAGACCTCAGTTTACAGTATAGGCTATGAGTGCAACAAAAACAACTTCCATTAGACACTTATAAAGGAAAAATAAAGGGTGATATTATGGAATTGCAACTTTCTCACTTTAACTGTTATTTTAATAATCTTACTTGGTTTAATTTATAGATTTAACCATATTTCAAAATTGTGTGCACTTACATGTAATATTACTGATAATAATGTGAATCCAATATGGTCAAATTTATGAGTTGAACAAGAAAAGATTATTAAAATAAGAGTAGTTAGAGTGTCCCATATATCACTCTTTTTTTTTTTTCTTTGTAAAGGGTGTTTCAATAAGACCGCAAGATTTGAATTGGCTGTCATGTTTGACAGTCATAATGACACGTGATTATAACATGACAGATCGTAAGTTGACAGTTGGGAGTTAGTAAATATGGATCATTGAATCTGGATATGGATCTGGATATGGAACATAATCGCGCCCTAATTGTTAAACATTACTCCCGGTCGGGTCATTTCCCGGTTTGGTGACCAGAATTGGCCGCCACGTTTTTGTGATTTAGCACCTTTGGACTTCTGGCTGTGGATTTACTTGTAGTCACAGGTTTATGGCAACATGCCCGCGACCACCGAAGCGTTGAAAGCCGATATTAAACGCTGTATCAATAAAATTCCGCCACATGTATACAATAATGCTATTGAAAATTTTATCAAAAGAGTACGCTTGTGCCAGCAAAGCCGCGGCGGCCATTTACAAAATATTTTGTTTCATATATAATTCCTAAATGTACACATGATAAATTTATAAATATTTCCATATTTTGCTACAGATAACATTGTTTTATTGAACCTTAAAATCTTGCGCTCTTATTGAAACACCCTTTATAAGTAGCTGTCTGAAATAAGCCATTCATAAATGAGTAGGGAGTTTGGAAAGGCGTTATTTGGAAACTTTCGATGGAAGGGTAAGAAAAATAGGGACTATTCAGCCACTTCGATGCATAAAAAGCAAGGATATTCAGGCATTTAACTTCATGAAAAAACCATGTTATTCAGCAAGTTAAAATTAAACAACTGCCTGAGGAAATAGGGTTATTTAGCGATATAAGAAAATGACAAAAAATAAGGTTAAAATTAAGTAAATTCTGAATAAAGAGGAGTTATTGAGCCATTTATAAAGGAGTATGACTTAAAAAATGGTTATAAGACAACTTATGATTGAGGGTGCTGAAAAATAAGGGTTACACAGCCGTTAAAATGCATAAAAAGTAAGAATATTCAGCCATTTAACTGCGGTTATTCAGTCTAGGTAACTGCCTCAGAAAAGAGGGCTATTCAGTGATTTAAGAGAACATAAAAAAATTGTTAATAAAGGGTAGTTATTGAGCAATTTATAAATGAGTAGGACCTAAAATGGATTATTTGGTCACTTACGATTGAGGGTACTGAAACACAGGGGTTATTTAATCATTTTAGTGTTTGAAAAAAGGGGAGTTTTTCAGCCATTTCATATAAACGAGTAGGAGCTTTAAAAATAGGTTACATGGCTACTTACGATTTTAGTGGTTTGAAAACTAGGAGTGATTTAAATGCATGATGAAACAAATGTTATTCAGCCAGATAAAATTAAATAAGTTTCCGAGAAAAGATGGTTAATCGGTCAGTTGAAATGAAGTAAACTTCAGAAAAAAGGGGGTTATTCAGCTATTTATAAATAAGTAGGATATTTAAAATTGAGTTATTTGATCATTTACGATTGAAGGGTTATTCATAATGATATTCATTCACTAGATGCATAAGGAAACAAAGTTATTCTGTCTGAGACTGTCTGAGAAAAGTGGCTTATTCAGCGATTTAAGCTTATAAGGTAATTCGGCCAGTTAAAATTTAGTAAGTTTCTGAAAAAACTGTGTAGTTCAGCCATTGTAGTGTCTAAAAAAGGGGTTATTCAGCCATTTACAAATGAGTAGGGTTGTTAAAAATATTTTGTCACTTTGATTATTAGATTATTTAATCACTTAGAATTGAGCAATCTGAAAAATGGACGGTATTCAGTCATTTAGAGTACGGTCATTCGCAATAACGGGATTATTCAGCCATTCGAATGTCAAAAAAACAAGGGTTATTCAGTCACTTTGAACCGAATAAGAGTATAAAATAACGAGGTCATTCAGCCACTTGAAATCGAATGACAAAAGTAAAAAAAAAACCGAACGAACCTTGGGCCTTTGAGCATCGTGCATTTCCATCCTTCTAGGGCTGTTTGTCATCAATGACGCAGGACCGGGCGAAGGGGACATTCTGTTTAACTGCAAAATGACATATTTAGTTTATTAAAATAAAATAATATATCTAGACACGCGACCTGCGCGACTTTCGTTGCGCATTGGCACAATTTTTCACTCTTTTTTGAATTTTTTAAATGATTTTTACCTGGTTAGTAATGTGTTGTACGGGCGTCGAAGTCAAAGTAGGCTGCGACGACATCCTCGGCATTATCGGCGGTTTTTTCAATTCCCCGTTATTGTTGTAATTACTCCGCAATTCCATATTTTCCCTTTCCAACGCCGCCTGTTGCAATTTCAACTCGCTTATTATAGACATCAGTTCCAATTTTTGAGTTTCCAGCGAAGATCTCGACAGCATTTCCTGCGATAAATCCACAATAAACATTAATAAAGCTCGATGGAGCTATAATAAAGCTTACTATTAAAAAATAGTTGCTGCTATAAATGCCGAATAAAACTTAATTACAGCTCAATGAGGCCGAAACAAAAATTAATTACAACTTCAAGTTGAATTGTTCGATAAATCTACAATAAAGCTCAATTATTAAAGCTTGCTATTTAAAAAGTTTATTACTTATTACTACTAAATAAAACCGTTCTTGTAGTTTAATGAAGCTCAAAAAACACCCTAATAGAGCTAAAATTGCAAATAAATAAAGCTTCCCTACGGCTCAATAAACTTTAATTACCCCTTAATCAAACTCAATAAAGCTTATAATTAAAATAATCACCGATGCTATTAATGCTAAATAAAACTTAATTATAGTTTAATGAAGCTGTAATAGAAAACCTGCAGTTATACACTTCAATAAATATACATAAAAAGCTCAATTTTTAAAGCTTAGTATTAAAAAAAAGCTTAATTAGTACGAAAAATTATACCTGCACCTCAATGAAGCTCATATAGAGCTAAAATTACAAATAAATAAAGCTTCCCTACGGCTCAATAAAGTTTAATAACAGCTTAATCAAGCTCAATAAAGCGTATATTTAAAATAATCACCGATGCTATTCCTGTTAAATAAAACTTAATTATAGCTCAATGAAGCTACAATAATGCTTATTACCTCCAGAATGTACTTAAGTACATAAAAGGTCAACAAAACATTTTTTGCGGATAAATAAAGTTAAATTACAGCTTAATAAAGCTATATTAAGTCTCTTTATAATTAAATAAAGCTACTTAAAGCTTACTAGTAGTTCAATAAGGCTATAATAACATTTAATTAGCTCTAAATAATAGTTAATTACAGCTCAATAAGGTCTCTAAGCTAAGATACACCTACCCTTTGTAATTTATCTTCAGTATCGGACAAATGCATTTTCTTCTCCTGCAAATTCTTCTCCAAATCGACAATTTTATCCGATTGTGCTTCGATTTGATCAGACAGCACTTGCACTTGCAACTGCAGATTGTCCTTTTCATACTGGATTTTCCGGAATTTTTCATCCGAATCTCCGGACTGAAAAATTAAAAAAATATTAAACATATTTACTTAAAATCGATACGTTTTGCTAACAGCGCGTGTTTTACAATAAATCGAATCGGTTTTGCAACTATTTTTCCAAAAAAAAAAATTAAAATACGCGTAATTTCCTGAAATCAACGTTTTAACGTTCACACGTTTCACCTTAGCGTAACCGGAAGTCGGTAATTTCCAACGGTAATTTCTGTCGTTGTAGTAGAAGCACGGCGGTATGACGGGCGCCATGTGACAGGAGCAGTCGTGCAGGAACCGTCCCGCATCGCCGTAAATGTCCGGATGGCTTCCCGGGTCCCAGTACCTCTGGTGATGCTCACGCTCCAGCACCGGGTTGCTGCCGTACCTTCACGTTCGAAGCCAAATAAAAAGGTTTTATTAGAACGAAGAAGGAAATTACGGCTCGATTAAAGCTCAATAAAGGTATATAAAACGGTATTAATGGTTGCTTATAGCTCAATAAAGCTGTATTAAAGGTTGTTTATAGCTCAATGATACTATATTAAAGCATCATTTTTTAGCTCAAAAAACTCTATAACGCAATATTTTTGGTTGCTCATAGCTCAATAAGCCTGTAATGAATCTATACAGCTCTATAAAACTCGAACAAAATAATATTAAAGGCTGCTAACATTTTAATAAAGCTGTATTAAACTTTTTTAGTTTAATTACCACTCGATAAAGCTTAATAAAACTATATTAATGGTTCTTTACAGCTCACTAGAGCTATAGAGAATCTATGTAGCTCTATAAAACTATAATAATCCCTATATCAGCTCAATAAAGTTCACACAAAATCATATTAAAGGCTGCTAACAGCTCAATCAAGCTGTATTAAAAATACTTTAGGGCTCAATAAAACTGTAATAAAAGTGTCATTACCTATCAATTAAGCTCAACAAAACCGCAATAATGATTCTTTAAAGCTCAATAAAGGTGTAATGAGTTCAATAAAACTATGATAATGCCTATTTCAGCTTAATACAGCTCATACAAAACCATATTAATGGTTACAAATAAAGCTGTATTAAGAGTTCTTCACGGCTCAAACTATAACAAAAGTTTCATTGCCACTCAATAAAGCTCAACAAATATATATTAATGGTTTCTTACCAGCTCAATAAAACTATAATAAAGCATAAATACAGCTAAATAAAGCCCAATAAGACAATATTAGCATACAAAATTATATTAAAGCATAATTACAGCTCAGTAAAGCTCAATGAACTTGCATTAAAGGATCTATATAGCTCAATAAAACTGTAACGCTTAATTACAGTTCAAAAAATGTTAGTAAAGCTATATTAATGGCTCCATACAGCTCCATAAAAGTATAATAAAGCATATTCAGTTCAATGAGGCTCATACAAAACCATGTTAAAGGTTCCTTACAGCACAATAAAACTATATTAAGGCATAATATAAGTTCAATAGAGTTCAACAAAAGCATATTAAAGATCCCTTGCACTCAAATGAAGCTGTATTAAATGTTCTTTACAGCTCAATAAAACTGTAACGCTTAATAACAGTTGAAAAAATCTTAGTTAAGCTCTATTAATGGTTCCCTACAGCACCATAAAACTATAATAAAGCATATTCAGTTCAATAAAACTCACACAAAACCATGTTAAAGGTTCCTTACAGCACAATTATATTAAAGCATATTTAAAGTTCATTTAGAGTTCATCAAAGCATATTAAAGATTCCTTGCACTCAAATGAAACTGTATTAAATGTTCTTTACAGCTCAATAAAATTATAATTAAGCTTAATTAAAGCTCAATAAAGCTCAATGAAACTGATTTGCATCAATAAATGCTCAATATATAATATTCAGTACACTGGTTCCTGAAAGCTCAAGAAAGCTGTATCAAAGGTTTTTTATAGCCCAATAAAGCTATAAGAAAGCTAATTCACAGCTCAATACAGTTTAAAGAAAACTGCATTAACGATTCCTTACAGCTCAATAAAACGGTACTCAATACAGCTACTTTACACAAACAAAGCTAAATTAGAGCTCAAATGTAACATCTCAATAGACCTGTGTAATCAAGCCACATTTCCGCTCAACAAAGCTCAAAAACAGCCTCAATATTAACCCATTCAAATAACGATTCACCTCAAGGGATCCGACCTTTCGTGCCTCCGCTGGAACCCGTCGCAGCAAAACTCGTGCGGATTCCAGCACCAGGACCTGGTGCACCCGCCGCCCGCGGTCGAGGAAGCGTAATCCTCCGGCAGCCGGGGCGGCGGCGGAGTCTTCCGCATCACGTGCGACGATCTGGCCTTCTGGTCCCTTTCGCAGCGGTTCCTCGGCTTCCTCCTGCGGTCCAAGCTCTCCGCCTCGGGTTTCTCCTTCTTGGGCCTGGGCGGCGGCTTCCCCAGGTCCTCCATCACCGGCGGCTCCGCTTGGGGTTCCCTAATCCAGCGGAAATCGCCGTCGCAGCGCCTCGAGCTGTCTAACAGACGGGTTCAAAGCGATGAAGGGAGCGCGCCTTGGATAGCTTTATAAATACCTCTGGGATGCGCCTGGGGCTCCGATGAAGACGACGACAGATCCGACGTGGAACCGGCCTCCGACCATGGCTGGTGCTGGGGGTTCTTCAACGTCGAATCGTCTTCTAAACTGGAGTCTACGTCTTCTTCTTGACCTGGTGCAAGTGAATATATCTAAGACATCGTCGCCTGCGGGGTTGTGTTCGAACGAAACTCGCTGGTGAACTGACGTACAATTGCGTATAATTGGATTGCCGTCGGAATGTTGATAAGAAAACGGAAACGCGCGCGTGGCCGTGGGCGTTTAAGAGCACCAGGAGCCGAGGAAGGAGCTCGGGGAAGGCGTCCCCGGCGTTTCTGGTTTCTATTTTCGTAAGAGTTTTTGTTTATTATTTTGGCGCCGCGCCAAAATGGGCTCGATCGCGCGCTCCCGGAATGTAATCAATTTGATTTCGAACGGTTCTCAAACGGAAAATGAAGCTAAAATTAGGTGAATTTTCAGATTTTTTTTTTTCAGTAGAAGAATCCAATGTTTCCGTCGAAAAGTTAAGGGTATATAAAAAAATTACATTTTATCGAAGATATTCTTTGAGATAAATTGCATTTTCGACATCCCAAGTTTCCTCGCATTACTTCCAATCACCCCCCGTATAATTTACATCAGTTACCCCGCGTAACCACGACCTACCTCGACCCGATCGCAAGCTGAACTCCTCGCTGATGGTCGCCAAACGTTCCTTGTTCTCGTCGTCCGGGGAATCCCCCGAATCGCCATCGGTACTGTCGCCGAGGTCGTCGGCGTCGCGACGCTCGCCGTTCAGACTGTCCTCCTCCGAAGGGGACGATTCGTCCGAGTTCCTTCCCGCGCGGCAGAACAGCCGCACGTCCTCGGCGACGCTGTCGAAAGCTTCGACGGCGCTCCTGAAGCTCCTCGCGGCGTCGGCGTCGTTTTCGAAGCTCCTCGAGGCGTCGTTGTCGTTTGGGACGCTCTTCGACGCGTCGGCGAAGCTCTTGGTGGCGTCGTGGTCGCTTTGAAAGCTCCTGTAAGAGCCGGAAGTTTCGCGGGGGTTCCCGTAGCGTATCGGGCTATCCATGTTGTTGTTGTGTTTTTCCAAAATGGCTTCGTTTTTGCACGTTTCCCGCATATTTAAATTGTTATTCCACTAGTTTATTGTCAAAGTTCACTTCAAACAACCACCTGTTATAATTCGTACAGAATTTATTTAATGTGTGATGAAATAGGATCTAAAGAATAAAGCAGATTGATAATTAAATCATTAGATAGAGCACACAATGGAAGGAATACAATGGATAGACCACTGAGCAGAAAGAAGAAAGTTGAAAGAAGATAGTACACAGAATGGGAAGAAAATAATTTAAAAATAAAGCACATGGAGCACGGAATAGAAGGAATAAAGTAGATAGAATAGAACAGAAAAAAGAGTAAAAGTACATAGAACACATAATGGAAAGAAATTTCCATCTATTAATTTAAAAAAATAAAGCTGATAAAAGAATAGAAAGAAGAAAGTAAATATAACATAGAGTAGAAAGAATACCTAAGAGAGTTGGAAGAACATAGAACACAGAATGGGAAGAAAAGAATTCAAAGAATAAAGCAGAATGGAGAACAGAATGAAAAAAAGATAGAATACAGAACAGAAAGAAGAAAGTAAGATGTAGCTGGAACAGAGAATGGAAAGAAAATAATTCATAGAGCTAGGTGGTAAGGCACAAAATAGAAAGAACGCATAGCAGAAAGAAGAACGTTGGAAGTAGATAGAAATCTGAATCGAAATAAAAGATTTGATAGAATAAAGCAGATGGAACACATATTAGAAAGAATAGAGTGGATAGAACACGAAACAGAAAGAAACGAGTTTGACGATTTCAAAAAATAAAGAATAGAACGTAGAAGTAGTAAAATAGAGTGAATCAAAAGACACAAAGATATGATAAAAAATTCTCCAACGAAGTGGAATTGAAAAAAAAAATAAAATACATTTATAAAAGCAGTTTAATTTAATTTAATGAACTTCTAATTGCTTGGAGAGATAAATTGATTTAATAATCGAGTAATTGCTTGCTTAAGATATATTAATTAATTATCACTTCTTGTTTATTGACTTTTTTCAAAAACCTATCTAATTGCAGCTCTTATCTCGCCAGCATTTTATGTATTTTACAATTTATCACGTACACTTTCATCATTTACTATTATAAGTTCATCTATAAAATAAATTGGAAATTTCGAAAGCCCTGTATAAATTCACGCTGGAAATGATACTTATATATTTCAGGGAAAATCTAGCCAGAAATAGACTTGGAAATTTACATCTTCTATTTTTAACTAAACTCCTCTTGGAAAAGAATGAGGATGTATTTACTAAAATGTTCGAAACATCTGTCATGGCCTATTTCGATGTGGATATAGATTTTACAAAAGCTATTAAATTTACTTGTTAGGTTTTATTGGTTTTTCTTAAAATACAGGGTGCTTCGGAATTGATGTAAGAAAATGACAAAGTTGAGGGAATTCTTAAGAATATTGTCATATTCTTTAATAGTAAAGTTAAATTTTTAAATATAATATTAGAAGAGTGTTCAGGAATAAAAAAGGGGATACGTTGCTATTGTAAAAGTTAATGTTTTAGGTACATGAAAAATTTCATTAAGAAATTTAATTATTTTAGTAAATAATCGAACAAATTTTAGTAGGAAAATGTGCAAAATGAAGAAAAAATACTACAAGTTTTCTAGAAAAATGGCTTATTTATTCGGTAAAACGTTGAATAAATGAGAAAATAGAAATTTAATGAATATAGTTCTTTGAATTATTAATTATTAATCGTCTAAAGTGCAGTAAAAAAATCTTATTTTAATAAATTTTAAATCAAACAATTGGTCATACATTTGTTTTTGTGAATCATATTGATTGATATTATTTGTTCTTTGATTGTCTACTGCAGAAATATCAAATGAACATAAAACAAGGATTATCCACGTATTTCTTTCATTTACTATCCGAGTCTTATTGATTTATCCATTATCTTAATTTTTGAACTTCAACTTACTTTTAGTCTTGTAAATTTATAGTAAAATATCCTAAGAAAAACCTATAATGTAAATATATTGTTACACAACCATGTTAAAGCTCACAAAAAACTTTCACTCTTTAAACAAACAAATTACACCTCACTTACACTTTATATAGAACTCGAAATTGAATTAAAATCACGCACAAAATCACAGATAGTTCATTTGAACAAATTCCGAACGATCTCGACGTGATTTGTAAGCGGTTATAAATAGAAAAACCGATTCCCGAATTAAACACGGGCAAGTTCTCTCGACATCTCGACGATAATATCCAGACTAAACTGTTTAGAATCGTGCGAGCAAGAGATAAAACTCATGTGTAAGCATATGTTAAATATGCATAGAGCACGGAGCCCGGCTGCAAGTTGCACTTCTTGCACTTGCACTTGCGAGATAAGTTTCTCGATTAAATACGAATAGAGGCGAGCCTTTTGTTGCGCCCTGTATGCGCCGGGAGACCTATGGTAATGTACTGACTGACTACGTTTTCAATTTAAGATAATTTGTCCTCGTATTTTGTGCGAGAAACTCGGGTTATTTTTAAACTCTCTATTAAATGCGTGCGTTTGTATTTGTTCTTTCGGTTGTTCGATTTGTTGTGGTATAGAGTAGCTGAAATATTACGTAAATGGCGTAATGGGGGATGTTTAGGTAAATTTGGAATACTCCGAAGAAAAAAGGTGCTTTGGGATATTTTTTAGTGGATATACAGTGTGTTAATATTCATTTTACGACAAAAAGCCATTCTTTGAAATTAGAATTTAAGTTTACAAATTTGTATTCAGGCTTTATTTTAGATTATAAACAACTTTCTTTTATAAAAATTTTGTGTAAAATAAAAAATAATGGTATTCTTCTCTTGAGGTATTTTCATGTTTTCTTAATTTGGCAACACCCTGTAGATCCAATCTAAGATTTTTCAGTGTTATTTTCATTTTTAAAAGAAGCAAAAATTTTTATAAAGAATGACTTTTTGTCGTAAAATTATTAATAACAATTTTTCTCCTATAGGCAACCCCATCCCACACTGTATTTAATGCACTTTGAAAAATTTAGGTTTATTTAAATGAACAAAATATGCTAAATTGCATCTTTGAGTTATAGATAGTTCTTTAGATTGCATCTTTAAATATGTATAATAGGTATACCTATTATACCTACATTGTGTTTTTAATGTTTATAGTTGTTTTTAATATATACTGCTCCACAAAAGTTAAGGAAGTTTACAAATATTGAGATTAATTTAAAAGTTGCAGGTTTTTGATCGCCAAATTTAGTACGAGTTGTAGAGGTAGGGACAAAAAATCCACTCAGGTATGAGAGAAAACATTTAATTTCGCATATTTGAAAATTTGGTGACCAAAAAGTCTGTAACTTTTAAAATAATCGCAAAATTTGCAAACTTCCTTAACTTTTGCGGAGCAGTTTATTTTGGCATATAGGTATTTTGAACTCTTTAGATTTCGGATTGCGTTTTTGAAATTTATTCCTACTTGATACCTACGTCTAAATTGCATCCTTGATGCATCTTTCGTATGAATTAACATCTTTGATTATCTCTCGATTGCATTTTTAAAATTTATGCATCTTTGTTACGTCTGAATAGCTTTTTTATACATCTTTCACTCTTTCACATGTTCTATGAATATCTCTCGATAACATTTTTATTGCATTTTTGCAATCTACGTCTCTTTGATACCTCTAAATTGCATCTTTAATGCTTCTTTCATATGAATTAACAAATTTGAATATCTCTCGGTTTCATTTTTATTGCATTTTTGAAATCTATTCCTCTTTGTTAATATATCTGTTAAGTATTAATTTGGTCGAAATTGAATCATTAATGCATCTTTTATTTGAATTAAAACATCTTTGAATATCTCTTGATTGCATTTTTGAAATCTATGGATTTTTGTTAGGCACATCTAAAGTGAATCTTTAAAGCATTTTTAATAGGCATTAACATCTTTGAATATCTCTCTGATTGCATTTTTGAAATCTTTTCTAATATATACGTCTAAATTTCATAATGCATCTTTCATATGAATTTTACATCTTCGAATATTTCTCGATTGCATTTATATTGCATTTAATTTATTTAATGCATCTGTCACATTGCATCTTAAAAATCTTTAGATAGTACCTTTTTGCATTCTTTTAAAGCAGAAGATTTTTTAGGAAAATTCATGACATTAGAAAATGAATCTAAAAAAATAGCTTTTCGGATTTATTTGCATATTCAGGAGACTTTTAGGGATGTTTTCACAAAAATAACTAATACAGTCCTATAAATTTAGAATAATCAGTCTTCAAACATCCATTATATCGTATTATGTTTACAACATTTTCAAAGATATTTACATAATTTTAGAAGATTATTTAACGTTACAATTAGGTACAAACGTTACGTTTTTCGGGATTTTTTTGTTTGCAAAATTCAGTGAATTTTGGATTATCTTTAGGAACATTTTAAGGGCATTTTCTTAGAAATATACTAATATCAACCTATCCAGCTGTATAAATTTAGAATAATTAACCTCAAAAAACTCCATTATACCAGTATAAGCCGTATTTTACTCGGTTAATGGACTTTCACGAACAATCATTAATTACACCTTCGTAATTAATTATTCTTCGACTCGAAATCGACAAAATTTCCCAATAGGAAAACCTAAATAGACCGAAAAAGCTCAACTAAAAAACTACCAATATAAGAATTCAAAAAAGGGACTATCCTGTACACGTTTCTATTCAAGGAAAATTCCGGAAAAACCGACTTTTCGATAAGAAAAACCACCCAATTGTGTCGCTTTTCCCGACTAACCAATTCCCTTTTCATCCATCACAAACATCTGGAAATTATAACTCCCAGAAAAAAGCGCGTAAACAAGGCGAAAGCAATGGAATTTTTTTTCTGGGACGCTTTTCCCGGTTTTCCGCAGATACAGAACGGGTTCCCGGTAGGAAAAGGGAAGTTTCATTTGGAGAGAAATTCACGGTACAACGGATAGCAATCGATAAGTTCGTGTATGTTATATATTGCAAGCTATAAATAGAAATTCAATGTGTGTACTTGAATGTGACGGTTCATTAACGGTACTGTTTTCAATAATGTTCAGTGTGGAAATTATTTATGGGCTTTTTTTTTCATTATTTTATGGGAATAATTTGTGTCAATTTTTGATCACATATATTTTTGAGGCTATTTTGAAGTCTTCGAAGAAGATTGTTCGAGATTAATCAATATTTTTAGTAGGTAAATTAGGCGATTTTTCATGAAAAAATGCGTTTTTTTTTTCTACGTTTTTTTATATTTTTTTTTCTAAAAAGGATAAATTTACTGGGATTATGCAACGCTTAAAAAATCCTTATTTAAATTTAATTATACTACATTTACTACATTTAAATTCTTCATTTTATGCCTTTTTTATCTAAAAATTGTTGAAATTTAAATAAATCTTTTTTTTTTCTTCACACTTTGCATGTGTTTATTTTTATTTTTCAACTTTTAGACTTTTTCCTAGATCTTCACTAAAATTGTTGATACCTAATATTAATAAATTATTATTAACCTTTTTTAATGACAAATTAATGGATTCTAAAAAAACGATGATAAAAAAACGATGATATCAATAAGTTATTTTTGAGCCCTCATTATACAGGGTGGCCCAGAACTCACGCCCCACCGGCAATGCCTTATGGAAACGACAATGGAGATGCCAAAACTCCTGCCAAAACATTCATTCCAAAGTTATTCCTTTGGTAAATAAAGAGGTTTAAAATCGACCAATCCCAGTAAGTATTCAAATCCACGAAAATGACGTGAATTAGCGTCGATTATACACCATTTTGACATTATTGAAAGATTTTTATCTAATTATTATCTATCTTATTATCTAATTTTATATCTTATATTCTTACCATTTATACATTTATCTTACACATTTTTTAGCCGTAAACGGTGTTCAATTAATATACAGATGTAGAATTCGAGTCGTAAAAGTCAATTAATAATAATTGCAATTGCCATCAATTTAAAAAGGTGCTTTTATAAATTACCGATTGAAATAGTTGCAAAACCGACAGTATAAAAAATTCCAGATAATAAAATACAAAAAATAATTTTCTGGAAACATGAAAAACATAAAAAAATACAAAAAATAATACTTACAGTAATTTTATTAATATTGGAAGGTTCCGTATTTACCTGTAACAAAAAAAACATAATTAAATTAATAAGCAATGGAAAAAGTCTAAAGAGATTGAAAAACAAAGCCCTATAAAACTTTTTTAATGCCTAAAATAAATATATTCTTATTTTCCATAATATAGCAGCATGCAGTTGACTGAAAAGCTCGAATAAAAAGTTCGATAAATTAAGCTCAACAAAACTTTTCTCTCGTTTATCGAAGAAATTTTAATATCCCGATTTAATTAAAAAAGTTTCATTTATTCACTGCAAGTTAGAAACGCAACGAATTGCATCTTGTACAACTCGCATCAATTTAAGTATACAGGGATCTAAAAACTCTAAATGTCAAAATGTACCACCCTGTATATGTGTACTATTTTTTGTATTAAGCGGAAATTTAATTTAGCCATGTCGATAATAATTAAGTTTATCGAACTGAATCCGAATAGAATGCAGTCGGCGATTTATATGGGAAAACTTTGCATTAAATGCAACTGTGATGCATCCGGATCAATACTCTATGTTTTATACAATCGAATGGGTGTATGTTAACGGAATTTAATATTAATTTACAGAAAATACGGGAGAAGTTTATAAGTGGGTTTTATACTACTGGTAACATGTGCATACGAGTGCATTTAATGCAGTAATTGCGTAAACTGCATACTATTTGCATTGACTGCGCAACATCGTAAATTAAGGAAAATACACAAAACAGGTCCACCAATAAACTGTATGAAGTGAGTGTAGTAAAATTATACAGAGTGTCTCAAAAAAGTAACCTCCATATTTGTTAACATTATTTACAAATACATATGTAGTTATTATTATACAAGAAAATAAGTAATTCTCCATTAAAAAAATTTAAATTATCTAAAAATGATCAGATTTCAAGATTTTTCAAGATAAATGATTCGAATTCTTTTCAAGAAATATTACACTTTAATACTTTTTATACTTTTTTTGGAGTTAATGGAGCGTATAAAAAATGTCTCTATTAATGTCAAGAATCGGCCAATAACCGTACAAGTGCATTTAGAAACTTTTTCTCGACATCTTAACGTTCGGAAAATTGAGCAGGGAATTTTCTTTTTCACTTGAAACTTTTCCGGAAAATCATGAAGGGAGTTTTCTTGTTCCTGTCCACTTATGGACGTGGGAAAATTGCGGTACAATGGATTTTTCACATGAACTATGGTTTTGCCCTTTTTATATGTGCTACTATTTCCGTCAAAATAATTTTACACAGTGTGTCCGGTAGATATAACGCATTAAATAATTTATTTAAAAAAAAACAATAAAATAATTTCCGATAAAAAATAATATGTAATGATTTTGAAAAACTGCTTTAGTACAAAATAATTATTTATTTAATAATCTAATATATGCTTTTCTGGTAGTAATTTCTAAGGTATTGCCAAAATTAGGTAATGTAAAGTTGGTTCAAATAGCTCAAATAGCTAAAATTTCCAAGAGATTCATTAAAGTTTCATCAATTTTCCTGAGGGCTTTTTAAAGTTTTCCCATGGAAAACGCTTTTCCTTTGCATAATTGATGAACAGAAACGATATCGACCCAGCAGAAAACATTGTAAATTTGTAAAATTGACAAATTTGGGTCAAAACAAAGAATTATTTATGTATTTCGGGCACATGATGGAAATAAAATTTTGAAGTTCCAAATTGATAAATGTTCAAAGTGGATGAAAAATTGCAATTTTTCTTCAAATATAGCATAATTTACTTTAAAAACGTTGTTATTTTTATAAATTTGTTTTTTTGAAAAATAAACCTGCTATAATTTTAAGTTGAAAAACGTTGAATAATTTAGTAATATACTAATTTGTAGCAGAAAATTCGTACTAAAAGATACAAAATATCGAAAAAAGGGAATATTTTTCATGAAGAAAAATAACCTAACTCATGAGTATTTCGAAAAACGTTGAATATACTATTCAAAAATTTTATAAAAAAATGTGGATAAAAATGTCTATCTTTTCTTACAAAATCGATCAACCCCCTTTATCATTTTGGTAAGGATTTTTTGTAACTTTTTGAACAACTTTCTAATTAATTTAGTGTCTTTTGAAACAAGGTTTTTAATCATTTCACTATTTTTTCATTTTTTCCACTTTAATTTAAAAGAGGTTAGTATTATTTCTCAGGTAATTTTATTCTTTTTTATTTTAAAAAGTTTTTATACTCATTTTTATTCGTTAATTTTGAGAGCTTTCTGTTTTTGATTTGTGTCCTATTTGAAACAGTTTACTATTATTTTAGTGTTTTTTTGAGTCATTTATAGTCACGTGTAATTATTTTGGAGTTTTCATCATTGTTTACACAATTTTAGAGGCTTTTGTGCGTTTGCGAAGTAAGAGAAAAAAAATTAAAAAGCTTCAAAATAACAAATATTCATTACCATTTCAAGTACAAAATAAGGGTTGCAACTCCTTCAAAAAAGCTTTACAACGAAAGTTCATTCACATTTCGGTACTTTTCGCCACACAACCGGCTCAAAACAAACTAGAAAAGCTCGATTATGCGCCAAATCGTATGCAGGACGAAATGCAACGTCAGCTGGTGCATGTGCAAACTGCATTTCCTATGCAAAGGGGATGCTGTTTCGTTGAATTAAACAGGTAAAAATAGACTTAAAAAATAGAAGTTAGTTCTGAAGTAACGGAAAAGGATACAAATAAAAGTATTTGTATGTACACGCAGGGTGTCACAAAATATATCCTGGTAATCGTGATAAAATGTTATTTTCACAAATACATCTAAAGAAAACTGCAAAAAGGAGGAAATGAGGAAAAAATTCAAAATGTACACCAAAAAGTCTCCCAACTAGAAATCAGTAATAAGCAAATGAATACAAAAGCAATAAACTTACACCATTATAACACCAAAAAATAAATAAAAAAGAGAAAATAAGTTTAAAATAAGAGGAATAATGAAGAAAAAATTCAAAATCTTAAAAACAAAAACAAAAAAGAAACAGAAAGCTCACAAAAATATTTAACCAACATCAAAAGTATAATAACTTTGTTTGTTTCTATGAATATACAAAATTAACGTTTTTCTTAAAGCGAAAAACATTTTTTGAAGTACGGTCCTGCGAACTGCAATTAGAGCAATTAATGCTCCAACCTGCACCGCAATGAATTCTAAACTTAACGCATAAATGCATGAATGCAATATGCATTACGAACGGCAGAGATTCGTTATAAGGATTGATTATTCGAGCTTTGAACTTTTATTCGTCCTTGTTCGTCCTTCCTTCGTCCTTTTTGCATTTTAGCAATCCGATTCGATTCATATTTTCCTCTCTACTTTGAATTAAAACGAATTAAAGACGAATTAAATTTCGATATCGACCCATTTCGAATAGTATAAGAGCTTTTAGTTCTTCTAGAAATACCATGTCTTCTACCTATATGTAAGAATCGAGTTAACCTAGTCGTGACGTCATCGTTATGTTAACTTAAACCCACTATATGCTCTTTTTTTAATTTTTCTTACCTGTTGAAGCCAATCCAAGAGTGCCTTGGCTATGTGCGGATCAGGCGGTGGAGGATTTTCCGCGTTTTTTAGCAACTGTACGAGGGAAATCGCGCTTTCCCGGAGTCCCGGCGACGAATGAGCGGACTTTATCGTACCGCTGTTGCCTAAAAATAACGAAATAGCGGTTATTATTGTACTTTTGTTAAATTCTACTATTATTATTGAACTACCTTTAATTGTTATTTTTATATAATTTATATTTTTATATTTTATTTTTATATTTTATTTTTATATTTATATTTTTTATTTATGTATATTATTTTATATATTATTTATTTATATATTCCTAATTTGTATGTCCTGGATATACATATAAAGACTGGTTATTATAACTGTAATGGATTGTAGATTTTACGAAAATTATCTGTTTAAAAACGATGTGGGAATGACCCTGTGTATTAATGCACTTTTTAATGCCAATTTTTGCCAAACTGGTTTTTTTTCATTTTATTAAAATCCAAATTATTAAATGAAACATTTCAATAGATGAACATGCGGATTTTTCATAAAAAATGTTTAGTGCAAAAAGTGAAAAATCTATTCTAAACAATTTTCACATTATTCGAACATTTTCCAACAAATACCTCTCAAATTTTCGAGCGAAATACCTCAAAAAACCATCGTTACGGCTCAATTATTTAATTACAGAAGCGCTAGGCAAAGTATGAAAAACATTTTATCGGGAAAAATGAAAATTAAAGCCCTTGTAAAATAAACTCCGTTCGAAGGAGAAGTAATCCCTGTAGATTTTCCGGTTATTTTTATACGCTGGTGATATTTATGGGCTCTATTAGAGCTTGTAAATGGTACGAAGAGGAATTTATAAAGGGAAAATAAAAGACTAAAGGGAGTAAAGAAAAATGTCTCATATTATCAAGCTGCAAGTACTCCTGTACACTTGTTTCAAAAATTATTAAAAGCAAAGAAAAAGACCAAAATGAAGAAAAAAAAACAATAAGGAAACAATAAGGAACGCGAACAATAAGGAAAGCAAAACCTTTTGCTTTCAAAAAATGAAGAAATTGCTTGAAGGTATATGCATAGCAAGAAGTGAAGGAAGAGATGTTTCGCTTCGAGGACTCTGCCCTTGCTTAAAAAGCAAAATATTTTATGTTTTCCGTATTTATAAAAGGAAGCATTTGCTTAAAAAGAAAAGGATTTGCTTGTAAAAATGTAAGTCTAAGGGACATAGTTCATAGCAACTTTTCACAATCTTTTCAGTAGTTACTCAGCAATCACACAGCTTGTACATACAGCTTGTACTAGGTTGACAGGGTGCTTTTACGTTAGAACTGTCTAGAACCATTTAGAACGCTCCATAATCATCTAGAACTGTCTAGAATCATTTAGAACTGTCTAGATAAATCCAGGACGCTCCAGAATCATTTTAAACTGTCTAGATCAATCCAGGACGCTCCAGAATCATTCAAAACTGTAATCAGTAATGCTCCAGAAACATTAAAACAGTCTATAGAACCATTTAGAACTGTCTAGAACCGTTCAGAACGCTCAAGAATCATCTAGACCTGTTTAGAACCATTTAGACTAGTTGGACGAAATCGCTAATATCTTATCGCTAATACATTTACTTTATTTATGCGAAGCGTTTCCTTGCAAGGAAAAGGCGGAGGTTATAATATGGTCGAATCAGAGCAAAACTTTTTCCTCTTGCCTTTAATTTTACTTCAAAGTAAATGCTTCATTTTTATAAATATGGGCTAATAAATAAAAAAGGCAATAAGCAAGAATGGAAAAGTGAACAACAAATTAAAAAAAGGCCTATGAAAGGCTTTGAAACCTTCCAGGAAGAAATGGAAAAGACAAAAACATACCAAAAAATATCTTACTTTCATCCCTTTCGATCTTCTCCCGTCCATCCAGCCGGCCAGAATGGCACATTTTCAACCAACCCCAACGACTCATATAGAATCAATTGTATTATTCATAAATTCCACCCTCGCATATTATTCAAAATATTCATCACAAATTCAATTCTCATGTAATTTACCCCTTTCATCTTTCATTTCCACACCTACTACGGCCTACTACAATGCGGACATCGGAAAAACACATGTAGGTACATTACAAGATTGTAGTAAATTTTTACTAATCATTTAACAGAATTTATTAATACTTTTTAACCCATTAACCCTTTATATTTAATTCTTCTGATTACTTTTAACAGTAATTTTTTCTTTAACAAACTTTAATAACTAAAATCTATTTTCTTTTTCTTTTCTAATAAAGTTGCGAATGGATCGTTTTGTAAAACGATCAACTTAAAAAAACACTTTAGCACTGGATTAAACTATGTGGGAAAAATCAAATTCTCGAGAAAGTCTGTGAAAATGCACCCGTAAAAATGCACCATAAAAATGCACCTGTTGCCGGAAATGATGCGAAAACGAGACTAAAGGGAGTTGGGGAAGCTGTCGTGGAGAGAACGGGAGTTTAAGGGGAGTTCTAAGGGAGTTCCTGCGCGAGCAACAGGGTTATTGTACAGGGTTGAATTGAATGTGATTTATGGGTATTTTACAGGGTCGAATGGCAAACATTTCAAGTGCAATATATTTTTTCTGAATAATTCGTCATTCTTCCAGCGAGAATTTTCCTAGTTAATTTATCAAAATATTATGATTTTTTTACAAACTTTATTCACTCGATAGCAATGCTTTAATGAAAATATTATTCGAGGATTCATCGATAAATTTTTGTTAATGAGAAAAACACAGATTTTCACAAAAATTACCAAACTATTTTATAATGTACTCATTCACAAAATACAAACACATTATACCTTATTAATTTCAATTTCTATGTTAAATGTAAACATAAAAGCAACATTAATCAATTCTGTGATTTTTAAATTGTTAATGAAACAATTTCATTTTAATTAAAAACTTTAATTCTAATTAAAGTAATTGATCAATATTTAAAGATTTAAATGTAGGTAACTTTTCTAACAAACATTCTACATTTTCATCACTTGAATTATAATACAAATTTGAAATACGTTGATAAATATTATTTAGCAGAAAACACAGAATAATGTTAAATATAGCTTCCTTTACATGTTATTAGCTTTAGTACAAAGTATTCTTTAAAAATATACTGTGTACCAGAAATACAATGTAATACAATTAGTTCGAAAGAACTCCTAATTTTGCTCTATTTAAACGATTACCTAATTAATCAGCAACAACAAACAAACATACTGATAACGAACTAAAAATATCAGATAAAATCAAATTAAATCAACAAAAACCTGATATTTTATGTAAAAATGATTCGAAATAAACTCACCCGATATGATTCCATCCATTTGCATCAAAGCCTGTTCCAATAACTTACTGGCCTCATTTTGGGCCGATATCGCCGGCACTTTGTTATTAGTTCCTTCCACTTTGCCCATATCGTTAAAATCACTAATTAAGGGCCTTAATTAAAGGGTCTAATTAAAGCAATAGTCCAGGCATTTAGGTCGAATGCCGAATTCGCGAATATTAACGCCCAAAAGACGCGATATGTTCGAGTTTAACAGGTAAATCGCGATGTTTTTATAAAAGAAAAAACACTTTTAAAGATGTTTATTTACTGTTTTGCTCGATTGATGGATGAATGAAAGAATAAATTCAGGATAAATGGTTAAATGTCGTCGGAAGATATCTTTCAGGTTGCCATTTTGATGTGTTATTCAAATAATAGGTGGCGATTTGACGTTTATGTCAAAACTGTCAATTAATATACTGCCTTTTATAAAGAATTCATCCCGTTAATATGTCAAAAAATAAGATTTAGGTTATGATTGTTATTGATGAATTTCTGTAAAAATTTTCGAATTTGTGAATAAAAATGGATCAATCCAATTTAAGCAACCAAAAATTAAAGAAAATAGAAAAAAAACTAAGGAAACTACAACACATTGTATTAAAAGAAACTGGCGTGGAATGTTCCATAAACAAACCAACAAATGTAGGGTTACTATATTTTCACCCTATTTTATTACATTTATTACAACTTAATGTTACATTTCTCATATTTTAGATATTAGTAATAGCAAATGCTGGTCTAATTAATGGATTAACCGAAGAAACAGTCTTAGAACATTTCTCGATTTATGGTACGATAGAAACCATCCTGCTAATACCAGGAAAATCCTGCTGTTTTATAAGATACTCGGACGAATTATCAGCTATAAAAGCATCAGAAAATCATAATGGAACGTTAAATATCGCCCAGAATTCCAAACCGATTTATTTACTATACGCAACAAGTTTACCCAATAACGAAGATGACGCAATTAACGAAGAAACCGTTCCAGGATTGGTTATATTCGAAGATTTTATTACACTCGAAGAAGAGCAAAAGTTGCTCGATTTGTGCGATTTCGAATCGAATTCCGATGTAAGTCATATGAAAAATCGGCAAGTGAAACATTTCGGTTACGAGTTTAATTACAACACGAATAACGTTGATAAAAATCAACCTCTAACCGAAGGCATTCCGGAAGAATGTAATTTCTGGAACAGACTGGATAATACTGCGTTTAAAAGCTTCATTCCCGATCAATTGACTGTAAACCACTATTTACCAGGCCAAGGGATACCCCAACACGTGGACACTCACAGCGCCTTCGAGGACCCCATAATGACCTTATCGCTACGAAACCCCATAGTAATGGAGTTTAAAAACAGCTACAAACACGTTTCGGTTCTCCTTAAACCGAGATCTCTGGCCGTAATGTCCGGAGAATGCCGGTACAATTGGACACATGGAATCACCCCGAGGAAATGTGATATGGTACACACTAAAACCGGTGATGTTTCCTTCCAACGTGACACGAGAGTCAGCTATACTTTCAGGAAGGTCTTGAGAAAACCTTGCGAGTGCATGTTCAAAACAAATTGCGATTCGTTTAAGGAATCGATCGAGAAATTGCGATCGAACGCTCCGGAATTGGAAAAAGAACACGTTCACAAAGTATACGAAAAGATAGCTGGACATTTCGATAGTACAAGGCACAAACCGTGGCCTAACGTCGTTGAATTTCTGGAATCGTTCGAGACCGGTTCGATTGTAGTCGATGTGGGTTGCGGAAACGGGAAATATTTGGGTTTAAACAAAGGCGTTTTTAATGTAAGTTTTAATGCAATTATTTCAATTATACACTTAAGTGCAAATGTGTGCGCAATATAATCTATGAGTACAACAAAGACAACTTTCATTAGTCTCGTATATAAGGAAAAAGAAAGAGTAATATTGTGGAAAGATTGCAACTTTCTCACTCTAACAACTGTTATTTTAATAATCTTTCTTTGTTCAACTCAAACGTGTACCTGTAGATGCAAAATAGTTTGAAATATGGTGCCTATGGGTGCAACAAAGACAACTTCCATTAGTCTCATAAAATTAGTCATATAAAAGGAAAAAGAAAGAGTGATATACAGTATGTCTGAATAAGTTAGCAACATATGGGAAACTTTTTTATTGTAAGTTTTACGAAAAAAAGTTATTCTTTATAAAAATATATCTGCTTTTAAAAATAATATTTAGGTATTTACATTTGAAATTAGATCTTCAGGGTATCCACAAATTGCAAAAAATTAATAGGAATATTTTGACCACTTCCAATTCAACTTAAATTTTACAAGTTTTAGTTGTCAAACACGTCAAGTTTTATCTTATTTTATGAGTCAACACACCTCAAATGATCATTTGTTGCTTTGAAATATTTTAGCAATGAACTTAAATCAGTAATAAATAAGTAATACCCAACAGAATAATGTATTTTCTACGGTAATACACAAAAATAAAGGAAATAATTTAAAATCTAGGTGGCTCTGACAATGACATTTCTCTTACTGAAAGTCAATCTAGTAAAAGCTTTCGAGAAATAAATAATACATTCCATCTAGTTAGTGTGCATTGAAATCGAAATGTAATTGTAACAAATGTAACCAAAATTGAAAACGTCAGTGTGTATTAATTCTACTTTAAGAAGTAGCAAAAATGCATATTAAAACATAGTTTTCTATTTCAAACAACTTTTCATTATTAAAGTTTTCGATATTGTAAAAAATAAAGGTACTTTACTCTTATATCAAATTCATATTTTTTGACAAACCTCGAATACGATTTAAAAAATTGACATCTGACATTTGCGTTTTATTTTATTGGCAATGCAGAACTTTTTATAAAGAATAACTTTTTTTTCGTAACATTACAAATAAAAACGTTCTCCATATGTTGCCAACTTTTTCAGACATACTGTAATGTGGAAGATTGCAACTTTCTCACTCTAAACGCTGTTGAAGAAACTCATAGAATTGGCCCCATATTGCAAACAAATTTGCACTTACCGGTATATTCAAAATAAGAGCATTAATAGAATACTGATTTTAGGTAGGCTGTGATGCCAGTTTGAATTTGCTGGACATTTGCAACAAAAAAGGATTGGAAATATTCGCCGCGAATTGCTTGAAAATACCCATCAAAGATAATTGCGTTGACGGTGCTATAAGTATTGCCGTTATTCACCATTTAGCGAACGACGTAATTATTTTTATTATTTTATGCACAATCAAAATGATTCACTAAAGTTCCCAAAACAAAGTTCAAAGTGTCACGGTTATTCTATTTTTAATTACTAGTTGTTTATTGCTGATTAAGTATTGCTCGAGTCAACGTTCAAGCGATAATTTGATACGTTTTCAGGAAAGGAGATTTTCTGCACTCGAGGAAATAGCGAGGATTTTAAAACCAGGAGGCAGGGCTTTGGTCTACGTGTGGGCGAAAGAGCAGGAAAAAGACCAGGAAAAGTCTTCTTATTTGAAGCAGTACAGAAATAACAAAACTCCTCAAGCCGCAGGAGAAGCTTCTGTATCGAATTTACCCATTCATGTTAACAGAACACAATTCGAGTACGAAGATCTTCTCGTTCCGTGGAAACTCAAACGATCCAACGAATCGAACAAATCCAACGAACCGAACACTTTCCTGCGATTCTATCACGTTTTCCACGAGGACGAATTGAAAGAATTGTGCGAAGACATCGAAAACATCGAAGTTATTAAATATTATTACGATCAAGGCAACTGGTGTTCGATTATAAGAAAATATTGAATACGTTAATGTTTTATTTCCAGCCCGCCGGCACGTCCCTGGCCCCTCTTAATCCCTCGTTCTGCAAGCCTTTTAATTCTGAGGTTATTATTCCACAAAATCGATACCATTGTTTCGCATAGGATGGCCGTAAAATTGTTTATATTTATTTTATCTCGGTGAATGAGTAATGCAACATTTGTTGTTACATATTACGCAGATAGCTGGCCACACAGCGTAATTTAAATCGAAAAAATAACGCATTGAATTCAGTCGATTCATCATGATCAAGCTAATAGCGTTGCTGAATTTGATAATTCTAGCGAATTCCTGCAATGTGTTCCAAAGGTACGTGCTACGAAGTGATTGTGAAGATGATAATGTTATTGACGATTCGGACCCGAAGGAATTTTTAGAAGACAATTCCTGCGGGTTTTTCAAGAAGCACATTCTACGCAGGGATTGCCCGGAAACCCCTCAGGAAAAATCGAAAAATACCAGAGAATGCAACCTGATAGAACGTTTTGTACTCAATAAATCCCATTGTGAATACAACCCGGACGAATATTTGGATGTTGTGAGTTTATAATCGAATAATTGAGCTATGAAATGGGCTAATTTTAGTGTATTTTCAGCCTGAAATAATCGCCAGGCATGGTTATTTATCCGAAACCCACACGGTTGTAACTGAAGATGGTTATATTTTGAGTATACACAGAATTCCGGGTAGTAGAAATGGCACCAAGTCGAGGCAACCGGTGTTTTTGCAACATGGGTTATTAGGCAGCAGCGCAGATTGGATTGTAAATGGAAATTTATCATTAGGTAATTTTATTATACTAGGTTGATCTAATAGTGAATTAGATACCCCTCGCTCCATTTCCGATAGCAACATGGTCATTTCTAAGAGTGGAACAAAGAGAGATTATTAAAATGACAGTTGTCAGAGTGAAAAGTTGCAATGACACAAATGTCACTCTTTCCTTTTCCTTTATAAGTGTCTAGTGGAAGTTGTCTTTATCGCACCCATAGCCTATATATAATTAACCTATGTTGCGATCAAAAATGGAGCAACCTGTATAGGAATAATACGAGTGGGAGAAAGAGAACGTTTGTAAAATTGTAATAGAGGGTGTAGAGATAGTCTTAAAATTGAACAAGTGTGCTTGCGAGTGATTTCAAATTGTGATTTTCAAATTGATTTCAGATTGTTTTAGATTCGTTTAGAACTGTTCAAAACTATTTAAAACTGTCCAGAATCATTTAGAACCAGTTTCGAAATAGCTAGAAAATATTGAAACAATTAGAATCATTTTGAACGATTTTAGAACTGTCCAGAATCTTTTAAAAGAGTTCAGGATCATCTCTTTCAAAAAAGAGAACTGTACCGGATCGGTCCGTTATAATAATATGGATATTGAGATAAGACGAGTGAGAGAAAGAAAGTGAATGTTCCCGTTGTAATAGAAAGGGAGAGATGGCACTATACACAGAATGAGCTAGTATTTTTAAATTGTCCAGGCTAATTTTAAATTCGTTTAGAACTGCTCAAAACTATTTCGAATTGTCCCACCAGAATCATTTAGAACCATTTTCGAACTAGCTAGAACCGCTTGAATCAGCTAAAATAATTTTTAGAATCGTTTAGAACTGTTCAAAACTATTTAGAACTGTACAGAACCACTTGAAAACTGACTTGGGGATTTTTTAGCGTATTACTTAGCCGATAGAGGCTATGATGTATGGCTGGGAAACGCAAGAGGTAACGATTATTCCAGAGCACACACTTATTTACCGACTAATTCCGCCGAATTCTGGAACTTTAGGCAAGATTTCCACTACTCAAACATTAGCAAATCAATGTTTAAACAATTTCTTTTAGTTTTCACGAAATGGGCACCAGAGATTTACCTACTGTACTTTATCACATCAGCAATACTACGGATAGATACGGTGATATAATCTATATCGGTCATTCAATGGGGACCACGATGTTCTTTATATTCGCTTCCGAAGATCCCCAAGCGGCCAAAAACGTTAAAGTGATGTCCGCTTTGGCCCCTACGGCTTACATGACCCACATGCACGCCCCTGTGAGGTATTTTGCCCCTTACGCGAACGATATTCAGGTAATTACACTGCTCGTCAAAATTAGCGACTGGCTTTTTTGAAGCCCTGTAAAATTGGCTATAGTCGAACTAGAGACTTGTAATTTTTACCAGAAGTAGCCTCATATCTTGTCTTAGCATTAGCTTAGTATAATCATCCCTACTAAATTGCAAGGGGGTGACCACCTCTTTGAATGAAACCATTTACATTGTTCATAAAAATTTGCACCTCACTTTTTTGAAGCTCTATAAAAGTAGCTATAGTCAAACTAGGAACTTGTAATTTTCTTTAGGTTTAGCCTCATATCTTGTCGTAGCGTCTACTAAATTTAATGGACCCAAATTGCAAGGGGTCGAACCACCCCTTTAAATGAGACCATCTAGATCGTTTATAAAATTGGCGACCACTTTTTTGAAGCCTTGTAAAGTTGTCTACAGATAAGCTATAGACTTGTAATTTTCTCCAGATATAGCGTTATATTTTTTCTTAGCATCCACCAAATAGAATTATCGACATTTAATTGCAAAGTCGAATTTCCCCGTTGAATGAGACCATCTACATTGTTCCTAAAAAATTGCAACCCACTTTTTTGAAGCTCTGTAAAATTGTGTACAGAGAAGCTAGAGTTTGTGATTTTCTCCAGATATAGCTTCATATCCTTTCTTAGCACTCACTAAATAGACCCCCACTCAATTGCAAAAGGGCGAACCTCATATTATTCCTCATAAATATTACCGCCTACTGTTTATCAAAATTTCCAACCCACTTTTTGAAGCCCTATAAAATTGCCTACAGACAAGATAGACAGTTGTAAGTTTCTCCAGATATAGCCTCATATCTTGTCTTGGTATCCACTAAATTGAATGAATCCTATTCAATTTCAAAAGGGCGAACAACCCTTTTGAATGAGACCATTTTCAAAAAAGTGACCAAGCTTTCAGGTGTCCTTGGTATCATTCATGGTGAAGTTAATGACGTGGAATTTTCTATAGGAATATAGTATCATGTCTTCTTTGGCCCCCATCAAATTGAATCATCCCCAATCAATTACAAAGGATCATTCCAACTCTTTGAAAGAGATGCTTATAAATTGAATTCTGTAGAAGTCTCCTCATTCATGGTCTTATACTAACTCTAATTTAATGAGGTGGCGACCTCTTTTGGAGTTGAATGGAGATGATTCTACTTGGTGGGTACCAATATAAAGGATATGTGGCTTCTAGATTGATTATATCTAAGTTTACAGGTCTCAAAAAATGTTGAGTTGCCATTTTGGCAAATTACCAATTTTAATTCATTTATACTCTTTTATAGTGGCTCAGCAAATACCTAGGATTCAAACGATTCCTTCCCAACAACAAGATCCTCAAGACCCTCTCCTATCAATGCGAACTGTTCAAAGTAAGCAAAGAAATCTGCGAGAATTTAATATTCGCCATTTGCGGTTTCAATAAAGATGAATTCAATTCGGTGAGTTGTTTACGTTAAAACTAATGAATTTAGTAAATTATTATGAGCGATTTTCAGGATATTCTTCCTGTCTTATTAAGCAAAGATCCAGCTGGAGCTTCCACGAAAACAATCTTACATTATTTGCAAGAAATTAAAAACGATGGTTTGTTTCAAAAATTCGACTACGGAAGCAAAGGGAACCTAATCGAATACGGTGTAAAATTTCCTCCTAGATATAATATAAGTAAAATTGATAGGCCTATACATCTCATGTATGCCATGAACGATTGGTTAACGAACTATACTGTAAGTATTACGTTAAAAGTATGCGAAATATAGAAGTATTAATCGTACATGTGTTTTAGGACGTTATTCGATTGGGTGGGGAATTGAAGAATTTGAAAGGATTGTATAAGGTGGCCATGGAATCCTTTAATCACGTTGATTTTATATTCGGTAAAGACGTGATAGAGCTCGTTTATGACCCGTTGTATAAGTTCTTGTTACCGTATTCTACGAATTAATTTCGGATTAGGTTGTGTTATTTCCCTAAAGAGAATATAGGGAATTAAAGATTTAGTGTTGATTGATGATATTTGTTAATGAAATATAAAATAAATAAAAAGTATTTAACAATGCTATGAAGTAACAAATGATGTAACATAATCAATAACTAAGATGATGTTACAATTAACAATTGCCGAAACAACGGTTAGAATTAAAATTACCCAAAATAATGTAAATATCTAGAATCCATACTAATTACAATTAACGACAATGTGAGTGTGTACTAATTGTTTACATTTTATTCACTTATTGAAAATAATGGCGTTTTTAAATTTAATATTATCCGCAATCTGCTACATTTTAATTTAGCTGTTGAATAACAATAAGTAAACACAAACCAATTAATAAATGTACAGGGTGGCCAAATAAGGATGGCACTCAGCCATATCTCAGCAAACTAATTGTCGTAGACTTGCGGTAAAAAAAATGCTGGAAATAATTTTTAAGTCCCTAAATGGCCGCTAGGGGGAGTACCCTCTATCTTAATTTTAAAAGTAATTTTTTTCAAAATTTTCCTTAATAAAGGTATTATAAATGTATTTTATGTTGATAGTTGAGATCATGAGATAATATCGATTCCCTTTTGTTACATGATATTTACACTATCTTTTAAAATAAAGTGGTGGGAGATATTTGAATATTTTGACAAATAAAGTTATTTTAAAATTTTAAATGGCTGAATTTACAAAAAAATAGAAATCATTTTGAAAATAGACCAAGGAAAGGGCTTTCCTTAGCCTATCATTTATACTATACTGATTGCTTCAATTCAGACCGCAACATGGTCGTTTCTTTGAGTTGAACAAAGAAAGATTAATAAAAAAACCCGATTTTCTCAAAAAATTTAAATTTAACGATATATATTTTTCTTTGGAGAAATAGAGTCAAATAATTGCCAAACAAGCCTGTAAAAACTGCATCTCGCTATCTCCTTCCTAATCTAGAATATATTTAAAAAAAAGAAAAAAACCAAGAAATTGGGTATATTTTTGGTATCCCTCTCGTTATAAAAGCCTCTAATTACCGTTGTTTCTATTTGATAAAAATATGTCGTCCTGAAAAGGACCGATTTGTATTTATATATGCAATCGTTTCTTTTACTCTTCGAAATGGCGTCCATCATTTCGAATGCAACATTTGATCCTTTGCTGTGTGTTCAAAACGAATTAAAGCTTCTACGAATTTCAGCCGGTGAGAGACTTTGAACAGCATTGGTAATTTGCTGAATCGTATTCTGTCTTTTGTGGTTGGTTGTACGACATCTTTTATGCGACCCCATAAATAAAAGTCTGAACAAGTTAATTCTGGAGATCTAGTATGGAATATTTCCTCGTCCAATCCACTTTCCAGGATATTCTTCGTTTAAATATTCTCGAACCATTCTAGAAAAAATGAGCTGGGCATCCATCGTGTTGGAACCACACATATTGCTTCAAGTCTCTTCAGAGGAACATCTTCCAATAACAAAGGAAGTTCGTTTTGTAGGACATTCACAAATTGAGTCGCTCATTAATAGACCAGGGACCAATTCCTTTTATAGAGAAAAAAGTGGACATACTTTAGATAAAAATTACATTTTTTTCAACCATTTATATTTGAAAATTTGATTCTTTCTTATTGGAAAGGCTTTGTCGCCTTTCACAGTATTGGCTATGCAGTCAAATAACACACATCACCAGAAATTCTCAAGTTGGCAACGCTGATTTCACTAAAAATCTTCCCATACTCGAATGACAAGTAAACACAATAAAAGAAACGCCATTTTCTGATTGTCAAAAAGGTTTTGCACGCAATTAAAAATTTATCGTGATAAAGAGACTGTTTGTGGAAATTTTTCAAGAGTAAGTTCATTACTGAATTAAATACCTAATCTCCAAAATACGCCAACTAGTTTTCATAATTGTTAAATGTTTACTGTCGAAAAACAGCTGACTAGATGCTTCCTTAATTTAATTGACAGTATTATTGTTCTTTTAAAAGCTAAATTGTGCGGGTAATTAGTGTGCTTTACACGAAATTTCCGCCCCCTCTTTGTGCATTGAAAAGTTTCGTCTGGTTTTCTCGTTGTTATTTCGAATTGTAGTGTTAATATCATCGTGTTCAGATAAGATTATTATTGGATGACATCACAAAAAAAACGTATTATTATAAATTCACTCTCTGCCATTGAGTCATCTTTATGTATTTTCAATTTATTAGTTTATTTAATAACACTCGCTTTTATCGCATTGAACGATTGTTTGTTCCTTTTTAAACATGCTTGTACTATTTCTAACAATTTTTTGTTCATCTTGGGATAGTTTGGCAAAATCTTGTAATCACATTGATCTTTAAATTTTCCATCGATACATTCGAATTGACTCATGCTAGGTTATTGTTCATGGATTAATCGAACGATTTCTGTTTGGTTACGCAGACAAAATTTGACTGAAAAACCGAAGGGAAAATGGCCAGCCGGAAGAAGACCCTGCTCAAAGTGATCATCCTGGGCGATTCGAGCGTTGGAAAGACGTCCTTAATGAACCAGTACGTGAACAGGAAGTTCTCTAATCAATACAAAGCCACCATCGGAGCGGATTTTCTGACCAAGGAACTTACCGTCGACGATCGAACTGTTACCATGCAAATTTGGGATACGGCCGGACAGGAGAGATTTCAATCGCTGGGCGTCGCTTTTTACAGAGGGGCCGATTGTTGTGTTTTAGGTAAATGGGATTCCGTTTCGTTTGTTTATGAATAGGTATATTTAGAAAAAGTTGCTTTAAAATACGTTAAAAAATCTGCTAAAGTTCGTACGTTTTAAAATGATAATGACGTCACGAGCCAGCAACGTTGTTGCAACGTTGCCGGGTTGTAATTGAAATCCTTTATATTACTGATATATTTATTTTAATTTAAGCTTAAACCAAAGCTTAAATTAAATGCTATAATGCTGCGATAAATTAAAAGCTTTTAATTTAAGCTTAAAACACTCCAGAATCGTCCAGAATCGTTTAGAATACTCCAGAGTCATTTAGAACGCTCCATAATCATTTAGAACACTCCAGAATAATTTAGAACACTCCAGAATCCTTTAGAACGCTCCATAATCATTTAGAACACTCCAGAATAAATTAGAACGCCCCTTAATCGTTTAGAACGCTCCAGAATCGTTTAGAACACTCCAGAATCATTTAGAACGCTCCATAATCATTTAGAACACTCCAGAATTATTTAGAACGCTCCATAATCATTTAGAACTGTATACAATAATTAAGAACGCTCCAGAATCGTTTAAAACACTCCAGAATCATTTAGAACACTCCAGAATCGTTTAAAACGCTCCAGAATCGTTTAGAACAATCCAGAATCCTTTAGAACGCTCCAGAATCGTTTAAAACGCTCCAGAATCGTTTAGAACATTCCAGAATCGTTTAGAACGTTCCATAATCATTTTGAACACTCCAGAATAATTTAGAACACTCCAGAATCATTTGGAACGCTCCAATATCATTTGGAACGCTCCATAATCATTTAGAACTGTCTAAAATCATTTAGAATAATCCAGGATCATTTAGAACGATCCATAATCATTTAGAATTGTCTAGAATGATTTAGAACACTTCAGAATCATTTAGAAGTATATAGAATTAGAACTGCCTGGAATCATTTAGACTATTTAGAAGCATTTATAACACTCCCGAATCATTTAGAACTCTCTAGAATCCTTAAAAAATATCTAAAATCGACTAAAAAAACCATAGAATTACCAAAAATTGACAAAAAATCAACCAAAAAGTATCTAAAAAACAACTAATTTCTCCAATTTATTTCCCCAGTTTTCGACGTAATGGCACCATTTAAAAAATTCACTAAAAAAATCGATCCAAATTACAAAAAAAAAACAACTAATTTCTCCAATTTATTTTCCCCTCCCAGTTTTCGACGTAACAGCCCTGAAAACATCTTCAAAAAATGACCAAATAACAACTAAAAAAAAACACCAAAAAAACAAGTAATTTCTCCAATTTATTTCCCCTTTAGTTTTCGACGTAACAGCCCCGAACACCTTAAAAAATGACCCATAAAAATCGACTAACAATGACCAAAAAAAAATTACAAAAAATGACTAATTTTTCCAATTTATTTCCCCGCGGTTTTCGACGTAACAGCCCTGAAACAACCTTCAAAAATGACCTAATAACAACTAAAAAAACAACTAATTTCTTTAATTTATTTCCCCCTTAGTTTTCGACGTAACGGCCCCGAACACGTTCAAATCCCTAGACAGCTGGCGCGACGAATTCCTCATCCAAGCCTCGCCCAGAGAACCGGAAAACTTCCCGTTCGTTTTACTCGGCAACAAAGTCGACCTCGAACCTCGCGCCATTTCGGCCAAAAGGGCCCAGCAGTGGTGCCAATCGAAGAACAACATCCCCTATTTCGAGACGTCCGCCAAAGAGGGCTTGAACGTGGAACAGGCATTTTTGGCCATAGCCAAGAACGCCTTGGCTCAGCAAAATTCCACCGTTGATTTGTATAACGAATTTCCCGATCAGATCAAGTTGACTAATACGCAGAAGAGTGGAGGGAACGGGGATTCTTGCGCATGCTGAATTGAGATTATTTTATTTTTTATTATTTTTTTGTTTTTTTTTTCGGTTAATAGATTGTTTTTGAAATTAATTAATTGATTAGGGGTAGTTGATGAAGTGTATTTAATTTTTTAGGTGTAAAAATTGAGTTTACTGGTATAGTAGGCTTCTTTTTTATTGCAAAAATAACGTTGATGTTGAATATTTTGTATATATTTAGCACTTTATTTACTAATTACGAATTTGGTGAGCTAAAAAATCATGTAAAATCTCTAATTTTTCTCCTAAAATTCCCATAAAATGTTCCTTAAAACTCCATAAAATGACCCTAAAATTTCTCATAAAATTGCCCTAAAATTCTTCTAAAATGACCCAAAAAATCTGTTAAAATCTAAAATTTGCCTAAAAATGTTTGCTAATCGTCCATTTATTTTTTTTACTTTCTAAATTTCCCCTAAAATTTGTAAAATTTTATCTAAAAATTCACATAAAATCCTCTAAATTTAAAAAAAAATTTCCTTAATTTTGCATAAATTCTCCTAAAATACCCCTAAACTTTACTAAATTTTCCCTAAAAATTCCCCAAAACACCCTAAAATCCTAAAAAAAACTGGCATAATTACAATTGAAACTGCATGATAGTTTCATTTTTAAACGTATAAAAAATACATTTTTTAATAATTGTTTTACAATTTATTAACTGTAATATTTGGCTCGTAATTTATTCTTAGTTATTTTTTTTATTTTATGTAAGAAAATTAGTTTATTTTCCACTTTTCCAGGCTTGGGATGTGATAAGTTTCATATTAGAATTAATTAATTGTATAAAAAATGTTTTGAAAATACGAAAAAGCGTCCGGAAAATATTGGAAAAATCTCGTTATATTTTCTTGATTTTTTTTCTCTCGCTGGAAATATCTTAGATTTACTTTATTGCAATATCTTAAATGTAAATAAAACATATATTAAAATAAAAAATAACGTTATTTATATTATAATTGTCTTAGTTATTTCTCAATAAAAGTTGTTTATGCAAAATCAAAAATGAATTCATTTCAAATGAAGAAAAAAAAAACTCCAAAAATTACCTAAAGTCGGTATCATAGTATCGATTCATACTAGATTCAATTAAACTATTCAATACCGTCTAAAATTGAAATTTCTCGAATATTCCCATAAAATAAAGCCAATTTCCTTGAAATCTTTCCCCTAAAATTATCCTGGTATTAATAAAAATTTGTCTCTACATCTAGCGACATTGGAAGTTTTTAGTGATATCACCAGATCTAAAACTTTGATGTCTTTAGTGATATTTCCAGAACTAGGGATTTTAATGTTTTTAGTGATATCCGAAGATCTAGGGACTTTTGTATGTTTTACAGAAATTTTCCGTACTCGAAAAATTGTAAGGAATATTCCGTTATAATCTTTCGATTATCATAAAGCTTGTTTTATTTTTTAATAAAGTGTGTATAAAAATAAACTCTTATTTATATAACAAAAATCACATTTAATAATACAAAAAAAAACAAAAATATTTTACAAATAATCAGGTAAAATTTTAAAACTAAATGTACATATTAAATCAACAATTTTTTTACATTAAAAAATTAAATATCACAAAATATTTAAATTACTAAATATTAACTTGTAAAAACAGTACACAAGCGAAATTCTTCTTATTTTTGGTATTTTATTTAACATCTTAGGTGAATTTTTTTCTATAAATAGCGAAATTTTTTGCAATTTTTTTAGTAAAAAAGCGACGAAAGAACATGATAAAATAATTACAAAATTTTCCCTTACAAGAAACTTAAAATTAAATATTTACAATTTTTTACACAAATGCTTAAATGGGAATTAAGTAAAAAATAAACAAATTTTTGAACTTATTTTTGCTAAATTTTTTTCGAAAAATTTCGAAACAATAAACTCAAAAATCCCCAATTCAACTAATCATATAAGTCAATTAATTGTTGATATTAATCTAATCAGACGAGATCAAACGTATTGAAAATTGTCTGTTTGTTGATCGATCAACGGACGATTTTCCTGAACTTTGTCCGTCTGGAAATCGCCCAGCCAAGTTTGCCGATCCGTGAAAAATTCCAGGAAATTCCGGAAAGGCCCTTTGGAAAAGGGACTCTTCCCTTTGTTCCTGATAAAATGGGGATACCTGGATTTGTTGATTCGTTCATTCGTTGTCATTCCGAGGAAAATTATCTGGAAAATTTAAATATACATGTAATGTAGATAGATAGGGAATATGTAAGAAAATTGTAAGTAAAAATACAGGGTGGCCCAGAACTCACGCTCCACCGTGAAATACCTTATGGAAACGACAATGGAGATGCCAAAACTGCAGTCGAAAATATGAAAAAGTTATTCCTTTAGTAAATAAAGAGGTTTAAAATTGACCAATCCCTGTAGGAATTCAAATATTTACCAAAGAAATAATTTTTTCATGTTTTCGACTGCAGTTTTGGCATCTCCATTGTAGTTTCAATAAGGCATTTCCCGGTGGGGCGTAAGTTCTGGGCCACCCGGTAAAAATAAAAATTAGGAAATTGGATTAAAAATTAAGAAAAATAGGTAGAAAAAGACAAATAAAATCTAAGTAAAATCCTCTTGAAATCTTCAAAAAACAATCCTTTAAAAACCTCTTGAAATCCTCTCAAAACACCCCTTAAAAGCCTCATGCAATCTCCCCAAAACACATTTCCAAGGCCACTTGTTTTCCTCTCAAACTTCCCTATAAAAACCTTTTAAAATTCTCCCAAAATACCTCTAAAGAACCTCTCGAAATCCTCTCAAAACACCATTTAAAACCATTTGATATCATTAAAACTTCTTGAAATCCTTCCAAAACGCCCCTTAAAAACCTCCTGAAATCTCCCCAAAAGACTAATTAAAACCTCTTGAAATCCTCCCAATACACCCATTAAAAACTTCTTGAAATCTTCATAAAACACCCTTCAAAAACTTACTGAAATCCTCCCAAAACAACCTCTTAAAACCTCTTAATATTCTCCAAAAAAACCCTTAAAATCATCCCAAAACACCCTATTAAAACCTTTGATCTCATCTGAAAATATCCCTTAAAAACCCAAAATCATCTCTTAAAATCCTCTAGAAACACGCTTTAAGATCATCTTAACAAATCTTCCCCAAACACTATTAAAACCTCTTGAAATCATCCCAAAACATCCTTCGAAAGCGTATTGTGATCTTCTCAAACCTCCCCATAAAAACCGTTTAAAATCCTCCCAAATACCCCTAAAGAACCTCTCGAAATCCTCTCAAAACACCTTTTAAAATCGCTGTAAACGCCTCTTAAAATTCTCTCAAAACAACTTTTAAAGCCATTTGAAATCCTCCCAAAGCAACCCTTACAAAAACATGTTAAAATCCCCTCAAAACATCCATTAAAACCTCTTAAAATCCTCCAAAAAAATCCATCTATCCTTACCTGATAAAACTGGCATACAAATAACAAAAACACCCATATTAAATGGAAAAACCCATTCAGGGCCACCCACGATATCCATATGTCGCATTGCCCGATCGACATTGCCCATTTCCAAGCGTTCTCCGTAGGCGCGACCTCGCAATTGGGCGACTTTCTCCAATACTCCGTGATGCCGTATAACAATTGGAGACACATCATGATCAAGCTGGCCAGGAATCCCAGGAAATGCCGGTGGTTTTTGGCGCCTGGAAAACATATGGAAAATATTTGTGAAAAGTTTTTGCGAAGGTTTCCGAGTTATTTAGGGAGGTTTTTTAAGGAGGTTTCTGGGGGTTTTGGAAAAGTTTCTGAGGTTTTAGGAACGTTTCCGAGTTTTTTTAGGGAGGTTTCTGGGGTTTTAGGAAGGTTTCTGAGGATTTTAGAGGGGGTTTTGATGTTTTTAGGGAGGTTCCTGGCGTTGTTAAGGTTTTCTGGGGTTTTAGGGAGGTTTCTGAGGTTTTTATCGGAGTTTCTGGGCTTTTTAGGAAGGTTTCTGAGTTTTTTTAGGGAGTAGAATTGTAGAATTCTTTAAACGTAATTTATGGAGTTTTAAGGACAATTTAAGGTTATTTAAGGAATCTATAAAGGCTTTTATGAAGTATTAATGGTCATTTTAGAATTCTTTAAGGAGTTTTTAAGGTATTTTAAGGATTATTTAAGGTCATTTATTAAGGAGTCTTTAATTCTCTTTTTAGAACAGCGCAAGGGATTTTAAGGAGTATTTAAGGTAATTTAAAGACGCTATAAAGATCTTCTTGGGAGAGTTTATGGTCTATTGGGTGGTCACTTATGGAGTTTTAAGATCATTTAAGGATTATTAATGGTCATTTAGGGCTTAGGGAGTCGATTAATGTCTTGTAGGGAGTTATTAAAAGTCATTTAAGGAGCATTTAAGGCTATTTAAGGAGTCTCTAAAGCTCTCTTAGGGAGTTTCTAAGGTCCTTTAGAGGGGTTTTAAGGCTTTTTAAGTCATTTAAGGGAGTTAAGGCCATAGAAGGACCTTTAAGGAGTATAAAAAGCATTTTAGGGATTTTAAAGTCTCTTGGAGAGCATTTAAGATCGTTTATGTTTAAGATCATTTAAGTGGTCTATGGTTATTAGTGAGTATTTATGATCATTTAAGGGGGCTTTAAATTATAGTAATACTCTTTAATTATTAATTAGAGAGCTATTTAGATTATTTAAGGTGTCCTTAATTATCTTTTAGGAAATATTTTAGGATCATTTAAGAAGTGTTAAAAAGTCTTTTAGGGAGTTATTAAGGTCTTTTAAGGAGTCTTTAAAGGTCACATAAGGAGTTTAAAGGTCTATTAGGGAGTATTTAAGAGAGTATTCAAGGTCCCTTTTTAAATGTTTAAGTGTTTTGTAATAAGAGAAGTAAAAAATGCATATTTACCGATGCAATTAGCCACCCAAGGACAATGATGATCGAATTTGGCGATGCATCGGTTGCATATCGAACAATGTTTCGATCTCAATGGTCTTTTCGTCAAGCAGGCCGAGCAAAATTGCGAGGGATCGAAGGAGGCCGGACCTTTTTCCGCTAATTCTATTATGGTCTGGAAACGGAATCGAGACGATAAAAAAAACCAAACAATTATCTCGGAAATTGTGAAGGTTTTCGAAAATTTAACATTCTTCGAACATTGTAAAGAAATGTTTTTTCTATGACCCGGATATTTTTATCTCAATTAGTTTTCGAGATAATTGCGATATTTCAGCCAATTAGATCTAAATCTGTAATTTCGATGTAATCCTCAAAAAAACCGAAATATCTCGAACACCCTTCGATTTTCGGAAATTTTCCATTCTTTAAAATTTACAAAGAAATGTTTTTTCTACAAGTAGAAGCAATCCGGATATTTCTATCCGAATTAGTTTTCGAGATAATTAGGATAATTTATGGAATCATATTTAAATCATTAATTACAAAACAAGGCTTAAAAAACTCAAAATATCTGGAAAAACCATTCGATTTTCGGAAATTTTCCTTTCTTCCAAAATTGTAGAGAAATGTTGTTCTTTTCAAAAAGAAATAAATGGGACATTTCTATCGCAATTAGTTTTCAAGATAATTGCGATATTTCCTGCAATTACTTTAAAATCAATAAATTAAAAACAGCACTTTAAAAATCCCGAAAAACTGCTCAATTTTTGAAAATTTTTCTCTCTTCAAAAAGTATAGAGAATCGTTTTATCTACAATACAAAACAAACGGAACATTTTTGTCTCAATCAGTTTTCGAGATAATTGCATTATTTGATGGAATTAGGAACTACAAATATACGCTCAAAAAAATTCGAAATATCTCGAAAACCGATCAATTTTCGAAAATTATCTATTCTTCAAAAATTACAAAGAAATGTTTTTTCTACAAAATGAAGCAATCTGGACTTTACTGTCTACATTATATCTCGAGATAATTGCGATATTTGATGTAATCAATCAAAAGAAACGCTCAAAAAACCCGAAATATCTCAAAAACCACTCGATTTTCGAAAACTTTTTGCTTTAAAAATTGTAGAGAAACAAAATGAAGCAACCCGGATATTTCTATCTAAATTACATCTCGACATAAATGCGATATTTCATGGAATCGTAATTACGAAAAAACACCCAAAAACTTGAAATATCTCTAAAACCGCTCGATTTTCGAAAAATTTTCATTCTTTCAAAATTGTAGAGAAACGTTTTTTCTACAAAACGTTGCAAACTGCATATTTCTATTGCCATTAGTTTCCGAGATAATTGCGATATTTTATCCAATTATATTAAAATCAGTAATTTAAAAACTACACTCAAAAAACCCTCACTATCTCTACAACCGCTAAATTTTCGAAAAAATGTCTCCAAAAATTATAGAGAAATGTTTTTTTCTTCAAAACCACCTAAATGGGTCATTTTAAAACTCACCCTAAACTGGGACAACCTCGATTTTTCAATAGCACCGGCATCACCTAACCAAGACTTCAAGAAACAATACCACAACAAACAGGAACTCAACAGGAACATAACGGTGAATAATATGTCGATCAAGGGTGCTATGTAAATCAACCACGTGACGTAGAACCACATTTTCGTCGATAGATATATGGTGATCGGCAGCAGCGCCATCGATTTGTCGTCGCAGAAAATCTGGGCCGAATAATGGATGACGACGTAAAGGCATATCAGCAGGAATACTTTGATTATGGCTATCAAGTTGGCCGATAGGATCGCTCCTGCTAGGTAGAAGGCCATGAACGGGGTGCCCGCCATGCACCAATGGCGGATTTTCTGTGGATAATAATTAACGGTGAAAATATGTAGTGAAAAGAGTGGAGAAGTCAGTAGTAAATTAGTAGTGTATGAAGTTAATGAAGTGGTGAAAATACGTGGTATAAGTAGTATGTGAGTACAAAATACTATGAGAATTAAATGATGATAATGTGGTGAAATAAACACTATGTAAGTACATAGTAAATATGAAAAGTAAGCGGTGAGAATGTGGTGAAATATGTAGTAATGTTTGTTGAGAGTGCAAGAAAATAGTGTTCGCGAGCACAAAATATTAGGCGAATTTAGTGGTGAAAATGTGGTAAAATAAGTACTATAAGTAGTAAGTATGCAGCGAATTAGCGGCAAACTTGTGGTGAGAGTGTAATAAAATATATGCAATTACTAAATTTTAGGCAAATTAAGTGGTGAAATATGTATATTTAAGTGAGTACAAAATATTAGGCTAATTTATTGGTGAAAATGTGAAATGGTGGTGAGAAGAAGTATGACTAGTAAGTATGAGGCGAATTATGTGGTGAACAGGTAGGGAAAGTTTGGTGAAATATTGTATGTCAATAAAAAATATTAGACTAATTAAGTAGGTAAGTAGGTCAATTATATAGGGCGAAGTAAGTGGCGAAAATGTGGTGAAATAAGTACCATAAGTAGTAAGTATGCTGTGAATTAAGCGATAAACTTGTGGTGAGAATGTAATAAAATATAGGCAAATACAACATTTTAGGCGAATAAAGTGGTGAAAACGTGGTTGAAGTGTGGTGAAATAAGTATTATATGAGTTGAAAATATTAGATGTAGTAGTAAGTGATAAAAATATAGTGTTAAACGGTAGGTTAATTGCAATTAACTATTTGTTAAATAATGCTGAAATTTGGTGAAATGTTTACAAGTATTTTACAAGTATTTTTTAGTGGTGATGTACTGGAAGAACAGTGGGTAATAATGTGTTTTTTAAACAAATGGTAATTGAAATTCAAGTAAATAAAGGGCGAAATTTAGGTAAAATATTGATTAATTGTGAATAAAAATAATCAAATTGTACGGAAATAGTGTTAAAATGTGGCAGGTGAAATGGCAATAGAATTTGTAATAAATAGGTCGTAAAATACACCCAATATATGATAAATATGGGTAAATAGGTAGTAAAATCGCGGTCGAAGTAGTAGTGTAAATAGTGAGTATAGAAGTAATTTTTAGTGGTAAAGTAGTGAAAGAACAGTAGGTGATAATGTGGTTTTTAAACAAATAGTAATTAAAATTAAACTAAATAAGTGTCGAAATTGTGGTAAAATAGTGTTAAAATGTGGTTAAATATCAATTGAATTTGTGGTAAATAGATTATATCCCAATGTATGGTAACTAGATGGTGAAATCGTGGTTGAAAAAGCAGTGTAAATAGTGAGTATAAACGTAGTTTTTTAGTTACGAAGTAGTGGAAGAACAGTGGGTAATGGAGGTAATGAATAGTGGTGATGTGGTTTAAAACCAGTTAAATATTGATAAAAATGTGTCGGGAAAACCTATCACAAATAATGGTAATAAAAATTAAAGAAAAATATGTGGTGAAATTGTATGATTAAATAGTGAATTTAGTGAAATAGTGTTAAAATGTAGTAAAATTATAACGGAATTTGTTATAAATATAACGTAAAATATATGGCAAGTAAGTGGTGAAATTGTGGTTGAAGTAGTGAAAAGATTGTGTAAATAATGGTGATAATGTGGTTTAATAAAAGTAAAATAGGGATAAAAAAACGGTGACAGAAATTAAAGTAAATAAGTGGTGGTGAAATTGTGGTTACATAAGTGAAAAAAAGAAACGGTAAATATAAATACTGACTTTATCAGCAGCTATCCTCCTGATAAGGCCGTTCGAATTAGAACCAGTCGAAGATTCTTTGACGATTTCGGCGACCTTCGGTGCTATCCAAATGTTGCTCAATTGTGTTTGGAGCATTTTCACTGGTGTTTCACCTCTATTGTTTGAGACATACAGACTGGCTGAACTCTAAAAAAATACATTTTTAGAGTAATTTCATTAGTGTTTAAAAGAAAACTTTGGGATTTTGGGGCAAAATATATTATTTTTACAGTTTTTGAGCAATTATCTTATCGTTTTGAGCCATTTTAATGTTTCTTGTTCAATAGTAAAAAACATTAAAGGCTCAATCCACCCATGTCTCAATTAATTCAATGCCTAAAAATTGATAAAAACCAACAGTCTCAAGGATTAGAATCTACGCTCGAATTCGCCCAAAGCTCTATTGCCTCAATCTCCCAAAAAACTTCTCATTGCCATCACAACCTCAATTAGGTCAATGTTTAAATCGACTCAAACCCTCAATCTTTCTAATGACTTAAATCCACAATCTTCCCTAAGACTTAAACTCAAAAACTCAATATCTCCAAAGGTACAAACCCTTAACTGCCTCAAAGCTATAATCAGCTCAATCTTTCCAGAGGCACAATCTCCTCAATCAACTTAAACTCTCAATTTTCCCAAAGGCAGAAATATTCAATTGCCTCAAAGCTAAAATCGATTCAAACGCAAGCTCAGTCTCCCCTAAAAGTCTCCAAACTTCTCAATATCCCCCAAAGTTTCAAAACCGTTGAAAAACTATTCCTCACCTGTAAAATCAACGTGGAAACGGCCAAGGCGTTCCTGGCCATGATGGCCCAATGCAGGGCCGTATTGCCCTGGTGATCGGTCAAATTGGGCGAGGCGCCCAACGTCAGCAACAGCCTAGCCGGATCCAAAGTGCATATTTTCCATGCGGCGTGCATTAAGGGTGTCATGCCTGACCGGTCGGGCAGGTCCGGGCTGAGGCCTTTCGCCACGAAATAGGCCACCTAGAAAACGAGAGGATTTTTGGAAAAAAAATTGGAAAAATTTCTGTTTGTAATATAAGAGCATTGTAGATTTGTAATAATGAAATTCAATGAAATTCGATTATTTTACTTTCAAAGGAACTTTTTTCACTTCGTGAAGAGTAGATTGAGTGTAGTGTAGAACAGAGAGTGTAGATTCAGTGTATAATAGAATCGAATGGAATCAGAGTAGAGTAGAACAGAGTAGATTTACAGTAGAGTGGATTCACAGTAGAATAGAGTATGGTAAAGTAGTGTTAATTAAAAGTAAGTTTAGAAGATTCAAGTAAAGGAGAGTAGATTCAGAATAGAATAGAATAGAGTAGAACAGAGAACAGTAGATGCATGTAGAGTAGATTTAGAGTGGAATACATTCAGACTAGAGCAGATTCAAAGCAGTGTACATTCAGAGTAAAATATATTCGTGTAGATTCAGAGTAGAACAGAGTAGATTCGAGTAAAGTACTCGGACAGAGTGAGTAGATTTAGAGTAGATTACATTCATACTAGAGCAGATTCAGAATAGCGTAGAGTAGATTCAAAGAAGAGCCAATTCGTGTAGATTTGTAAACAGAATAGAGTAGAATAGATTAGATTCGTGTAGACCACTCGGGCAGAGTGAGTAGGATTAATAACAAACAATTAATTTTTCGATTGTTGATTTAAAAATGGCTCATTTTTATACAAATAATAAAGGCTTTTCAAAGCGTTTCCAATCATAATGGCAACAATTTTGAGCAGTTCCTTTAACTTTTAATGAACAGGGCCGTATTAACTAACTTTTTAATAATTAAAAATTGAAAAAAAATCATGCTCTCTTATTTTCCAGAATATTAAAAAAATTTACTTGAAAAAGTTGCTTAGAATTAAAAGATCTATACGCAGTTAAAAAAAAAGTATCAACTTATGAGACACCCTGTATTCAATGTAGAGTAGATTCAGAGAACGCCAAATTCGTGTAGATTAAGTGTAGAGTAGATTTAGAATACAATAGATTGAAGAAGATTGAAAAAGAATCAGAGTAAATTTTAGTATATTTGAGTAGATTTAGAGTAGAGCAAAATAGAGTGTATTCCCAGTAGGGTAAATTCGCGTAGATTAAGAGTAGATTCAAGCTAAATATATTCGAGTAGAGTAGATTCAGAGTAGGTCAAATTCGTGTATATTAAGAATAGAGTAGTAGAGTATATTCGAGTATATTCAGTTTAGAGTAGATCCGAGAAGAGTAGAATAAAATAGAGTGTAGTAGATTCAAGTGAGCAAGAGCACTACTCTACTAGTGCTGTTTCTTTGGCAAGTTTGTTAAATTTACGGTGATAAAACGGAATATTTTTACGCATATTCTACCCAAAAATTTTTCCAAAATTACTCACCAAAGCCGTATGCCCGAATTGGGCAGCCAAATGGACGCATGACAGCCCTTCGGCGTCCCAAACGGCCCCATCGGCACCGTTGTGAATCAACAAAACGACGCTGCCCAAATGCCCCTGCCTGGTGGCCCAATGCAGGGGCGTCGCGCCCAATTCGCCGCCGACGGCGTCCACTTCGGCCCCTTTGTCGATCAGATAATTGATTATGTCTTTTCTGTTGTTGATCGACGCCCAATGTAACAGGGTGACGTTCTCAGAGTCTCTTTTGTTCACGTCATGGCCGCCTTCGACTAATTGTTTCACTCTGGAGAAGGCGCCGTACTGGAAAAAAAAAATAATACGTGGGTGAATACAAATTGTTGTAACTACTTTGGATATTTACTCTTCTCTGAATCTACACTGCTCTACACTGAGTCTATTCCTGTACTCTACACTGAATCTACACTACTCCTAATCTGAATTTATTTGAATCTATTACATTCTACATTACACTGAATCTACTCTATTTTGCACCTGCTCTGTACTAGTCGACTCAAATCTGCTATACTCTACTCTAATATACTCATCTCTACACTGAATCTACTCTAGTCTGAATTTATTCTACTCTACTTTTGTAGATATATACAATCTATAAGACACTTTAAAATATCTTTAAAGTAACCTTTTACTAAAGGAATCCTTTACATTTATTATGAAACAACATGACATGAGGAAAAAGATTGAAGGACATTTTATCTTAAAGCTTCCTTTTATTAAAGGATACTTTAACATTTCATTATGAAAGCAATAATTCATAAACGTAAACAATCTCCATAGTTACTCCATAACAACAATGTAAAACTGTCATGTTAATCCAATAATTATAACTTAGAGAAATGCTCTGAATTACCTAAAAATTCATTTCAACTGTTAATCGATTGATTTACGATTTACGAAAGTTTATCGAACAGTTAACTATCAAAGTTAATAAAAATATTAAATTTAACGAATTGTTAAGATAAAAATTACCAAATTGACATTAAAATACGTCAAAATTACGTCAAAACATTTAATTATTATTCAAATTTATATTACCACTCATAAATTTGCATAAGTAGAAAGAACTTTTTTTAACAATTCGTTAATTATCAATTAAAACACCAATTATTCCAATTAAACCCAATCGAACGATTAGGTAGGTAATTAAATGAAAGATTAAATTACCTGTGTCGCTTTTACGATATCAAATCCGCTATAATCTTGTTCAATAACAGGCAAAACTGGCTCATTTTTTATCAAACCTTCCAAATCTTCCGTCGTTTGTGCACTTTCTGATGCAGTTCCGCATGCATTTTGGTACATAATGCACTTTTCGATCGGTATACGAATAAACTTTTCGCTAAAATCGCCTAAAAAACTAGTTAGAATGACCTAAAATCGCAATTTTAGGTTAGTTTGTTTTGGAATTGACAGGTTCCATGACGTTTCGTTTGGTGGAAAAGTTTCGCCAACTTAAAAAAGTCACCAGAAAAGTAACTAAAAATGTTACTAAAAGAGTTTATTTTTGAACTTAAATTGATTTGAACTAATTTCTCGATTTCTCGATTCTCTCTTTCTACTGATTGCAGCGCTCGGACTTGGATGCTCGGTATAATGGAGGAGCAAAACAAACTGTCCATTGATTTCGATTGGACAAATTTTCGACAACATAATACACTGAGAAAACTGGTATTTTTGTACACTGAGCGAACTATATCGGCGAATTTTGTGAATAGTCCATGCGCTTATGCTTTAATGGGATTTATACTTTTGATTTATTTACGTATATTTTATGTTTAAATCACGGCCGTATATTTCTAAGGTCTGGAAACATAGGTCGAAAAAGTGTCCCATTATTTGAGAATAAAACAATCATCGTCATAAAATAAGCCAAAGGAATCACCCCCTTTCGGATGTACACGATGTTTAGGAACACCCTGTATATACTCGTATATTCTCTGGTAAAATAGCAATAATAATTGAATATTTTAATGATTACAAATTATTATTAATTCTTTCACAAAAAGTACATACATTTATTTAGAATTTATTTATTTGGGTCTTCTCTTTCCTTTCTTCTTATTCTTCCTCTTTTTCTTATTGTTTGTCATCATCCCTTTTCCGAACAATATCCTCTTCCATTCCCTTGGTTTTCTTTTTTCAACTTTTCCATTTTTCCATTCCCTTCCTGTTTTTTTCTTTCTTATTTTTTTCTTCACTTTCGCAACTTTCACTTCCTTTTCTTCTTTTTTCTCACCTATTTGTTTCTTCTCTTTCGCATTTTTCACTTCATTTTTTTCGTTTTTCTCGCCTGTTAGTTTCGTCTCTTTCGCATCTTTCACTTCCTTTTCTTCTTTTTTCGCTCCCACTTCCTTCTTTTCTTTCCATTCTTGGTCTGATTTATTTTGAATTTGTTCTGTCTCATTTCTATCAACGTTTGTTTGGTTTGTTTCTTCTCTTACTGTGCTATTTTTATTTTCTCTTCCTACAATATCATTTTTTACAACTGTAATCTGTTCTTCCCTTTCATTTTTTACCTTTTCTTTATTCTCGTTCTCTTTAGGTCGGCCATTCCTTTTATGTTTCCCTTCTTTCGCCATCGTTTTTAGAAAACTCGAAAAAGCTTTTTCCACAGCCTTTTTCCAAAAACCTTTTTCGAGTCTTCGTTTTTTCTCTTCTTTTTCATTTAGAATGTCATCTTTTATGAATCCAATCTGTTCTGTTTTTTCTTCTTCGTGATCTTCATTCTCTTTAGGTCGGCCTCTCATTTTGTGTGTCCGTTCCTTCTCTATCCATTCTTTTTCATCTCTTTCTTCGCTCTCCTGTTTTCCTTCTTCCTCTTCTTCTTCATCGTCATATTCTCCTTCTTTCTCTTCTCGTCCTTCTTCTTCTCCGTCCTCTATTGCATCTTCTCGTGTTTCTTCAGATACTTTTCTTCCTACTTTTGCTACTCTGTTTGAATATTTATTTTTTCTATTTCTGTTCAAGTTGTTATGTTTTCTTTTTTCTCCTTCCTCTTTCTTTTCTTCTTCTTCCACTTTTTCTTCATATTCTTCTATATCATCATCATTTTCAGCTTTTATTTTTTGTTTTCTCTTATCTTCATCTCCTTCATCTTCTGTTTCTTGATCTTTGTTTCGGGCATTTTGTATTCCTTCGTATCTATTTTGACTCGCAATTCGCGTCATGATAATATCATAATCATTTCCATTTCGTTTTTTATATTCTTGTTTAAACTTCTTTTTTATTTTTGCCGCTTCTCCTTTTCTATTAGGTTTTGTCCGATATTTTGTTTTCTCCGTTAGATCTTCATCTTCTCCTCCCTCTTCTTCATTTAACTCTTCTAAACTTTTATCCTTTTCATCGTCCTTTTCTTCTTCTTCTTCTTTTACTCTTTCTAGGTCATTTTGAATTCGTTTTTTTAATCCTCTGACGGTTTCATCTCTTAATTTTTCTAATGCTCTTTCAATTTTTACCTTGCTTTTGTCCTTTGATGTTTTGCTTGCATAATCGTCTCCTTTTTCGTATGATCCTCTTTCCATTTTTTCATATTTCTTTTTAACTTCATATCTATTTCCATCATTATATCTTCGTTTTCCTTGCTCCTCTAGCTTTACGTTTTCATCTTCTTTTTCTTTTATCCATTTTTGTTCTTTCTCATCTTCATATTCATATGGAATCTCAGTATATACATCTCTAATCTTCTCTTTATCATCAGTCTTTTTACGTCGGCTTTTCATTTTCCGTTTACCTTCTCTCTTTACCCCTTCATTTTCAAAGCGATCATCTTTATACGATTTCTCCTCTTTTTCTTCTTTTACTTTGTTGCTACTGTTGCTAGGTACACTATTTTGAATTAGTTTTGTCATTTCTCTAAAGGTTTTATCTACCTTTCGTAATGCTTCGTTTATTTTTTCCAGTCTTTCTTCTTTGTCTCTCTCATCTTTGTGATTTCGAATATCATTCAAATATCGTTTTTTAGATCGGCTTCTTATTTTGGGTTTCAGTATTTTCTCTATACCCACTTCTTCTTTATCCCATTCTTTTTCTTCTTCTTCATCTGCGTTCTTTTCTTTTTCTTCATCATAATCTTCTTCGTATTTTTCTTTTTCACTATCAACTTCTTGTTCATTTTCATCATCATCTTCTACAATATCTCTTTCTGGTTTATTTATAATCCGTTTCTTCGCCACTCTATCGTTTTCCCTTATTATTCTCTGTAACTTTCTCTTCATTTTTTTCACTCCTTCTTTTTCCTCTTTATCATTTCTTAGATCTCTATTCTCGTCTTCTATTTCATTTGTTTCCTCTTCTCTATTCTTATGTTTTTTAGGTCGTCTTTTCATTTTAGGTTTCAGTATTTTCTCTATCGTCTCTTCTTCTTTATCTCCTTCTTTTTTTCCTTCCTCTGCTTCTTCTGCTTCACCTGCTTTTTTTTCTTTTTCTTTATATTTTTCTTTTTCACCATTAACTTTTTCATTTTCATCATATTCTTCTGTCATTTCTCGTTTTGGTTTATTTATCTGAAATTGTTTTGTCATTTCTCTAACAGTTTCATCTTCTTTTCGCAATTCTCGGTTTATTTCTTCCAGTCTCCCTTTTTTGTGATTTCGAATATCATTTTTTACATTTTTTTCTTCCGTTTCATTTGTTTCCTCTCCTACAAGCTTATGTTTTTTAGATCGACTTCTCATTTTGGATTTCAGTACTTTCTCTATCCTCTCTTCTTCTTCATCTCCTTCTTTTTCTTCTTCATCTGCATCCTTTTCTTTTTCTTCATCATAATCTTCTTTTTTATATTTTTCTTTTTCACCATCAAATTCTTCTTCACTTTCATAATCATCTTCTACTATATCTCTTTCTGGCTTATTTAGAAACCGTTTCTCTATCGCTCTGTCGTCTCCACTTATTATTCTCTTTAACTTCCTCATTTTTTTCACTCTTCCTTCTTCATCTTTATTATTTCGATAATGATTTCTTAGTTCTGTATTCTCTTCTTCCATTTCATTTGTTTCCTCTCCTTTATTCTTACGTTTTTTAGGTCGACTTCTAATTTTTGGTTTCAGCATTTTCTCTATCTTCTCTTCTTCTTCATCTCCTTCTTTTTCTTCTTCTTCTTCATCTGCGTCCTTTTCTTTTTCTTCATTATAATCTTCTTCTTCGTATTTTTCTATTCCACTATCAACTTCTTCTTCATTTTCATCATCATCTTCTACTATATCTCTTTCTGGCTTATTTATAATCGGTTTCTTCGCCACTCTATCGTTTTCCCTTATTATTCTCTGTAATTTCCTCTTCATTTTTTTTACTCCTTCTTTTTCACCTCCATCATTTCTTAGATCTCTATACTCTTCTTCCATTTCATTTGTTTCCTCGTCTTCTTTTTTTTCTTCTTCTGCTTCACCTGCTTCTTTTTCTTCATATTTTCCTTTTTTCCAATCAAATTCTTTTTCAATTTCATCATCATCCTTTACTATATCTTTTTCTGGCTTATTTAGAATATGTTTCTTTATCGCTCTGTCGACTCCACTTATTATTCTCTTTAATTTCCTCTTCATTTTTTTCACTCTTCCTTCTTTAACTTTATTATTTGGATAATTATTTCTTAGATCTGTATTTTCTTCTTCAATTTCATTTGTTTCCTCTTCTCTATTTTTACGTTTTTTAGGTCGACTTCTCATTTTTGGTTTCAGTATTTTCTCTATCCTCTCTTCTTCTTCATCTCCTTCTTTTTCTTCTTCATCTGCATCCTTTTCTTTTTCTTCATCATAATCTTCTTCTTCATATTTATCTTTTTCACCATCAAATTCTTCTTCACTTTCATAATCATCTTCTACTATATCTCTTTCTGGCTTATTTAGAATCCGTTTCTTTATCGCTCTGTCGTCTCCACTTATTATTTTCTTTAACTTCCTCTTTATTTTTTTCAGTATTCCTTCTTCATCATTATTATTTCGATAAGGATTTCTTAGATCTGTATTCTCTTCTTCCATTTCATTTGTTTCCTCTTCACTATTCTTACGTTTTTTAGGTCGACTTCTCATTTTGGGTTTCAGTACTTTCTCTATCCTCTCTTCTTCTTCGTCTTCCTCTGTGGCCTTTTCTTTTTCGTCATCATAAAATCTTTCTTCGTCCTTTTCTTTTTCTTCATCATAATCTTCTCCTTCATATATTTCTTTTGCATTATCAAGTACTTCTTCTTTATTTTCATCACCATCATCTTCTACTATTTCTCGTTCTGGCTTATTTCGAATCCGTTTCTTCATCATCCTGCCCTTTTCCCCCCTTATCCTATCCCACTTCGTTTTCATTTTCACCCGGCTTTCTTCCTCACCTTCCTCTCTTCCCCAACTTCGAATATTACTGTTTAAATCGTCAATGGCATTTTCGCTTTCTTCTCCCTTTTCGCTTTCTTTCGCCCCTTTTCGCACGATCACTTTGTACCGCCTCGTCTGTTTGTTCTTCCTCCGTTGTTTCTTCAATAATTGACATTCTACTTTGGCGGTCATCCAGCCTCTCGAGTCCTTCTTGATTTTGTTCAGTCCCTTACTTATTCTTTTCATAAATTTCCCGACCGCTGTCCAGCACTCGCTGTCCCTAAAGGAAACTTCCTGGTACCCGTTGAATACCATTTCGTTATTGGTTAATTTGCAACGGATGTTGCAGTTTATCTTCACGGGGTTTTGGTGGTTGTTATTTGTGTTTATTTCGTTTATTACGTCGTTGAATCTTCTATTTAATATTGCGGGTCTTTGGTGGCCGTTGTAGATTAAGTTTTGTTTTTCTTTTAGCTGCCATTTTCCTTGGTTGTAGAGGATATCGATTTGGTAGCCGTCTTCGATGGTTTGGTTTAAATCGAGGTAGTTTGTGTGGTGGTGGGAATTTTGGAATTGTTCTGGCTTTCTGGAATTTTTTATGTGGTAACGGTGAATTTTTGGGAAATTTGGGGATTGTTGTGGAGATGACGACGCTTGGAATGTTTCTTCTGTCCAATAAAGGAGTATGGTGATTCTCAGGAGTTGATGAAGTTGCTGAAAATGGAAAAAAATAGCTAAATATTTACTTGAGACAATAGGCCGTATTTATAAAAAGTAGCGTAACTATTTGCTTTCAAAAAATTAAGGAATTGCTTCAAGGTATATGAGAGGTTTTGCTTCGAGGACTTTGCTGTTGCTTTAAAGCAAAAGGTTTTATGGCTTTTCCTCATACATTTTGCACCAGACCTGTTACTTTAAGCTACACTTTAAAGCCATGTTTTAGTTTGAAGTGGGGCGTTGAATAAGGGGCCAATATGTTTAGAATGAAGACATTAACTTAATTAACTTGTTAAAAACAGTGTCAATATTAATTGTTAAATTTATTAACAATATTTACGATGAAACATCCCAATTTATTAAAAATTTAGTCAACTTGATTTTATCTCTAAAAAAAATAATTTATTTTATTTTTTAATAACATTCACTATTCAATAATGAAACATCCTAACTCATTAGAAAATCACTCCCAATTTATTAATAAACCAGATGACCTGATTTATTAAATACTAATTTATTCATTACTACATAGTAATAAACCAATCTACTAATATACTAATTTATTTTTTAGTTAATAACATTTACTAATCATTAATAAACTACCCTAATTAATTAATAAACGAGTTTAATTGGCATTGTTTAATAGTAAGTCATCCTTTAATGTGCAAACACTCTGAATTTTGACATATTAAACTTTAAAAAATTATATTAAAATCAAACTAATCAACTTTTTGAGTAACAAAATTAATGATAACCACACTGAAGTACAATTGCTTTGAATTTTAACACAATAAACATCTTAACTCATTAATAAACCGTCATATAAACCAGTTGAATTGATTTTATTTAACAATATATCATCTCAAAATCTCTAGTTAATCCGAATTATTTTTACACATTTTAAACATCTCAACTCAATATTAAACCATCGTAATTAATTAATAATCCAGTTTACTTGATTGTATTTAATAATACATATATCATCCTTAAAGGTGCAATTATTTTGAATTTTGACACATTAAACTTAATAAAATAAATAAATTAAACTATAATTTCACAATAAACGATAATTATTTTTTTAACTATTATTTATTTAATGTTTAAATGATTAAACTAATTAACAATACAATTTACTTACCATATTTTACTGCAACATACATGTAATCATTTTTCATTTATGTACCTGTTTATTTGAATTATTTTGAAAATGATTAGGTACTTTTAGAACATTTAAGAACAATTCAGAATATTTTGTTCGATTTAAATTAAAAATAAGTAATAATAATTGTATAATTTTAAACATTCGTTTTTAACAAAAAAATCGTATAATAGGGGAAAAATGAATTGAAAACGCTTATATATGCATATACATTACATAAATAAGAATATTTTCCTCGTCAATTATTTTCGTTCTCATATTTTCAACATGTTTTCTAACATTCTTAACAATTTTCGAATTTTGCGTAAATTTGTAACTTCTGTATATTTTTTTGAAAATTTTATACAGTTAAGCGCAAATGTGTACGCAATATGAAGGTTGCAACTTTCTCACTCTAACCACTGTTAATTTATTAATCTTTCTTTGTTCAACTCAAACATATACTATACATATAGATGCAAAATAATTTGGAATATGGGGCAACCTCAATGGGTGCAACAAAGACAACTTAAGTTAGTCTCATTTAAAAGGAAGAGATGATATTGGGGGGGGGGGGATTGCAACTTTCTCACTATAACAACAGTTAATTTAATAATCTTTCTTTGTTCAACTCAATCATATACATGTAGATGCAATAATTTCTCTCCAATAATAATCGTTGCTTTCTTATATAAAATTAGATATTAGAAAAATTGTTATGTTACGGAACGAAAACCAATGAGTAGAAACAAAATATTGTTTACGAAAGCTATATCATTATAAATAAAAGAATAATTCATTCAATGACCATCTATTTATTAAAATTACATAGAGAGCAGTGCCTAATTTGGTGCATAATTTAATATTTAGGTAAACGGAATAGCCTATTTTAAATAATCAATGTGAGTGGGTTTTAAATTAGATTACCTATGACTAGAGTTCAGTACTAGGAAAATAACCGAAAAATTGATGAAATTTCCGCGAATTTGTTTTGACTTAATTAATTAAAATGTTTAAATTAAATATTTAATTTAATAATTACTAAATTTAATAATTACTAATTAAATAATTAATTTAATAATAATAATTTGTAAAATATTACGCGCCAAACCCGATAATCTGATAACCTATTTACATAGGTAGGTATTCAATTTTAAAATTGAAAATATACTGCTCCACAAAAGTTAAGGAAGTTCACAAATATTGAGATTAATTTAAAAGTTGCAGGTTTTTTGATTGCCAAATTTAGTATGAGTTGTAGAGGTAGGGACAAAAAAACCACTCAGATATGAGAGAAAACATTTAATTTCGCATATTTGAAAATTTGGTGATCAAAAAGTCTGTAACTTTTAAAATAATCGCAAAATTTGCGAACTTCCTTAACTTGTATGGAGCAGTTTATTAACTCCAGTGTGCCTATTCCCGAAAAAATAAATTAGAGTATTGAACTCTAGCCTAAAAGAACAAGGCAAAGTCTTCGACGATATTTCGAATAACTAGCAAATTTACTAATTTTTTGTTTTACTTTTTATTCTGCAAGCTAAGCACGATGTAAGTATATCCAGCTTTAACAACCTATAAAAATAATAATTAATATTAGTTCAATCCAAAATTCACCAATATGAATTTGTGATTCAGTTTTTTATTTGATTTTTTTATTAAACAAAACATCAGTATGGTAGTAGAATATACTGGGTGTTCTGAAAAGGTAGGTATACCATATAGTATTACCACATATTCTGGGATCAAAATTAAGTCTAATGTCCCATATTTACCAATACATCTAAAATCCCATACAAAACAAGTTATAGCCTGTTTAAGATTCAAACTTAAAATCGATTTTTTTTTTCAATAACTCCAAAAATTTTCAATCGTAACTTGTTTTATATGGCATTTTTGATAAAACTAAATTTGAAATCGATTTAATTTGATCCTAGAATATGTGGTATAATTTATGACCCAAGTTAAGACGTTTAAAACATACATTCATAAGAAGTTTTTCTCTTAAAATGAATTCAAGAATCACCCCCTTAAATATTAGCATGATTTTAAGAAACATGCTGTATAAGGTGATCTACATTGTCAGAATCAATGGGTACAAATATTTCTTTACCTTTTGCAATAAATCACTACTCAAGATAACAATGCCGTAGCTTTCAAGCTTCAAAGCTCTCTGAGCCCTTATCATCATTATTGCAAGGCTTCTGGTGATGCTTACTGGCTGGCCGGACCAATTCACCATATAAATCGATGTAGCGAGTTCTTGGCTCTAAAAAGAATATGCAAGGATTGCTTTGGTTTATTGAGTTTTTTATTGATTACCTCCACAATTATATCGTTGGATTGAGAATATATAACCACAGATTGCAACAGTAATAGAAAACTCTCAGATGTGTTGAATATTGCCCACATTAATGGTACACCTGCCACCTAAGTAAATATACAATACCAATAAATTAAATATTTCTCTCCTGAAAAAGTCTTATTACCTCTAATAAATTGAACATTGCTAGGCACAATTGGTACGATTTGATCGAAAAGTCTACGAAAAATAGAAGCTTAAAGTTGTCGTTCAACTCTACCACATGGCTAAAATGAAGAAATATTGTTCCAGATTAAAAAAATTAAGATTTAATCAAATCTTGGAGCCTTGCTTACTCTATGATATTCTGATGTTCCATTATCAGCATGCGTAAATGTTTGTTATTTTCCGCTTGGTTCATATTTTTATCGCGGAATAGCATTTGCAAATTTTGCCCCAACAATTTCATTCGAAGCGTAGTGAATATGATCAGAGATACGATTAAAGCATCCACGCAAACGATGTAAATAGCACCGAGCATGCCGCAGAATAACTAATAAAAAAATATCTTTTTGATGAGTTACACGAGGGCTAATCAAATATGAACCGGAATTTTCTTTTTAATGTTTCTTGGTAATAGAAACGATTACAGCATGGCGATGTAAATTAAACCGAATTAGAGCCGATTAACTGTTAGTACCATCATATCTGAGCAAGAGGTACACATGTCTGTATGTCTGTGGAGCAACGCATTATTATTAAATTTTTATCGCAGGAGAGCATAAAACCTACAAAAATTTTGCGTCGAGTAACTGCACAGCTCAGTGGAAACATGCTTTCTAGGATCCATGTCCTTGATTGGCAAAAAGAAATTTGTGAAAACCTGGAGGAGCAGCAATGGGACAAGCCAAGATTCGTCTTTCTGCTGGAAAGTTCTTGCAACGATTTTTTGGGATTGCAGGGGGCATATTGCTCAAAGATTTTCTCAATTAATGACGTGCAGTTAATGGCGTGTGCTACTATCAACTTTTTGATGAAGTAAAGTTGGTCTATCGAGGAAAAAGGCTGGACAAGCACATTCGAAGTGAGGTTTTGCTCCATGGCAATGCATAGCTGCATTAACTCAAGGAAACTTGGACAAAATGCATTGTAAAATACTCTAGAATAACCATCCTACAGTCCCGATTATCTCCATGTAACCATCACATGTTTAGGTCACTTAAAGGAGAACTAGGAGGTTAGCACTTCAACGACTACGAAGGTGTGGGATTAAAAAACTTTCGAATCGGTGGGAAATTTGTTGTAATAAAAGAGGAGATTTACATAGAAAAATAAGATGTATTCAAAATTATATTAAATTTAGAGGAAGTGTGCCATATATGGATCACCATAAGCACTTTTCTATATTAAACAAAACAATTCCTTAACCAATTAGTTAAGAAAAACTTATAATAAAATTCTCCAAAAAAAAACTAAATCTTTCAAATAAATAACATTTTCCACAGAATATCATTTTTATGAACTTTCAGAAAGTGAACATAATATGGACCACATCTAGATTTTTCCATTTCTAGAATATAATTGACTAATTCATCTTCCAAATCACTCGGTAATGTTGATTGTCTCCCAAGTTTTTGGGTGGTAATAACATTAAGTGATTTGTTTTGGGTGTATGTTTTGAAAGCATTCAAAAAGCACAATTTCTTTTTTCGTGCATTTTTAATTGCCTCCACCATTGCGTTTTTTATCCCATGCTTGTCTGGTCTTCTCTATTGTTTTAGAAGCCATTCTAGAACATAAAAATTAATTTTTAGCCACTCCGTATTTAAAACGTGCCACTGGTCCATATTGTGATACTTACTCATTTTGAGATAATTATTTTTTTTATAAAATTGGAATATTATAGAATATTAAAACTTAATACAATTAATTGCAACCTGACTCACCTTCCTCGTGGTCTTATCCACTTTCACATAAAATAGTATTTTTTGGATTAAAAAACTTCCAAAGTTCATAAAGCACGTTCTTTTTAAAATGGCGGAGGTCCATATTATAAGACCGGTCCATATTTGGCGCACTTATTCTTCTTATAAATTTTTTAAAGCAAAATTCCGGTTCATATTTGATTCGCCTTCGTAGTTGAGATGGAATTAAACTTACTTGATTCCAGTAGTAGAAGTCATAAAAATGATCTTTGTACGGTAATTGTTGAGGTATAACGAACATTTTGTCTCCCTTAAAAATATCCCATTGCACTATAAACACACCTGACATGCATAAAGCACAAAAACCCGTCGTCAACGGTAAGATAAGACCTAAAAATAAAATTCAAACCTTCAATAATTTAGTTTTCGATACCAAAAAAACTCTAAATATCCAACAAACTCCGAATCCTTCGTCTAATCCTCAACCTACCTATTTTAAAGTTGTAAACAGAATATTTCTTATAGATCTCCATTAACTTCGGATCGTTCCTTCGCTGTAAATCCTTCTCCAAAACGGCTATCTCTCGCATCATGTCCATTATGGGTTGCTTCTTGAGCACGCCCACCTTCCACAGCGTCAGCCAATACTCCAAGATGAAGGTGAACACATTGGCCCTGGCGCTGGTGTCGAGCACCTTCATGAGCATGATGCATTTCAGGGATATGGTGAAAACGAACACCACGAAGTAGGATTGAATGAGTACGCTGAAAATTTTGTACACTTTCCCTTGGTCGACCGTGGGCCAAGTACCGCCGGATATCATGAGGTACTTGGTGAGCTTCAAAAAATAGCAATCGTAGGTCATGATGAATTGGAGTAAATATGTCGCAAGAAGGTTGGTTTTTATATAGGCGAAATTTAATGGGAGTGTATACTGGACTAGATTGGTAGATGAACGGTCTTGTAATTTCTTCGCTTGTGTGTACGTTTGGTTATGTAGACAGTACGGTAAAAATGAATTGTTTCCATTATCTCCAATGAAAACGAACCCGGCAATTTCCAGTAGCTAGCAAACAAAACGTATAAAATTATAGTGTATTTTATGTGACAATAGTTTCTTTCCTTGCATAATGATACGGTTATTTGTTACACATAAGTGTAATTATGGACAATTTTATTTTTATATAAGGAGAGAATTTTCTTGCTATAAGAAATTCATATGATCGAATGTAAAGATTATGAGTGGAAAAATTCTTTTGCATTTACATTGCGTCGATCACCGCTATTGGACTGATCATGTTTTGTAGTAGTACTGCTAATTTTTTGGAGGTCTCAAACGGTTCAAGTTCTGCTGAATGGTATCACCAATTTACACAATTGACGTTTTAGGGCTGATGAAAATCCGCATGGCACTATTTTTGCGAATCATCATCAACATCAGTTCCAATCAGTCAATATTTGGACAGGAATCATTGGCAATTTTTTGATTAGACCATTTGTATTGCTCAAAATTGGACGGACTTGGAACTTTACTTTTCGCTTTTTGTGATTTAATAGAGCACTTACCACATGAATTTTTTTCGTAAAAAGTTCGTTTTTTCGACAATCGAGAGGAGTAATTTTTTTTTGATTTAAGGTTCAATCTCTCCAGATGTTGTTTTTTAAAACTTTATCATACAGGGTGTTGAACAGGGTGTAAACCTTAGCCCGGCTCTGGTAAACTAAAAAAGATAAATTTGTTTTAAGGACACTATTTCATGAGGTCTTACTAGTGTCCATCATATTAGATTTTTATTAAATTATATCAAGTACTTTAGAAGATATTTAAGGAAAACCTTCCATTTCCAGCGGCGTTCTTTTTATAGGGACGCATATCTCCGCAGGGAGGATCTGTAGGGAAAAACTTTACAGGAACTCCTTATCTTATTTTTTCATGTTCTATCTGGATCCGAGAGATTTTCCATATTTTCTGGGACAACTTCCATTAAACACTTTTAAAGGAAAAAGAGTAATATTGTGCAATGTCATATATCTAATTTAAAAAGCTTTTTTAATTGAGAGCTTCGACGCTTTTGCGAGTTTTTACAACTCTTTAAAAGTTTTTAGCAATATAATAAAATAGATTTTATAAATTAAACAATACAGAACCACAAAACATTCATAAAATGTTCAATAATGCATGTGGCACCATCTATTAGTTATTGCTAAACCTATAATTGACATATTCAGAGAAATCTGTAGACAATTAAAATTTCGAAATTTTAGCATTTTTTGTAATAATTTTGAAAAAATGTTTCGGATAAAACTTGCTTATTTTGATGCCAGGATTCCGAATCTTCAATAAAAATAGACGAGGTTTCCATTTAAATTTTTAAATTTACAATACAATGTCCTAGATAGCCCTTTGAAAAATTATTAGATACGTGTTTTTTTCAATTTTTTATTCGCACCTTCATTTGCCTGAAAATTGACCGTTTCCATAATTTTTGGACACCCTGTATTAATTTTTCATATATTTAAAAGTTAGCTGGACAAACAGGATACAAAAGACTATACATGTAATATAAATAGGCAAAAATATGAAATTAATCGTGACTGAATGAAATCATAAGTTTAAGATAAAATCTACGGATTACTTAATTTTATTTATAAACAAATCATGATTTTGGTTATTTGGATTATGTTGCACTTATCTTAAAAATTTATTTATCGATATCTTATATAAGGATCTGATAGATTGTATAGTAGAGTACTTTAAATAGAGAGCATTGCACAAAACTGTTTCATTTATTAATCAGTCTTGAACTTCAGACTATAGGCTGATTTTTGTCTAACATGCAGTAGCGCAACGATAAAAAAATCTATCAAGGTATTTAAATTAATATAAACAAGTTTAATGTTTGTTTATATTTACAAGATTTTATTGCAAAATATTTTTTATGAAAATTTCAAAAATTGACAATTTATAAATTTGTAATGTAATGCATAATTAATTTATTACAAATGTAAATTACAAGTGTAAATTCCACTGCGATACATATCAGTGAAAACCCAATTCTTAGTATGTTTAAGATATAAACAGAATGTTATAAACATAAACACCAAATTCTAAAAACGCAAAATTATTATTTCAACATTCCTTCGCAGTTTTAATCCTTAACGAAACAAGATAATATAAGATAATTCCAGTCGGTTAACTTGACAATTTCACCTTGATATTACAACAAACAGAAAAACCCGACCTAATTAATTAAACCGTTACTTCCAATAGTTTATCCCTGATGATAAAGGATAAATCACCCGTAACAAAAACATATTTAATTCTGAAGAAATCTTAACGTTCTAACAAAACACGCAATTACGGAAAATTACTACAATGTCCTAGATTTATTCGCGTTGTAAAAAATAACGTAGATTCCGCATAGTGAGATTCTACGACGAATGTATTAGCTCTACGCAGGTTTATTTATAACTAGATCGTTCGGAATTATTAGCACAATTAATTAGATAAAATGTACCAATATTCGCCAAATTATTAATAAACAACGATTTAAAATTACACCACAAATATCTACAGAATAATATTTACCTGAAATTCATTTGATATTTCAAAAGCAAATCTTAATGAATAATTATTATTCTAATAAATATTGTTATTTTCTATTATCGTTTCTTGAATATTCATTATTATTAATACCCCTCGAATGCCACGCCAATGATATTTACGGACAGTCGCAGCAGTCTACTTCCCTGGAAGTAGCTGCGTCAAAATTAACCAATGTTGCCAGAGTTCCAGGAAAAAAAGAGAATGCAGGATAACTCACTAACTTCTTAAAATTGAAAATTTAATCAAATAAAAATTCCAATCTACAATTTTTCTAATGATAGCGGACCAATAAACACTTATGTATTCTTTAAGGGTATTAACAGTTTTGTTAACAATTAATAAGAGCAATTAAAAAGAGTATTAAGTTCAGTTTGATCAAGGATTGGGGCGTGTAAATAAAAATTCCTCTGGGTTTTTTCGTACATGGTTACGCGTCACGTATGATAAGAGTAAATTTTAGAAAATAATCCGGCAACAGAGCGTTGCGTGCGAATAGCATCGATTATTTAAAGTTGGTATACGGAATACGATAACATTAGAGTTTCGAACGTCGAAGGAGCGGTGTATTGAACAGATATTTCTATTGCGAATTTGGACTATTTTGTGACATATTTCATTTGAAATCGATCGCAATTTTCTTTTGATTACATATCATTTTCCATTTAGTGACGAAAATCGCTTTTCTGTGATACATTCGAAGCTATAATTAACAAGAGTTCCCTCGACAAATTTAGTTGTTTTTTTTTAAGTTTCTTGTGATATTTTATTCTAGTATGTTGGATATCGTACCAAAGAACCAGGTAAATTTTCGTTATCGCCAATATTTTTTCTATAAATTTGAAACACCTTTACCTATGCGAAATCGATCACCAGTTTTAACGTGTTTGATTTTTATTGGCCGGTTTCTCCGAAGAGCGCCAGCGGGGACCCTATGGAAATGCGCGAATTAGCAGCCAGGATTTGCAGGGACTATCTGCAGGGAGCCTGGAAGAAAGTCACCCCCAAAAACATTGGATTCAAGCACATCACGTGAGTATATTTTTTACTATGATTTACAACCGTCAAACAGGGTAATTAATTGATTAATTCGGCTTATTGAACCGATAAAACGGATTAGTTACATGACGCAACTAGAAATATATTGCGTTAACGTAGTTACATTTTTTACTAAATACTCGTAATTTTATTATTTTGTAAAATGTCTGTTATGTTCTATCTATTCCCTATACATTTTTCATATTAGCTTAATGGTTAAAAAATGCCGAATTCATCCCTTTTTGTTCCAATATAGGGTAATTTTTACATTTTTATGTATTGCACTACATTTCACTCATTCCAAAATTGATGAAATCCACAAAAAAATATAAAAACAAGTAGGATGAATATTTTGAATTAAAAAATTAAAATACCGGGTCAGCCCGATGCGATATGAAGAGAGGTCATTGTAATTTGTAAAAGAGGGAGAAAGATGGTATTACAATTGAATAAATGAACATTATTAAAATTTTTGACGCAAGTTTTAAAATCATAGAACTGTTCAAAACCATTTAAATAGGTCCAGAATTATCTAGAACCATTTTAAAACTACATAATTAGGACCGTTTGAAGCAGTTCAGGTCGATCTTAGAACCGTTTCGAATGGATTCAGAATTATTTGGAAAGGTCTAGGATAAACTAGAACATTCTAGAACCGTTTAAAATGCTCTCAGGACTATTTAGAACATTTTTAGAACTTTTAGAATAATAATGTTTAGGACGAGTCATCTAAAAAATCGACTAATTTAGACAAACTTGTCAAAATTACATTTAAAATTGTCTATAAAAAATCGATTTATTCAATAAAATATCCTAATAAAATCGCCAAATTTAGTTAAATATTGTAATAAATCCTCTAGCATCTAAAAAATCAACTACTCTATTAAAATATTCTAAAAAAATCGTCACGTTTTGTAAAATTTTCTAAAAAAAATCATCAAATTTACATGTAAAGAATCTTGTAAAGTAAATCCCACATTCACATCGCCGCGTAGGCTGACCTGGTACAAAGCCCATTTTTTTTCAAATTCAATCTAAACTAGATTAAAATAATGGAGCAGGTAGAGAAAATCCGAGGAAATTCTAAACCGGCACGGCATGTTCGACCTTCGACAGGCAATGCAGCCCATATTTCGTGATCTTCTAGACATCTAAAAATAACCCGTGTTTTACGAATGGTATTTACAATTCCTTCACGTTTGTTTCATTCACAATACATATTGAAGTGAAATTAAACGGAAATTTCCTGTACAAATCGCTACTAAAGATTCATTATGGTGTACCATAGGTAATTTAGTAGCTAATTACACTCATTTATATTTTGTCTTGCGGTTCACCTCGAATAAATTAAGTTAAAATAATGATTTAATTGACCTAGTACATTAATTTATTGCAAGGTTGTAATGAAAGATGAAAGAAATATCTTCTTTCGGTAAAAACGAGACTCTTTTGGAATTTGTATTGCCCAGATACAATTGTCAGAGTAATTTTTGCTCTCGTTAATTCGAGTGTAAACATTTTAATTGGAAATTAATGAACAAGAATGTAGTTAATTGCGTTTTAAGAATAACCCGTTTCTATTTTCGATGTGTCCTGGTGTATTTACAAAATAGTTACTTTGCATATGTTTGCTCTAAGTTTAGACTAATTAAACTCCCTGATTTTATCGCATTTTCAGTACATTAAAATGAAATGTAAATTAAATTGTGCGCAAAAAAATTATAGATTTTAATCCTTTAACTGGGTGCGGAGATTTTAGATCCTATACGCGAATAAGAGGGACTTTAAGTTGTCTTCGATGATACATAAACTAAAACTGTAAAAATTGACATTAATGACATTTCGCAAGTTTAATAGGGGTGGGAATCCATTTTTTGGTATAGAGTTGCAGTAACGACTGTTACAAAATAAGCGTTATTTTTCAAATATCTTTCTCCACTCTACTCTATTCTAATCTATTGTAACTGCTCTCTTTTTTACAATGAACCCAAATAATATACTTTTCTACTTGAAAAATGCGCCCAATTTAACACAGCCAATTAAAATTCACCAAGTATCTACTTCAAATAAAGTACTAATTATTGTCTCTACATTGTAGTTTCTGCACTTGATTATCTAAATATTGCGATAACGTTGCGATAAAATGGAAATGAGTTGGGTTAATATAAATTTTATTCACCGTAATGCTCATTAGAGAATATTTACAACTCAGGTACAAATTGATGAATCATGTAAATAAATACAATAATTATTATCGTAGAGATCGAGAGTGTTTTAATAAATGATCATATTTATGTTAATGAGATAATTATCTTAAATACTTCACGGATTTGTAGGTATTGACAGAGAATTAAATTCATTCATAAAATGTTATAGTAAATCCCCCTAAATTATAATAAAACTAGGTATAATGTAATATACCGGGTTAGTCAATAAGTTAGGAATCGACTAAATATGTTTAATTTAATCCTTCTATAAATAATGTTTTCATAGAATTAAAAAGTTAATGGACAATAAAAATTTCTGGTTAAGCTAAGTGGATTTTTAAACATGCCATTATAGTAAATATCATAGTGATATTTCCAATTATAGTAAACATCGTCATTAATCCAAACAAACCTTTTTTGGAATCGATTTGGCAATAGCTTCTCATTTTCTTATCAATCGATTGAATGAAATCTGAAAACCCACAGATGTCCTATCGTGGGATTCACGCACAAACATTCACCGAAAAACTTGATTCCCGCAAATATTTACAATAACCTTAACCAGACAATGCTTTATCACAACATAACAATAATATTTGTCAAGTTTAAGTCGATTTTTAAGAAGACAGTTCAGTAGTTTATCGCTCAAAAAAAAACTTAATTTCGCGATAAGAGAAATCTGTTAAAAAAATTAAATTAGTCTTTTTAAAGATTACGAAATTTCGATAAATTGTATAAAATGTATCAATATTTTTGCACAGGGGCGGCCTGTCTAATTTCCTGTACCAAGTATCCTTGCCGGACTTCCTGGCCAGCGAATCGCCCAAGGACAAAAACGAGCCCCGGGACGTGCTGATAAGGATCTACGGACAAACGCACGGCGAAGGCGCCCTGGAGGCACTCATCACCGAATCCGTGGTGTTCACGCTGTTGTCCGAGCAAGGACTGGGCCCCAAATTGCTCGGGATATTCCCCGGCGGCAGGATCGAACAGTACATAAACGCTAGGCCTCTGTTGAGTAGGGAAATCGCCGACGAAAAGCTGTCGGTGCAAATTGCTAAAAAAATGGCCGCTATACACAGCATGGAGGTGAGTGTTACGATGCGATTTTTCGATTTAACGACGATTTTCTTTTAGATTTTTTTTGTTATGTTTGCGAGGTAAAGAACACATTTTATTAACGATTTATTGTTGATTTCTTTTGAAGGCCCATGGTTTCGCACGAGATGATTGTTTTTTTTTTCGGCAAAATTTACAAAATTGTGAGATTTTTTTTTGTTTTATGATGTAAATCCAGTTGGTTTGTAAATTTCGCTAATTTTGCTTATACGAACGTTCCTCCATTTTAATGTTTCATCGCTAATTTAAATGTTTTTCTAAGCGACGTTGCTTTTGCATCAAATAATTTCGTAATTATGCAATTATTTATTTTAGTTGACACGTTCTTTAGGTATTTTCCTGACACATTAAAAGGATATTTTTATGTCGTCCTTGCTCTCTATACCGACTAGAGCAATAAAATCGATTCCTTGCATTAATATCGAATAACCCACGGTAGATACAGATACTAATACACTAATTTTGCGCAGTTTCATTTATTACACCAAAGGACGTCCAAATACAAATTCCCACGTTCGTTTAAATAACAGGCACGTAAAAGACCGGAATATTAAACTATTTCTTCAATGAATTAATTGGACACAATATTTTTAGTCGCAGTTTCTGTGAGTAACATAAATTCTGCACGAATAACAAAAATTTACACTGTTTATTAACGCGCATATTTTTTTAATTTTTTCCATATTATACCGGGTCGACCTCCGGCGATGTGAGCATGGAAAACATAAATTTACATTACAAAATTTTACATTTAAATTAAACAATTTTATGAGAATATTTTTCTAAATTAGTTGATTTTTCTGTTAAAAAATTCAAAATATTGCTCTAAAAATGTTCAAAGTAGTTAAAATCGTCCTAAATGGTTCTTGGACTTCTATAGTTTATCCCGCACCATTTTAAATAGTTCTGAATCTTTTCTAAAATTATTTTTGTGCTGTTCTAAAATCGTCCTTAACGGATTCAAAGGGTCCTAATCAGTTGTAAATAAGTCTGGTCAGTTCTAAATAATTCTATTACTGTCCTGAACAATTTGTATACAGGGATAAGTACAATTGGTCACTCATAATGGTGTCTCTCTTTCCTTCTATTAGAATCATCTTGAACTCTGTCAAATTGACCTGCTCAGTGCTAAAATGATTCTTTTTAATTCTGGACAGTTCTAAATTGTTTTGAACCCTTCTAAATGATTCTAAAACTGTCCTGAATAATTCGAATACACGAATAATTAAAATCGTTCAATTATATTGGCGTCTCTATCCCTCTATGGTAATCATCTTAAACTTTGTCAAATGGTCCTGCTTAGTTTTAAAATGATTTTGATTAATTCTGGACAGTAATAAATAGTTTTGAACCCTTTTAAACGATTCTATAACTGTCCTGAACGGTTTAAATACACAAATAAGTAGAATTGTGCCGTTATAATCGCGTCTTTTTCTCTATTATAATCATCTTGAACTCTGTCAAATGGTCCTGATCAGTTCTAAAATGATTGTTACTGATTCTGGACGGTTCTAATTTGTTTTAACCAGTTCTAAACGATACCAAAACTTCCCTGAACAATTTGAAAACATGAGCAAGTACATTTGTTCAGTTATAATGGACTCTCTTTCCCTCATCTTGAACTCTTCGAAATGATCCTGCTCGGTTCTAAAATAACTCTTATTGATTGTGGACAGTACTGAATAGCTTTGAACCGTTTTAAACCATTCTAAAATTGTCCTGAACAATTTGAATGCACGAATAGGTACAATTGTGTTATTTCTTTATCCACATCGCTGCAGAGCTACCCGGTATATTGCACAATTTTTAAATCCCTTGCAACATTTACTAATCTTTTAGTAACGTACTGACTAGTAACGCATATTTTTCTGTATCGTGCTCGAAGTACGATAACCTTAATGGGTTTGGTCTGCCAAATCATCATTGTTTCGACGTGGAAATATGTGTATGCCATAAAAATACGTACAATGAATCTAATTGCGAATGCTTTTCGATACCATAACGAAGCGTTTGCACTGATACTATTGATTCGTTAATGCAGAGAGCTCAGATAATTTTTATCGCTTATCGCCAGGATTCTCTTTTATCTAGCGTGCAACGTGGATGTTCGATTTGCCCGTAAAATAAGTTTTATTGCAGAAATGTGAAGGGATATAATATATTTTTTTATTTTTGTTGCGTGTACCGAATTTGTTTTTTTTGCGTGTTATCGTTATCGAAAAAACCTTGAGTTTATATTAAATTTAGTTTCTAACTAACTAGCAGATTATTCTGTAGATATCGTACAAAGTATAAATAATTTATAATTGCAAAAAGTATGTGTATACGTACATATTTTTTAATAAGGTCTAAGAAGAATGTATATATTCTTTGTTTATTTTCTGTTGGAAAGATTCTTGAAGGAATTGTCGGGTGCAATAATATACAGCTAACTTTTTAAGTCTAATCTCTGGGGTTTTTATCGTTTATAATTTCTTTCAAATAACCTCAAAGAGGAAATTTCCTTTATTTATTACTTGTGGAACGCAAGTGTGTAAGTATACATACGATAACGTTCTAAAAATACTTCTCGGACTACATTTAAGTCGACAAAGACGAGCTAAATATGTAGGTAAAATTAACAAGCATTTCCTCTATAATGTCGATGAATCGTTCTCTAAAACATTTCGTAGGAAGTCTTTAGAATGATTTACCTCAATTTAATCGCTCATTATTTGTACAGTTTTTTTGTCTTTACTCGCAATTTGCTTTCGCATTTTCTCATAAGCTAAATAGGATGATAAATGTGAATAACATTCATCTAATTCCCAGTTGATGTTTTATTGAACTCGTTAGAGATGTTACGAAGTTAATTAATTACGCAGATTATTTGGTTTAATTTTACATTCTTTTGCAAGATTGTAGTAAGTTTAATCAATGTTATCAAATTCAACGCAATTAAAATAATGAGTACAATATTTTTTTTAATAATTTCTTGATTTATTCGTTGCGAGATTCGGTACGTTTGTCTCCAAATGTTTATTATAACAACGTTAATATTTGCACAATGACGTTAATAATGAGTACGTGGAAAAAAATTATCACATTTTGTATTAACTTAACGTATAGAAGTTAATTCGACGAGGAAAGTAAATATAAAACGCTCGGAAATATGCTATATTTTCGCAATTTCATGCGAATGATGAACATTTAAATTTCTAAAATGTACCAATTTTTATTTAAATTGGCTTATCAATGATATTGTCATCTTTTTACGTAAATCCCCTTTGTCTACTTTAGCAGGTTTCATAAATGCTGTTGGTCTAACAATTTATTTAATTACTACTAGTATACTAATAGCATGAAATAATCACGATGAAAATAATATTGAATCTCAATATTTCTAAGAGGGTAATAAAACAACGCAACCGAATGAAATATTCATATATTTTTTAAAGTTATTTTACTAATGACAGTTTCGATTTATTTTTGTTAAAGACATTTTGAAACATGAAACATTTTTTAAACTTAAATGCAATGAAGTTTTTACCAGGAATAAATCGCAATGATAAAATAACTTTTGCATCCTTACAAAACCATGGGCTACAGCAATATTTTTCGATCCTCTATATAGAAAGCCGTTGAAATTACCAGCCGAATGTTTGCAATTAATTAATTAAAAACGTTCATTGTTCTAACTGCACAATTAGCTGTATAATTTTGGTGAATAAAATCTTTTGTGTGTAAAAATTTGGCTGTATATAATTTTCGGTGGATATAGAGGGGGTAAATTGATATTTTTTCCATTTCTATCACACATATGTGGTATGTGATTGTTATGTTCTAGCAAAAAAGCGACACATTGCGTGCAATTGGCGTGCGCCCCTAAGCCGGCCCCTAGTCGGGCTGAAAAATTCGAAAACTGATCCCTGGGATCCGTAAAACCGTAGGGAAATAATCAAATTTCATAGAATTAACCCAACAATGTGTTTTTCGTTTTTCGCTTGTCGTTTTTCGAATTTTCTACCATTTCTCTTATATTTTTTTTGCGCAATTTTTTTTAATTAATTCACCATTTGTTTCACCTCATTTTATACGATTTTTGGAGGTTTGTTGAATTTTTGTCGTTTTAGTTTTGATTGTATACTGGTAATATTCATAAAAAACTATTTTTTTAGTGGATTATATTGAAAGTAATATATTTTCAATTATTTTTCTATATTTCTAGTTACCAGTTTGCAATTTTGTTACAATAAGTAGTAGTATTAAATTCTTCTAATGCCTATGTATACATAATATTTTATATTTTGACGTGAAAATATCAAGAAGAAATGAAGATAAGAAGATAAAAGAAGCTAATTATTAAAGTTTGCATAGGCATTAAATTTACAAAGTTTGTTGTATTTTATTGTAATAATTTTTAACAGGAATATGAATTAATTTTCAACAATTTAAATCTTTTTTGCTAATATAATACAGCAAATTTTCGTAATAAGAACGTAGAAATAGGAGTTTGAGTAAATGCATCAAAACATAGGAAAAAAAGGAACATTCATTTCGCAGGTATTCATTTACATAATCAACGAAATTGAATAAATAAAAATAATTAAATAGCACGCACTGTCTGCGAATAAATTAATTCGATTAACTGGAATAGTTTTAATGGTAATTTAACATTTTTCTTCCATTGCATTTTGTCACATATTTTTCACAGACATCGTGTGCTTTTATACACATTACTAAAATATTTCAACGATTTTTCCGATGCAATAACAACAGTTTTTCAACTTTTACAATAATTTAGTAATGTTTCATTCGAGATATTTCATGGCTGTTTGTCTAAGTATGTCTGCATATTATAAATGTTTGAAAAGAGGAAATACATTATGCTAATGAAAAAGAGCACATAGAAATGTTCGAACTTTCCTTTCTCTCAGGTCAGAACCTGTTTCATTGTACATAAGTACGAATTATTCATCTACGACTAGACGCATGCAAATGCAATTTACCACAAACGTTTCCTTGAGAAATGAACAATCTTATACAAACAGCCACCATTTAACTAGTTAAGGTACAAAAAAAAATTCAAAAAACCTCCTACCGAACGACAAAACCCACCCGCATCTCTATAACCATTCAATAGCACCGAAACCGACGATAACATCAACGAAAAACACACTGTTAGCAAATTAAGTAAATCATTCACCGCAATCGCCGAACCGGCTTTACCCTTCTCTTCGAACCTTCCAGGTCCCCTTGCACAAAGAGCCCGTCTGGCTGTGGAACACCATCGACAAATACCTGCAGACGTTCAGCAGCATGCAGCTCCAAGTCCCCGACACCTGCGGCTCGTCCTTCAGCACAGTCGAATTAAAGGCCGAAGCCGAATGGCTGCGCACCCGCCTGGAAGCCGAAAACTCCCCGGTGGTGTTCTGCCACAACGACCTCCAAGGCGGCAACATTCTCCTGCAGAACTCCGCCGAAGATGACTCCGATGAAGACGAGCTGGTTATTATCGGTGAGAGCACCTCCATATCCCCTGCTAGTTCTCTTTTAACATTTTTTGGGTTCCAGATTACGAATATTGCGCTTACAATTACCGCGCCTTCGACATAGCCAATCACTTCGTCGAATGGGTGTACGACTACAGGTACCATTCGCACCCCTACTTCAAGGAGAACTGGAGCAACTACCCCAGCGAGAAGCAGCGATTGACATTCATAAGGACCTACCTGAAGGAGGTGGGCTCGCGAGAGAACCCCAAGAAGGTGATGAGAGAAGTGGAGGCCTTCACCATGGTGACGCACTTGCTGTGGACCGCTTGGGCCCTCACCAACGCCGGCATGTCCAACATTCCTTTCGGATATTGGGTGAGATATTGGTTATTTTTTACTGCCTTAAATTTGGTAAATTGTGTGAGATATTGGTGATTTTTTAACTACCTTATTCTTCGAACATTGGGTGAGATATTGGTTTTTTACCCACCCTGCTTATAGCATTTTGTGATAGATCTTGGCAATTTCCTATCTATCATATCCTTCTGTGTTGAGTGAAGCATTGGTTCTTTTTACCTAACGTATCTTAGCAGTTTAAACAAGATATTAAGTCTTCTTACCAATCCTAATCTTAGCAAATGTGTAAGAAATTGGTGATTTTTTTATCTACCGCATCCTTCGAATATTGGGTTAGATATTGGTACTTTTTACCTACCCTAAACTTATTACATTTGTATTTTAGTATTTGGTGAGATATTGTTGATTTTTAATTACAATAACCTTCTGACATTGAGTGAGATATTGGTCATTATCCTGTCCTTCGAATATTGGGTGGGTGATTGGTACTTCTTACCTACCCTAATCATAGTATTTTGAGTTAGATGTTGTTGATTTCTTATCTACTTTATTCTTCTGTATTAAGTGAGATATTGGTTCTATTTACCTACCCTACCTTTAGCATTTTGCATCTTTTTACCTACCCTAAACATAGCAGATTGTGTGATAAATTGGTGAATTTTTATGTATCGTATCTTTCGAATATTGGGTGAGATGTTGGTACTTTTTACCTACCCTAAACTAAGTAAATTGGATGAGATATTGTTGATTTTTAATTACAACAACCTTCTGATATTGAGTGAGTTATTGGTTATTTTTTCCTACCTTAAACTTAGCATGTTGGGTTAGATATTGGTGATTTTTTAACTACCCTATACTTCAAATATTAAGTGAGATATTGGCACTTTTTTCCTATCCTAATCATGGCATTTTGAGTTAGATATGATTCTTTTTACCTACCTTTAGCAGATTTCATGAGATCTAGGCGATTTTTTACCTATCCTAATCTTAACATATTGGGTGAGATATTGGTATTTTTTACCTACCCTACCCTTAGCTTATTGGTATTTTTAACCTACCCTACCATACCCTTCTGATATTGAGTGAGATTGATATTTTTTCACATAGTTTTGCCAAATAATTAAATTCTTCAATAAAATCTATTATGTTTATTGAGCTAATTTTCTGTTTTTGTAGGAATTTGCGTCGGCAAGACTAAAGAATTACTATCAAATCAAGCAGAAATACACGAGCGGGATGCAGTTGAAGAGGAAGATGGACGAATTGACGATGCTGAGTCCGGGCGAGAGCGACGGGAGCGCCAGAAAACTACCGAATTAGAAGATAAATAGCGCACTGATGGATGATAAAATCTCAGAAAACATGACTGTGAACCAGGCGAAGCGGAGCTTCGGTACTTTTTGTCGATATACGTTTATCTCTAAACTCTAAATAGTATTATAATGATAAGTTTTTTGAAAAATTTCTATTCCCGTTAAGCGAAGATTGACCGAAGAGACCGAGTCGAACTCGGGTAGAAAAGACAATTATTTTAATTGTTGATTGTTGGGAGTTTTTGACTGTTGTCTGTTGACTTGACTGCTGAGAATTTACCGGTTTGATGAGCGAGTTTAGAGCGTGATGAAAGTTTTTATACCCTCTTTTTTGTTATCTACTTCATAGTATTTTATAGTTTTTAAACGTTTAGATCTGTATGAAAAATTGTGCTTATTATTTCGAGACTGATCGTGTTAATAGCATAGTTTTTTTTATTTCTTTTAACTTGTACATAATACTGCGAATAATTTATTTTAGTAAATAAAGATTGGGGCAAATTAATCTATCGTTTTATTTCGTCATTTACGCTTAAATGCGTATTATTTTTTCGCAATTACCGTTAATATTGCGTTACAAAATGTTTGAAATGAACCCTAAAAGGTTATTTAAATAGACGTATTTCTTCACAGAAAAAAATGTTTGAGGATTTGTTCAATAAATTTTAAATTTTAATGTTTCCCAATGTTTTTCATTAGTTACGATAAAAAATATTATTTTAATGAGTTAAGTTTCTGCAGCGGTTTCTACAAATTTTATCGCGGAATTGCAACGTGTATGATACAAAAATGATAACCTTTAAATAAATTTCGAAATTCTTCACTTCCTATAAAATTTTATCGTAAGGTAACCGAATTATACAGGGTGTTATCTTAATATCTCGGAAACTGGATGCGCTATAAAAAAAGAAGAAAAAAAATCTTGAAATTTCAACACCCTGTAGATCGGTAACGAAGCGTTTTTGCCTATGGACCTATGTTCTATGTGAACCTATGTTGTGTGCACGATATTTAGGATCATCCTGTATACATATGTAGTTGGGCAAAAGTCCGAAATAAAATTATTATCTGTTAAACCAGCAATTTAAACAAAAAACGCTGAAACACGCGAATTAATTTTATTTTGGTAAAAATATGCAATACCCCTTTTCCTTTTGAAGTTCACTGATCAACAATGGCTTATTAGAATTAAATCCATTTTATGTTTTAGTTTTTTCTTAAAACCTTAAACTCCAACGAATGTTGATGCCTTATCAGTTTTAAACGGTCAATCAATAAAATTTGGTGTGATGGCTTCCCAAGCTCGCCTGTTTTAGAATTAAAAATAGGCTACGGATATTAGGTTTTACCATCGCCTTGAAGCCTGTTAAGTAGAGGGTGGAGGACATTCTCAACATCTGCTACGTTAATTCGCAAGTCCGATAGCACTAAAAAGGTATTTGTAACATTTTTGTTTATAAAAGAATTTTTTGCTCATTTCTCAATAGCCACATGAGAAAAATAAAAAAAGGTATGTTCCAAAATTCATTTTTCACGGGCTTTTCAATGACCCTACACACGACATACCTTTGCATTTAAAAAAAAGTTGGGTAGGGTTACAGTTGCAGCTAAGGGGTTGAAGAAAAAAAATCATTTTATTGGCAACAAATCCATTCAGTATAAAATCAATTCACGTGTTTTAGAGTTTTTTGCTTAAATTACTGGTTCATCACAGCGACGATTCATCACGGACATTTCATCACGGCGACATTCTATCACAGGTATTTCATCACGGCGACAATTTATGAACAAACAATTGCATATTTGTGAGACAAGTTTAAAACCCGTTTCAGTTTTGCAAAATATGACACCTGTCAAAGTATTCAAATATACTTGGGCGACGAAATATGTAGGTAGACCGCAAATATTATGGTAGACCGAATACTAGACCGGCACTATATTTTCTATTCTACTCACATTCTTTATTAAATATATCAAAGTACTTTGACCTCAGGTTGTCATAAATAAATTATAAAATTTAAAGACTTTTAGGGGAAAACCGTTTCTATTTATACCGTAATTACTAACTATATGTAAAATAAGAGGGTGAAACAACCTTATTGTTTTGTTTGTATTACAACATTCTCGAAGTATGCCCTTGGAAACCGGCACACTTTGTATGGGGGAAGTTCACAAAAGTTTATTCTAACATAAAATATGAAACTTAAATGTCACACAACTTGAACCAATTCAACTCCTACAATAAACATGAAAAAAGTAATTGTATCTAAACCTACAGAAAAACCAAAGTGTTATCCTAGAAGGTAAATTATTTTTTACTCATTTTCCTTTAATTATGCATTTTTTTTTTAGAAATTTCGACTGTCCAAATCCCCTAATATCAAACAACTGGCTCATCAGAAACGACTCATGTAGAGTAAACGACATCCTGCAGCCGGATTTCCTGCGAGCCAAATTGAGGAAACCCATCGAACATGTGCCGGAACAACCGCATTCCCAACCAACGAAATCCTCCGCCCATCGAAAGCAATTCAAAAGCTCAAACACCTGCTATTGCAAAGAAAAATCCGCCGAACCCACTTTAATCAAAAGACCCAACAAGTGCTTATCTTTAGAGGAATTCGAGCGTCAAATGGATAAGAATGAAACTTGGAAGAGTTTATCGAAAGCTCGAACTTCCTTGCATTGCTTCTGCAAAGGTAAAAAATTTATTGCGTAACTAAGAAAGAATTTGTTTTTGAACCGATTCCAGGAGTACAAGCATCCGGCCTGGACATAGATTTAACCGATAAAGTAACTTTGAAGAAAATCCAGGAAGAGCTGGAGAAAATCAGCAATCAACTGGCCATCACCAGCCAAAGGCAAGATTACGAATTGTACAGAGAAAGAGAACAGGACAGGTACTTAAAGGAAATCGAAGACTATGAAGAAAGTTCTGATATTAGAACTATTGTTGGTACAATTATTAAACATTCAGAAAGATGTAAATGTTCATAATATTTCCGGAATTTCAGGTACAGTCAATTCCAATTCCAAAGGTGCTACAGCTCTGGATCATTGCGAAAACGTGGAACCGTATCAAGAAGTAGACTCTGCTGTTGATTCAAGACAATTTAAGACCAAAGGGTCGCATTCAAAAGCAACTGGTGACTCGTACAAAGGTTCTGGTACATCCAGCAGTACAAATTTGAAGAAATTCCGAGACGACAATTACTTCGAAACGCATTTAGTTGATGAATGTAGAGACGTTCCGGAGCACGTTTGCGTCCATCAATACAGATTGGACGAAAGATTGCTGCCCCAGGCCGTTTCTATTGATCGAGCTGGCAAGAGCAGGTAATGAAGGTGTCCTCATAAGAGGAGACAGAGCAGTTTTAAATGATTCTGTATCGTTCTAAATGGGTTTAGACAGTTCTAAATGGTTCCGGAGCGTTCTAATTGGTTTTAGACAGTTCCAAATGCTTCTGGAGGGTTCTAAATATTTCTAAATGCTTCTGGAGCGTTCTAAATGGATTTTAGACAGTTCTAAATAATTATGGAGCGTTCTAATTGGTTCCAAACAGCTCTAAATGCTTCTGGAGCGTTCTAGTAGTACGAAACAGTTCCAAATGACTCTGGAGCATTCTAGATAGGTTTAGACAGTTCTAAATGGTTTTAAACAGTTCCAGATGATTCCGGAGCGTTCTAATTGGTTTTAGACAGTTCTAAAATGTTTCTGGAGCGTTCTAAATATTTTATATGATTCTGAAGCGTTCTAAATGGGTTTAGACAGTTCCAAATGATTATGGAGCGTTGTAATTGGTTCTAAACAGCTCCAAATGCTTCTGGAGCGTTCTAGATAGGCTTAGACAGTTCTAAATGGTTTTAAACAGTTCCAAATGATTCCGGAGCGTTCTAATTGGTTTTAGACAGTTCTAAATATTTCTAAATGACTCTGGAGCCTTCTAAATGGGTTTAGACAGTTCTAAATGATTCTGGAGCGTTCTACATGGGTTTAGACAGTTCTAAATGAATTTGGAGCGTTCTAATTGGTTTTCGACAGTTCTAAAAGCTTCTGGACCGTTCTAAATATTATTAAATGATTCTGGAGCGTTCTTAATGGGTTTAGACAGTTCTAAATAATCCTGGAGCTTTCTAAATGGGTTTAAACAGTTCTAAATGATTCTGGAGCATTCTAAATGGTTTTAGACTGTACTAAACGCTTCTGGAGCGTTCTAAATATTTTTAAATAATTCCGGAGCGTTCTAAATCGTTTTAGACAGTTTTAAATGGTTCTAGACAATTCTATCCCACTCTTCTAAAGGCCTTGTATATTTGGTCGTTTATAATTTTTTGATCGAGCATAAATGCATGTAGAAGTGCATAGGGCTTTTAGTAGTTTTAAAGCATATTTTGCCATTTTTTGGTGCATATTTTTCAAACTCTGCTCATAATGTATATCAAATTTAGTTGTTTTACCTTTGAGTATTACTGAGATATTAATTTTTCTTTTATTTTGTAACTCCACTTTGAAGCGCCACTTTGAAAGCCTATAACTTCTCAGGAATATAACTTAGTATTAAGTTAAGTTGTGTTAAGCAACATTTGGACTTCCCATACATGCTCCTGCCCTGTGTCGGTTCTTATGTGAGGACATCCTGTATTATTTAATGTGGTAGAGTGTATAGAGTTTGCAGGAATCGATTTTTCCAGGTGCATTGTATGCAACAAGCCTATGTTGGATAAAAGTCGCGAGGAAAAGTCGATTTTCAACGACAGGATCACGAGGAAAAAAATTAGGAACCTTTCTAAGTGCCTGGAATTGGGCCTGGCACCCCATGAAGTGCATATAGGAAATTCCGAGAGAGTACAGTTGATAGTGAATACAGACGATTATATTAAATACGGAAGGTTTATAGGAAGTTACGAGAGACCTTGCCACGTCAATACATACGCTTTAAGGCAACAAAAAATGACTTGTTGGAGATCACATTGATGTAGAAACGTTTATACTTTCATTATATGCTATTGTATACGTAGTTATTTTACAAATAAATAGTTTATTCGTAGACAAACATTAATAAAAATTTTAAAAAATATACAACAAAAAATATAGTACTTAATCTACAATATATTGCCTACTCTATCTCTAGGAATGAGCCTCAGTTCCGATCCGTGTTTCAAAAATACGTTACCTAAGAAAACAAAGGTAGTTATGTTATAGAAATAAAGGGCAAATGGTGCAAATAAATAACACTAATTTACAAATTATACACTTTTTTGATGCATGACATAAAATTAACATTTTTTAATATATTTTGGCCCAATTTCCTTAATTTGTCCAATACGGTCAACATTTTGGAGCGTTTTAAATGGTTCTAGACAGTTCTAAATGATTCTGGGTCGTTCAAATGAAGGTAGAATGTTCAAAATGATTCTGGGGCGTTCTAAATTGTTCTAGATAGTTATAAACGATTCTAGACAGTTCTAAATGATTCTGGAGCGTTCTGAACAATTCTAGACGGTTCCAAATGGTTATGGAGCGTTCTAAACTGTTCTTAAACTGATCTTAAACTGTTCTAACTGTAGTTATAAATGATTCTGGCGCGTGCTAAATGGTTCTAGATAGTTTTAAATGAGTCTGGGCCGTTCTAAATGGGTCTAGTCTAGATAGTTCTAAATGACTGGAGCGTTCTAAATGGCTTTAGACAGTTCTAAATGGTTCTAAACAGTTCTTAATGATCCTGGAGCGTTCTAAACAGTTCCAAATTGTGAGTTAGAAGACTATTGTTGGACTTTAATAGGCGAAACCGAGCCAAAATCATATAAAAAAAAAACAAAAATTTAATGTTCAGCATTTCTAATTTGTAGTTTCTTTTCATGCAATGCATAGATATTAAATTCCAGTAAAGAAAAATTATTTTATTAGTATATTTCGGTTATGTGACGTGCTAGATTTTTGTTCATTAACCGAAAATACCTATATTACTACCATTATCCTACAAGTTCTTTGCACATAACCTTGTAAATTAGTGTTATTATAAAATACATTTACCAGCTGTTTGTTGAGGGTTGATTCCTATCCCGTCATCGGTGATGATTGCAGATGTGGCAGGAGGTACTTGGAATTCCTCAGCAGCGAATTTCAATACAGCTGTAAATGGTGTAGCTTCTGGAACACTTAATCTGAAATTCCATGTAATTAAAAATGAGATTAAGGGCGCCACTTGAGGGTATTTTTAAACGGGAAAACGTAGGTTCAGTTATTCTAGTAAGATTCAATTTGGCTTCATCAAATGATTTGAATCTTTTTTATACCTAATATAGAGACTCCAAGCAATGATATCTCCTATTTTTAATCCCACCTACATCATTTTACAGGGTGTCCCGGAAAGTGTGGGAAATCTCTCGGATCCAGATAGAACATGAAAAAATAAGATGACAAATTCCTATAAAGTTTTATCCTACAGGCCCTTCTGAGTAAAACTCGAGTTTTATTGAACAAATATGTGAATATTTGTAGTAGAATGAAGAATATTTATTACAGAGGGACATCTCCTAGTTTATATTAATCCACAGGCTGTATATATTAAATTGAAATAAAAATAAAGAGTTTTAGCAAATGATAATGATAGATTACTGTAAAATTATAGTGTCGCCTGGCATAAATGTCAAATCACAGAACAATTTTGCAAGTTTGACTAGCAACAGCGGTGCCAATGGTTTCGGGTGTTGAGATATTTTTGAATAATGTTAATTATTTGCCCTTTTTGGGCAGGTAAGAAATAAGGTATTTGCAGTGCGATAGGATACTTTTGGACCACTTTAATGACTGCTTTTAAAACCCTACTTTTATCTTTTCAAATTGCAGAGAAAAGAATTGAATTTGAAAAATTCTGAAAAATATTTCATATTGTACATTGTTGTACGTTTGATTTTATGTCAACTACTAGTTAAACTATTCTCATCCCATCTACTGTGGAAAAAATTTACCAAAATTGAGGGTGCTTTTGCAGCCTTAAATAACGAAGAGATTGGATTATTTTGTTTAATAAAAAATTTCTTACATAAATTACAAAAATATAGTTACAATGTGGAAATAAGATAATACAAAAATACATTCAAATAGTTCAGAAATTGTATATACAAAAAAATTATCATTTTTTATTTATATCACTTAATAATTCTTCCCAAATACTCGATACAGATGAATCTTTTGCTTGTTTTATTCTATTTAAAACGTACATTTTTAAATCATCATTAAATTTACATAATTCATCGATATAAGTGAAGATATCGTTATATTCAATGTCTGGATAAAAACAAACTTTCTCGTTTGCTTTCCATAAATTTTCAAGCTTTTTCATCATGCTTCCAATGTAAATAATAAAATTCATCAGGCTTTTTAAGAAATCTTCAAAGTTATCGCAGACAGAGCAAACTGTTTTAACTTGAACTGTTTTGAACAAGGCGTTCCAAAATTCTCTTGTTAGGATATTTCTATCTCTCATTTTTTCCAATAAAATACCTAAAATATTATTTTGCACGGTTTTTTCATCGTCCGATAATTTCTTCAAAGATAATACCCCGATTAAAAGATACAAAAACGATTGTACATTGTAAGGTAGAAGTAAATTTTCGATTTCTTCAATCAATTTAACGGATTTTCCTTTCTGAATTAGCGATTTCCAATTTTGCAGTTTCAAATTGTACTCGAAATCGCGCATATCCTGTTCATCGAAATTTTTATCTACATAATTACTCAGAGCTTGCAAATTCCCAGCATTAATCATAACCCTCGTTAGCACATTCTCGAATCTAGTTCTCGAACAAAGACTAGTATAAATTCTAACAGCAATATCCAGATTCAATTCTGTAACATTACGGCAGGTAAAATATTTCACGATTAATTCATCGCAAGCTAGTTCGTACACGTTTTTGCTATACACTTTCGTTCTTTCATTGTTGTTGTTATTCAGCCACTTTTTTAACAGGTCTAGAAAAGTTTCTATGCTGTTGTTTGAGCTGAAATGCTCGGTAGTTTTCTCTACGCAACTGGCCAGTTTAAACGATGTTTTGATGTCTTCGACCTTAGCCGAGCGCGCCCAGTTGGAATCCTCCAATATTTTAATAAACGACTCGAATGTATTTAAAATTTGCAATATATTAGACGAACGAACGTCGTCCATTCTCGTGGCTTTTGGTAGTTTCTGTCAGTCTTTCGATCTCACCCAGGTTATCTGCTAAAAAAGAAATTCCGACAGTAACTACCAAAAGCACAATAATTATAATAATACCGATACTTACACTTTGAAAGGCAATTTCGGATCAGAAGTTAAGGTGATTTTGAATGTTACTTTAGACCTAAAACCAAAACATATTGCATTAAAAATATAGTTATTTATTGTAACCTTATTATATTATATTGATCAGAAACTTACGCCATGATTTTTTCGAATGTTTTATAATATAACTAATTCACGCGTAGAGTAATAAAATGATATAAATTCGTTTAAATATTGCAGTGTTTTTTGTTATCACGTTGACAGAAAACCACCATTCATTTCTTCTTCTTTCTCGGTATTTGTGGTCTCGGCTACTAAGTCTATTCAGCTAGGGATATAAAAGTTTGTATTTGTGACCTACATAGAAAATATATAATCTGCGTAATGTAGATTACAGACAAAATATAACTTTATAACTTTATTAGGTTAATAACATTATTAATTTTAATGAATAATACTTTTTTATTTCTCTAAAATGTCAATGTCGTGGCGACCTCTCTGATTGGTAATATGAATTATATCTGAGGCCTCTAATTAGCGGCAAATTTGAATTCGTATTGTTATGAACATCATTGAAATGTAAAATGAACACACGAAAAAAATGTACATGAAATATTTTATTAATATAACATTATTCCACTCATACATATTGAATTGACACGTACACAAGTTTTAACACACTATGATCTATTATAAAACATAAAGTACTTATTTTGTTTTTTATAAGACAACGCAGGTACAACCGCCGGACATTTAGAACAATATTCATTATTAATTTTACTTCAACGTTTTAAAATTCTCATTCTTTTATACGAGAATCTCGGAATACTCAAATTAAACAATATCAATCGAATTCTAATAATTATAAATCTTATAAAGCAATGCAAGATTTAAATTCAAACTACTTTTTATAACGTCGATAGTAGAAGTAATTCTACGTCACACTTACATAATAGGATGGAAAAAAACCTGAGTATACAAAACGCTAATCAAACAAATACTTGAACAATTATTTTTTACCACCGACATCTGAACAACATCACACTTATTTGTTTAAATTACAATTACCTAACACCGCGTACCGTAAATTTACCACCTGTTACCGTCACATATTTACAGGGTGTCCAGAAAATAGATGTTAATATTTCGGAAGCGTATAGATGAAATAAAAATAAGGGTATTTCTTCACGTAAATTTTGTTTATTTGGGACCCCATTTTTTAGTTAGAGGCCTTTAAAGTTTAAAATTTAACTTCATTTCCTATGTTTTTTTCCAAATTATATATGGGAACAATATTATTTTTTTTGGTTTATTACCTACACCCGTATGCCCTATTTAATGATTGAAAGACAGTGGCGGCGTGTTCCCAGTGATTAACAATTCGTAACTTTTATAGGGACAATCTGTATAACGCAAACATATCGTAAATACATTTTTAATGGGTAAACCAACAAAAATACACTCTTGTTTGAAGTCGGTAAAATTAATGGCTAAGAGAAATTTCAATTTTTAGATTGAAATAATAGGTACAGGATTCAAAAATGAGGGCTCAAATGAACAAAATTTATATGAAGTTATACCCTTATTTTGTTATTTTGATGTTATCTTTACGTTCCCGAATTATTGACATCTATTTTCTGGACACCCTGTATATATAAAATCTTCAGTAAATTATATCCTCTCCTTGTTCCTGAACGTTCACGTTTGGTCCTTGGGACTCCTGCACAAAATCGTGGTCGTACTGATGATGGTGATGAGTAGGAAAATTGCCAGCAGGACTCTATCCAGCACGATGGAAGTTTGCTTCCATTCCAACTCGGTTTGCTCCTTTCGATCCTGATCGGTCATCCTGCGATCGTTTTTGTCAATACTGGCGTGAACTTTGTTTAGTATTCGAATTATCTGCGTTTCGTAAAGATCTGGAAAAAACAATTAGGAACGTATAATGTTTGGAAGCGAATCAAAAGGACTCCGGATAACCGGCCAATTTGGCTAATCCAGAATAATTCGGCGTTAATTCGTAATTGATTCAATTACATATTGTGTGTTATTAAAGCAAAATGAGAAACGAATTTTGTATAATAAATAGGAAAAGCGGCCCTTTCGAATCGAGTTAAGAAACTCATCAAACTCGGAGAGTTTTCCTTCCATTCAACGAATTAATTGCTTTTAGTAATTACTCGTGTCAAATTTGAAAGGAAACCGTTTTCTTTCTCAGCCTTTATACAGCCCAATAAATCGCAATTTACGTCGTTGCAATTTTCCTCTGTGCATATTAATTTTGTTTGTCTGTTTTTATTAACTTAACTAATGTCTTTACAAGTACCTGATTTTCCTAATTCGCTCTCTCGCGTTTTCGGAGGGAATTTCGGCGATCTTTGATGACGCTGTTGCATGCAATAACCATCTTCCTGGGCTCGTTTGTCCACCCAAGGCCAGGGACAGTCCAATCTGGTACCTGTTTGCGGATTAATTTCCTATAAATAACGAAATTTGACAGTACAGATGAAGATTTAGAAATCGAACTCCTACATTAAGTAGATATGAGATTTATGCAATTAATTGTGCAACAGAACCATCGTTTCACGAATAGTTTCAGGACTATTTAGAATGGTTCAGGATAAACAAGAAAGGGTAACAATCATTTAGAACTGACAAGAACCAGTTGAAATATTTCGAACTGTCCACAATTATTCTGAGCAAATTCAGGACTATTTGGAAGGGTTCAGGAAAAACTAGAAAATTTCGGAATCGGTTGAATCAGTTCCCAATGATCTTAGAACTATTAAAAATTGTCCAGTCATTTAAGATCCAATCATTTTGGAATAAACTAGTACAGTTTAAAACAGTTCAGGGCTCTTTTAAAACTATTTAGAACTGTCCAAAATCGTAGATTTTGGATAGATTCAGGAATATTTGGAACGGTTAAGGTTAAACTAATAAAAGTTCAGAACCTGTAGTTGATACAGTTCCGAAGTATCATAGAACTATTTAAAATTGTCCACAATCATTTCAAATCGTTTTAGAACTGACAGTACCAGTTGAAATAGTTTAGAACTGTCAATAATCTTTTTAGACTGACTAATATCAGTTGAGATATTTCGGAACTGTAAAGAATCATTTTAGAACTGACATCAGTACCGTTGAAATAGTTCAGAAGGATCTTAGAACTATTTAGAGCTGTCCACAATTATTTTGAACAGATTCAGGACTATTTGGAATGGTTCAGGAAAAATTAGAAAAGTTTTGATTCAGTTAGGAAACACTTTTGGGACTAGTTAGATTTTTTTAGAACTTTTAGAAGACCAATAAGAATTTTTCACCTGATTAATCGATTAAACATCAAATTAGAACTGACTAGGACAATTTGAAATAATTTTCTTATAAAATTATGTCAAAAATCGATTAACTTGAAATGAAATACTCGTAAAAATATTGATAGTACCTAAATATAGTCAAATTTACAGGTACAAATCTTATAAAAACGATCTTATAAAATCGATTTAATAGTAAAATGACTGAACTATACACTAATTCCAAAATAGTAGGCACTAAATTCTCAGAAATGATTGCGATAATGGGTCTCTCGCAGTGGCGTACGGAAAATATCGTAGGCTACAAGTGTGTTTGATGGGAAAATCAGCAGGAGACTAATAATTAGAAGAGCAAGGATTATGTAATAAATAAGAAAAGCCACAATATTTCCGAGAATTTAGTGCCTACTATTTTGGAAATAGAGTATATAGTAAATATTTGTTTTAAATTGTTCAGAACTATTCAAAACTAATCTAGACTATTTGAAACACTTTAGGACGAATCCTCGATCTTCGAACCATTACAGAACGGTTCAAAATATTTTTGAACCCATTCAGGAATATTTGGAACGATCTATGTTATACTAGATAAGGCCAGAACCATTTAGAACGCTTCTGGGGCTTTTTAATAATATTTTATTTTTATTTTTAGAAGACTAGTTCAAATTTTTCAACTAAAAAAATGAATAATTTAGTAAAATCTTCAAACCTTCAAATTTGAACCTTAAAATTTGCTTATAAAATCTTGTAATGTAAATGCATTTCCCTACGTCAGGCCGACCCGGTATAATCATAGAGCTCATAACATCTTCGCAATATTGAGTCTAACATCTGCGACATGAATCTGTTGAAGCGTTTAAAATGACAAGTCATTTCCATGAAAACTGCGTTATATTCGATTCAGGAAACTGTTCTAATATCCCCCGAGCTCCGGAGACACCTAAACGAATTAATAGAATCAGGAAAATAGTGTCGACGCGGCAACGGAACGACGAATCCGGAGGAAAATAGGCTTTCCCCGGAATGTGCATTCCCGGCTAAACGATTATGTAGTACATTTTAAGAATAATTACACGCAAAGAATCCGCTTAATTTAGCTGAATGCACCTTTCACGATTTATACAGGGTGTGCAGAAAATAGATGTCGATAACTCGGAAGCGTATAGATGACAAATAAGGGTGTATCTTCATATAAATTTTGTTAATTTGAGCCCCAATTTTTGAGCTAGAGTCATTTAAAGTTGAAAATTTAAAACTTATTTTTACGTTTTGTTTCGAATTTGGTGATAAAATGAATTCTACACTACTCTCTGGAGGACAGTGGCGGCGTGTTCCCAGTTATTAATAATTCGTACCTTTTATGGGGACAATCTGTATAAGGCAAACATATCGTAAATACATTCTTTAAACGATGAACTAACAAAAATGTACTCTGTTTGCAGTCGATAAAATTAACGGTTTTAGAGAAATTTTAATTTTTAGATTGAGATGATAGGTAGAGAGGGATTTTTTGGTAAATAAAAATTTTGAACAAACTGTTATTATTTGTAACTACCTACTAAAAATACTAAAAAACAACAATAGACACGATCTTGGAGGAGATCTTGGAATTCCCAAGATTGATTTACCACCTCTTTTAGACAAGACTTTTGAAATTACTAAATCAAGAGATAAATTAATGGACAGAATAATTTTTTCATTGTGAAATCCAGAAATTGCCTTTTAGATTGCAAAGAAATATTCTCCTTATGTTTCATAAGTGTTTTCAACTAAAGGGTTCCCATATCGAACATTTATTATAATCTTTCGTTTGGCGATTAATAAAAGATTTTCTTTACATTCAGATTTAAAAATTGAAATTTCTCTAAAACCGTTAATTTTATCGATTGCAAACAGAGTACCTTTTTGTTAGTTTATCGATTAAAGAATGTATTTACGATATGTTATGCCTTATACAGATTGTCCCCATAATAAACCACAAAAATTTTATATTGTTTCCATGAATAATTTGAAAAAAAAAACGTAAAAATTTACAATTTTAAAAGCCTCTAGTTCAGCTCAAAAATGCATGGGGACTCAAATCAACAAAATTTATAAAGACTCGCAAAACTTTGCAATGTCTTCTAGATTTTCTCACCTGAACTTGCTGCGTTCGATGGTTCTCGAATTTCATGAAAACCAACGGGGCGAGTTTTCCCAGCACGATGTTCCTCATGATTTTAGGCACGGCCGAGCCCCGCACGCCCCTGTGGTAAATGTTCAGGGTGACCACGGAAAGCGCCGAAGCGAAAGAGACCAGGCAAATGCTGACCCCGTAATACATGCCTGTGGAAAAAATTCGGAATTGTTTACTCGATTCCGCCAAGTTTCGCGTAGAAGAAACTTTTTAATAACATCCGTTAAATTTCTTTGGAAGTTTTCCAGAATTCGACTTGAAGTTTTCTAGGCAGTTGGGTTAAAGTGCAGTTCATTTGAATTCCAACACTTTTACCTGGCTCGTAAAATAAACAACTTACTGATAAGGGGTGTTTTTTCGGTAGGCGGTAGTGTTTCCCTTATGGTCATCAGGAATACAGTCATAGAAAGAAGGGCGCTGATTCCGAGGGTTACTTTCTCGCCTGATTCAGATGGTACGTAAAACACCAGTAATGCTACAATAAAAATAATTTATAAAATCAGGTAATATAGTCGGTGCAAAACAAATATCAATGCACGTCACCTACAATTTATTACGTCACAAGTAGGCAGTGTTGCCGAACTTTTATAGAGTTTACAAAATCTAAGAATTTTCTGAAAATGTCAAATGCCAAAATGACAAGAACAAATTGAAAATAAGGGGAACCTGTTTCACGTTTCTAAACGGCAGACGTATTCAGGGACTCACTATAATTAATCATTAAATTCCTTTATCATCTGAAATAAGTATATTTAACAGTGCGAATAACAAAATTAGTGTACACAGTACAATTGTCCTCTTAAAAAGTACATAGTAAAATTTATGAGAAAACTTTTGAATCTGATTTATTTAAAGCTTAAATTGTGTCATTTCTAACACGTGGAAAAGATAACAACGCAAAAAATTCTTATTTCTTGATTATTTGACTAAATAGCCTTTAGTAGTTGAGGCTAGTAAATTAGAAAAAAAGAAGAAAATGAACATTAAAAGTACTGTTCGGATGACAACGGCAACTATGCAACTTTACAGTCAGTGCCTACCAACCTACTATAAGAAAATAATATTAATTTTATATAAAACCTTGAATTTTGAGAATGCATATTTCTTTGGATGATTTAATTCTGCTTGTTAACATTTTCTATCATCCCTTGTTAATATTAAATGAAATTTTGCAGGTATTAAGCTTAATGTATTTATTTTTAAAAGTTCGGCACAATTCTTGGCAAGTATGACGTCAGTAGTGACGTACATTGATACTTGTTTTGCACCGACTATATCTAACCATTTTTTTATGCATTACTAACCGATTCCATTTATTAATATGCAAGGCAGTATCAAGTTGAAGACGTAAAACAAAGGTCTCCTTCTCAATTTAATCGTGTAGGTTATATCCGGATAGGGTTCGGGACAGCAGGAATAATATTCCACGTTTTTCACTGAAGAAAAACTAATCAAATCGAATTCCCCGTTCGCTTGATAATTACTGACGTCCCCTTCTTCGGTTTGCTTCATTAATTCAATCTGAAAAAAAAACCGGTTAAATATTATTTTTACCGAAATTTTCGGTCTTTTGAAGAGTTTAATATGCTGTTAATTGCAGGGTTTAAATGTTTACCTCAAACATGCAGTTAGTTTTCATTACGACATATTAGTCTTTGCGAAGTTTGTGGCGGAAACTCGTCCGTAAATACGCGCAAGAATTTAAAAAATGTAATATTTTTGCGAGTTAAGTAAATACTGCTCATTCTCGTTTCCTTTGGAATATAAACAAAAGTGTATTTATTTCGACTAGACTGGCTGGTAAAGGAAAATATGCCCTTCTAGCTGGTCAGGGTACATGCATTTTTCATAAAATAACTCCGTCTAGACATTCCTTATGCATGCGAGTTTCATAACAGAAACGAAGTAAATTTTAAGCAGGAGAGACATCATAAATATATCATACACACTGAGCTTATACGAAAAATTTGATACAAAAAACGCGTATAGTTATTATCTATTTATGCGTTTTCATCGATGGAAAAAAGGGGGCTTAAATTTTCTATTTCGCCTCGGGAACGCAATAAATTTAATACAACACCTAGATTGAAGGGAAATTTTCATTTAGTCGAACAAAAGCTCCCAGCCGCTTTTATGTTTTCGAAAGTCTTTGTTGCTGTAGGAAAAACGCTGTAATGGGGTAAACAGATATCGGCTTGTTTGCGCTTTTAAATTGACTTGCATTGCAAAAATTCCCTGAAATTAGGCGGGATTGATGTTTTCGAAAAAAAATCCTTCTCTCATCGAAATTAATTACCTGCGTACCAAATTCGCGACGATTTCGTGAATGAAAGATCGGTTTCCTCTAATCCGGTAAACAGTACGGATCCCAGCTTTGACAAGAGCATCAAAACAGCTTGAATAGAGCCTTTTGCCGTTTACCGAGCCTTAAAAGGCTTCAAAAAAAGCTTCAAAAAAGCTTTGAAACAGCTTCAAAGAGCTTCAAAAGAGCTTCAAAAGAGCTATCTAAAAATCTTCAAGAGACCTTCAAAAAACTCCAAAAGAAATTCGCGACGATTTCGTGAACGAACGACCATTTTTCTCTGAACCCGTAAACTGTACGGATCCCAGTCTTGAAAATACCTTAAAAAGAGCTGGGAAAGCTTCAAAGGACTTCAAAAAGTTTCAATCAGCTTCAAAGAGATTCAAAAAGATTCAAAGAAATTCAAAGGGATTGAAAGAGATTGAAGAATATTAAAAAATCTTCAAGAAGCTTTCAAAAAGCTTTCAAAAAGCTTCGAAAGTTTTCAAAGGGCTTCAAAAATATTCAAGCCATCTTAAAAAGAGCTGTCTTAATAAGAGCTTAAAAAGAGCTTGAAAAGAGTTTGAAAAGAGCTTAAAAAGGGATTAAAAAAAGTGACAAAAGAGATTCAGAGAGTGACAAAAGAGATTCAAAAGAGTGACAAAAGAGCTTCAAAATTCGAAAAGAGTTTCAAAAGGAATTCAAAAGAGATGTCATTCAAATGAGATTTAAGAGAGCTTTAAAAATGCATAAAAAAGCATCAGAAGAGCTTCAAAAGACGAAGGTCAAAAGAGCTCCAAAATAGCTTCAAGAGAGCTTCAATAAGAGAGCTTCAAAACAGATACCGGCTACTTAGCCGTTTTAAATTGACTTACAATGCAAAAATTCGCTAAAATTAGGCGGGTTTGATATTTTCATAAAAAATCCTTCTCATATCGAAATTAATTACGTATTAAATTCGCGACGATTTCGTGAATGAAAGGCCATTTTCCTCTGATCCGGTAAACTGTACGGATCCCAGCCGTATCTAATTTAGATTTAGCGATTTAGCGCCGCTCTTTTTGGATTCTCCTCTTCCCATTTCCCAATATTTTTATGTACCCTATACAAAGAAAGTGATAAAGTATGCATTTCCCATCCATTAACGATCCATGTTAGGTGGGAAAAGGGAAACAAAAACGAGTTAAATATAAATTATTAATTACATCCAAAAATCGCGTTTTAAATGTATAAATTTTAGAGTGTATTTCAGACGATAAACTTCCTGCAAAATAGCCCAAAATGCATTTTTCCAGTTCGCTAAATTCAGTATGTATTGGGGTAAAAACGTGTCTCAAATACACAAACAAATTCCAAACGGAATATCAATGAACTTCAATTTCAACTCCATTTAACACAATTTGTCTATCTTACTTGGTATCCATCGTAAGTCCAGGAGGCCCATTTCATGTAGCAGCTCTGCAGGTCGAAAGGGAAATACTCCACGTTGATATCGCAGGAAGACCTGTAAATTCCATGACTCAACCACACGACCTCACCGTTACTGGAAACTATTACATTGGTGTTGATCACAGAGGACTGGAATTGCGGATCAGCGCTGTGAAAAGTTAATAAAACATATTTCAATAATTCAGGAAAGTTTGCTATTATACGCTGGCAGAAAATGTAACCAGTTTATGGAAAAACCAATAATGGAAGTTGCATAATACAAATGTTTTTTGAGCGCTTAATTGACAGTTCCTCTCGTTATTTCTCCTATAATTAGATTCGTTAATCTGATATTTTGATGAATCATTTCGATTATTCGGCTAGAAAAGTATCCGGAATATTTCATTTTCCATCCATTTACTCCTGAGCAACAAGATTTTTACGGGAAGGTCAATGTAAGGCTTCGTAATTATTACGGATACACGCCGATGTTCATGCATAAAGGGAAGTGATGGAAGATAATTGGAGTAAATAATAAGTTTCGAGAACATAATTTCATTAAAACTTTTCCTTCGAGTTGCCCGTACAGCTTCTAATAAAAGCCCGGTCGAGACAGGTCGTGAAAAATATTTACCAAACATCGAAGGAAAGTTGTTTTCTCGATAATTTCGAAAATATGTTTTAAATCGAGTATTTTGGAGAGCGGATATGTTGGGAACAACGATTTTAAATGTTCGCCTAATGTTGGAGTGCTTTATGCAAATGCCGGACTCACTTGTTGTATAATATCAAATCCGGTCTCCAGACTCTGTTGTACGGTATCCTGATGACCTTGATTCCTGCGAAGTCAGAGGCGTTCCATCTCAGGTGATGGTCGATCCATATCTGCGTTATCCAGCAATTAGTAGTAAGGATTTGGTTCTTTTCGTCCTTGAATAAACCGAAATTAATTCAGTAATAGTTTAAAGTTTCAAAAAGCTTCGAATTGCTTCAAAACAGCTTCAAGAAAGCTGCGAAAAAGCATCGAAAAACTTTAAATGGCCTCAAAAGACTTTAAAAAGCTTTTCAACTGCTTTATAACGCGTCAAAAGGTTTTATAAAACAGCTTCGAAAGAACTTCAAAAGATCGAGCCTCAAAGGAACTTCAAAAGAGCTACAAAAGAGCTACAAACGAGCTTGAAAATAGCTTAAAAATAGCTTGAATAGAGCTTTAAAAGACCCTGAAAAGACCCTGAAAAGACCCTCAAAGACCCTTGAAAATTGTTTGAAAAGAGTTTAAAAAGAGATTGAAAAGAGCTTCAAAAGAGCTGCTTCATATGCGCTTTAAATGTGCTTCTTATGTGCTTCAAAAAAGCTTCAAAGGAGCATTCAAAGGGCTTCAAACAGTTTCGAAAGAACTTAAGAAGACCTACAAAAGAACTTCAAAAGACCTTCAAAAGACCTTTAAAAGAACTTAAAAAGCATCAAAAGAACTTCAAAAATGCTTCAAAAGACCATCAAAAAAGCTTTAAGCGAGTGTTTAGCAGTTAAACTGCGAGTTTAATAGAATTTTATTAAATTAGATAATGTTAATTACAGTGCTCAAACCGCCGTGAATTTCGAATAGTCATTAATCTAACGGGGAAAAATATAATTAATCTCGCAACATCGGTTCTTGATTTGTCGATTCAATTAGTCGAGTCTTAAGGCTTTTAATTCGCTCTCAGTTTTTGGTCAAAGCTTGTCTGGATAAATTTCACAAGCCGTAAATTTTATTACGTTGAATTGTTGGGAATTAATCGTCGTTTAGGAGGCTAAAAACTAGGATGAAGCGGGAATGGGAAAACCTAAATTAATATTGGCTTCAAAGATGTTTTTGTACCTATATATTTACATTTATGAAACTGAGGAAATTTTTCTTTCGATTTTAAAAATAGTGGTTTTTTTCGGTTGTCTTTCTACGTTATGGTTTGAGATATAAAGGTGAACGCATATGTACGATTTGGACAGTTCAATATCAAAGCTATTTCCAGCCGACGATCCTGAATATTCGACGTTGGGGAGTTGAGGACTCGTCCTGTCGAAGGAAGAAAATTATATTTTAAATAAACTGAAGGGGAAGTTACTTCATATGGAAAGGATTTTTTGCCTATATCGAACGCCTCGGGCACCTAGGATTCATGTACCGGGTCGGCCTGCGGCGATGTGGACATATGAATAGCGCATTTACATTAAACATTTTATGAATAAATTTCATGATTTAATTACAATATTTTATTAGGTAAATCAATGACGATTTTTCAGATGATTTTTAGATGTAAATTTTATAAGAAATTACTAGGTTTTTTAGTTGAAAGATTCTAAGAAACCTAAAAGTTCTAAACAGTCCTGAAAGCGTTCTAAACGGTTCTGAATTTTTCTAGTTTTTGTAGTTTTTGTAGTGTTCCAAATAGTCCTGAACGATTTTGAACAGTTCTAAGTGGTTCTAAGTACGTCTTGAACTGATTTAAATGACTAATTAGTTCTAAAGTGGTTCTAAATGTTTCTGGACAGTTTTTAATTTTTTCAAACCGTTCTAACTGACGCCAGACTGTCCTAAACAATTTGAAATGCTTGCAAGTAGATAGGTACTTTTCGTCCTTGAAAAATTCGAAATTGTTTATAATTGTTTCTAATAAAAGCTTCGAATAATTATGAAAAGAGGTTCGTAGGAGCTTGAAAAGAGCTTGAAGAGAGCTTGAAAAGAGCTTGAAAAGAGCTTGAAAAGAGCTTGAAAAGAGCTTGAAAAGAGCTTGAAAAGAGCTTGAAAAGAGCTTGAAAAACACTTTAAGTAGCTTCAAAGTAGCGTCAAAATAGCGTCAAAATAGCTTCAAAATTGCTTCAAATAGCTTCCAAAGAGCTTCCAAAGAACTTCAAAATAGCTTCAAAAGGATTTCAAAGGGGGTTTCAAAGAGCTTCAAATTTACTACCCATTCAAGACCCGGTATAAAAATATTCAAAACTAACAAAACCAAATTCAGTAAACTCAATAGAACAATAATTCTGTAATTATTAATCAATAATCAATAAATCAGTAAACTCAAGGTAAATTTAACACCATCTTTTTTGTAAAATGATATTTGAAAAATATTCGTTTATTTTTAGATTTCAAAATAAAAGTGTATAGGGAACAAGGGCGATGGATTCTAATATTCCTGTTTATGAAAACTGTGTATGAGTGAAAATAAAAATACGAACTTCAAACGTTATTCTCTAAGCTACTCCTGCACCTGCAGAGATCAACATCGATATGAAAAATAAAAAACGATTTTCTAAAGGAATGAAATTTCTCTTTTTATTTAATTCCTCTTCTGAAAGGTATAAGATTTTTGGATAGAAAATAAAGAGACATTTCAAACGATATAACACAAAACTATATACTTCCCAAAAAAATAGGGGTTGTAACTGTCCTTCGAAGGGGATATGGCTCTTATTTTGACGTTGAGGAATGTCAAATTATAATTAAAATTTAATTTCCACCCTGTATGTAGGTTCTGAGTCACCGAGTTTACGACCACTGGATATTCAAAATTGTGTTTATACTACCTACATATTTCTTCAATCATTTTTAGATATCTATCCAACTTTTCAAATAAACTCTATGACCATTTTCAATACATTAGGTAAAATTGGGAATTTTATTCTTTTTGCGAGATTTTTTTTTCAGATTGATGTATCACTGAATTTGTTGTGTAACTCAATTTAAATTCTACGCTACACGAAAATGTAGCATAATCGGTTTATCACGACAATGTATGCAAAATGTGTACGTTTAAATTACAATGATTAATACTGCAATGGAATTTTAAATTTGTCGGTATTTTTTACACAACGTTTTTTAAACGAAATTTACACTTTATTGATTAAATTTGCATTAAAATGTATTATAATAATAAAAAAAAAAGTTTTTTCTGACGTAGGAAAAACAAAAATTGTGAATGAAATTAACCAATCTGTTTGAATTTAATCTACTGAACAGAATAGCCTGATATGTGCACGAAATATCGAATTTAATTGTACTGATTTTAATCCTTTGAACTTGTGATTGGCATAACCTCAGGCGTTAATCCTTGCTTTTATTCCATTTTCACTTTTTCCCAATAACCACATACCCAATCCAATTCAACGCCAAATGCCAATTAAATCATCAGAATTTATAATCAGAATTACTGCAGAAAGAAATGAAATTTCTACTACAATTTTCCGCCTCGTATATCTCACTTAAAAGACTGATAAGGGGCACTTGCCCAGTTAACTTTAAAAAATTCGAGGACAGTGCCCTAAGTGACACTTAGATCTGAAATAGTGATTTATTCGAAGCAACAGCGGTCTTTATACTGTCTTATAACTGTCCTTTCGGCAGTTTCCTTGGGATTTTACCCGAAACTCGACATTGAAAAAGTTATCTCTATACAGCTATTTAATATTTGTTTAGGCCTCTGAAAACGCTAAATTCTATTCTCTTAGAACATGACAAAGTTGTAGATTAAGACGATTTTCTCGAAACTAATAGATTGAATGATTCAGTTGTAGATGAAGTTGTTGAGCTTAAATTTCCACTCGCAAGTTTACTTAACTTCGTTATCTCAATTAGCCGAATAATATAGAGTTTCATCCCTTAGGGCATACTGCAAGAATTAAAATATCAGTTACATGTGTCTCATTAATTTCGAATATCGGCCAAATTATACACTGTTCGTTAGAACTAGCGAATCAATTTTTAGAAACTCTCGAAAATTGATTAAAGATAATGCAAAAAAGTGAAATTTTCACCAAACATTGCCTCATATTTTGTATTAGCATCTGCCAAATAGCATCATCACCAGTCAGTTGCAAGAGGGCGAACCACCCATTTGAATGAAACTATATCCAAAAAGGATCAAACTCTCTGGTGTCTTAATTTTGTCTTAATATTCAATAAATAGTATCATCCTCCAGTAATGAGACCATGTTCCAAAAATGATCACACTTTCAGGTGCCCTTGGTACCCTTCATGGTGAATCTAGAGAGGTGATATTTTCAGCAGGGATAGTCCATTGTCTTGTCTTTATATTCACCAAATAGCGGTATCTTTACTGAATTTAAAGGGGGTAAACCACCCCTTTGAATGAGACCATATCACAAAAATGAACACACTTTCAGATGCTCTTGGTATCCTTTATGGTGAATCTAGAGAGGTGATATTTTCAACAAGGATAGTCCCATTCCTGTCTTAGTATCCACCAAGTAGCATCGTTTCTACTCAATTTAGAGGGTGCAAACAACCAATTTCAAAAATACCTATTGAATATTTCTACTGAAATACTGATAAATTAATCAACCATAAGACAAAAATATTTGTTCTACTTCTTAGCTGTTATCATAAACATGAAGTTTAGGCGATTAGGTAATCGCAGAAACGTCGTTTAGCAGGAAATTCCGAATAAACCAGCCGAAATTTCCTGTCGATCGAGCGAACAAGGGAAAGGTGTCGCAAATTGCTATTTATATCAGATGCAAACGTTAGCTCGGCAGGCCGTAATGTCACATCAAGCTAAGTAAATCCCGTACTAATTACTCGCAATCGATCGAAAAACACTTTACCTTCCTAATCGATGCAATTAACTCCTGCAAAATTCCCGCTGAAAAACGTATTATCCAATTTATACAGGGCGAGAATGGGGGAAAGTTAGAGGTAAATGAGGCGTTTAAAGAGGGTTTTTTTTACTCTAAAACAAACGCTTACCACGTCGATGATGTGATGAAGGGAAATGCCGAAAATCACGCTGAGCGGCAACGAAGAATTCTGGGCAGGTCGGACGGCCGCATCGTAATCGGCCATGAGATATCGCATCAGTCTCGCCTCATTTTCGTCTCCTCGACAGGGTTTCGGGTCTGAAAAAGCAACAAAAAAATAACGGGCGAATATAACATTAACGAGAATTGCCGTCGGAGGTTTCCCTAAATAAAAATCTGATTTGTATAAGAGGAAAAGCGAATTTGTTGTTTGTTTTCCGCGGAAATGTCAATTATCGGGTGGATTCGAGCGGAAACATGTCTGGTTTTTTGAAATTTGAATGAGCCTACTCAAATTAACTTGGTTTTTGTGTTAAAAATCTTTTATACCAGGTCGGTTCCCATAGGAATAATGCGAGTGCGAGAAAGAAAGTATCTAAACCATTGTAAAATCGTTCAAGAGGGAGGGAGACGACATTATAAATTCATTATTTCAAATTCTTCAAGCTAATTAGAACTCTTCAAAACCAATCCCGAATTATTTAGTGTCATTTTGCACTTATTAGGACTATTTGAAACAGGGCGATCTTCGAACCATTTAGAACTCTCCAAAGTCATTTAGAACAGATAAAGTACTAACGGTCCCAGAATAAATTAGAAAATTATTATTATTCACTTTTGGGTGCTTCATTTAATACTGACGTTTAAAACCTTTAAAAACTGTTCAAAATCGTTTATAACAAGTACAATACTAACGGTACAGGATAAAAGACAAGAGTAATAAATAATCTTGGAAGCTCTCTTTAAAACTGATGTTCATTTTAGAACTGTTCAAAATTGTTTAGAACAAGTACATTACTAACGGTTCAGGATAAATTAGAAATATACAGAACAATTTGGGAAGCTTTATTTAATGTTGTTCAAACTCATTTAAAACTGTCCAAAATCGTTTAGAACAAGTACAGGAATAAATACAAGAATAATGAATAATCTTGGAAGTTTTTTTTTAAACGGATGTTTTATGTCATTTTAGAACTGCCCAAAATCGTTTAGAACAGATATTGTACTAACGGTTCAGGATAACTTACTTTAGAAAAGTACTTTAGAAAAGTAGATAACAATTTTGGATGGTTTATTTACTGACGTTCAAAACGATTTAGAACTCTCTCAAATCGTTTAGAACAAATACGGTACTAACGGTTCATAAATTAGAAAAGTTTAGAACCATTCAGAATGTCTTAGAACTTAGGCTAGTTAGAACGTGTTTTAGAACTTTTAAAATACCATTTAGAATTTTTCATTCGTAAAATCTACTAATTTAGTAACGATTAACTTGTAAAATCTTATAATGTAAATAGTGCCAATATATTTCCACATCATCGCACCGGGTATAAAAACCTCTTCCATCCGATTCCTTTACAACTTCCTGCTAATGTAAGCTTCATTAGAACAAGCATAAAGCTCAGCATTTCCAATACTATTATTTTACTAGCCCAAAAAAGCTCCTCACAATCAGTCCAAATGAACAAATTACCACATTTTCAACGCTTCAGGCGCAATCTAAGCAGAATCACGGGAATTAAACTGACGTAAATGTCGCGAAACTTTATGCAAACGAGCCCTGGTCAACTTTATTACGTAGAAAAAAAAACAACAAAAGGACTTTATGCAAATTGAAAATAGGAGGAAATGCAAGGACAGTGCTAGGACATCACACTCACGCATGACAAAAGATTATTTCCAAAAATATAAAAGGTTTTATTTTATGATAATTTGAGTGAATACCAGAGGTCCTTTAAGGACCTTTAAGGATTATTTATGGACTATTTAAGGATTATTTAAGCTACTTTAGGGTTTATTTAAGGATTGTTGAGCTCCTGTAAGGTCTATTTAAGGTCCTTTAAAAAGGACTTCATTCTTTGTGTCGTTCTCTTGACCACACTGTACTTAGTATTAGGCAAATTTCCATTAAATAAACTATGAAATAAAATGATTACTTTTCAATGTGCTACAATTATAGCGGGGAGTTCTTGTTAATCCTGCGGGTTTAAAGGGTCCCATTTATTTTTAATCCCGCAAGAGTTTCGGCCGAATAGAAACACACGCATTAAATCAGCCTTGTGGATGAGCGAAATGGATTTTTAGCGCTACGGTTTTATCAAAATCTTAACAACCGGCTCGAACAATCCTGACGGGGATGTGTAAACAATGCCGGCCGAATTGTAACAGTTTCTGATTATCGTAATCCTCGCAAATCTGGTTAGATTGCACGGAGTTTAGACCTGTCCCGAGCATGCTGCTTATTGATGTCGAGGTGTTTGCTATTTATCTACAAATGTGGAGAGTATTTGTATTGTTATACTCACACTGCTTATCTGCGAGGGGATGTAAAGAGAACTTAATAAGTTTTGGATAATGCGATGGAACTAAAAATAATTCCGGGAATCTTTTGTGCTTGAAACTTTAAAGTCTAGCGGAAGTAATATATTAATAAAATGTTTTTCCGGATAATAGCGTTAGAGCGTGAACCCATCGGAGTGTATGATTACATTAAAATTAAATTTAATAATATTTCGGATTTATTCTTACTGGAATGGTCCGGTATTTTTAATTGGATAATTCATTATTGTGCTAGACTCTTTCTATACATACTCGAAAAATAGACGAATTTATACAATATGAAACCGTAGAAAATTCATAAGTTCGCTACGTTCTTCGAGTCCGTTGCGGATATTAGATAGAAAAAATAAATACACCGAATTTATACAGGGTCGGCCTGCAGCGATATGAACCCAATCATATTGTTATACTAAATAGATTATACATGTTTGTAAGTTTTATAATTTTGTCAAAATATTTTACTAATTAAATCGGTGACTTTTTTAGATTATTGTACAACTAAATTTGACGATTTTATTAAAATATTTCATAATATTTGTGGATTTTTAGGAACATTTTATGAAGTTAGTCGTTTTTTGGCATGATTCTATAAGAAACTAAATTCAAATTTGTTCTATAGGAAAGTTCTGAATGGTTCAAAGATGATCCTGAATATTATTTCCAATAGTCGTATAAAAAGTTCTACAAAGGTTCTATTTGAATCTGGATTAGTTTTCAGTAGAAATTAATGATCTAAAGATGTTCTGAACAATAAGTAACAAGTACATGTTCAGTCATTATACTAATTTAATTGATTGTAAGTACATTTTTACATATAAATTTGACTATTTTTACGAATATTTCATTTTAAGTTAATCGATTTTTCACATGATTTTATAAGAAACTAAATTCAAATTGTCCTAGTCAGTTCTAAATGATTCTGAAAAGTTCTAATTTTGTTAATCGATTATGCAGATAAAAAATAATTATTAGTCTTCCAGTTAAAAGTTCTAAAAAATCTGACTTGCCCCAAAAGTGTTCTAAATGATTCGGAACTTTTCTAGTTTATTGTGAACCGTTCCAAATAATCCTGAATATGTTTAAAATATTGTGGACAATTCTAAATAGTTCTAAGACCATTATGGATTAATTTAATTGGTACTGACCACCAGTTCTAAAAATTATTCTAAATGATTCTTGACAGTTCTAAATAGTTTTAAGACCATTTTGAAGTGTTTCAAGTGGTACTGGTCAGTTCTAGAATTATTCTAAATTATTCTTGAGAGTTCTAAATAGTTCTACTAACTAATAACTAACTAATAACTGGCCAGTTCTAAAGTTATAAACGATTCTTGGCAGTTTTAAATGGTTCGTTCTGAACTGTTTCAATTGGTACTGCTCAGTTCTAAAATAATTCTAGACGATTCTGGACAGCTCTCAACATTTTAAGGATCGTTCTCAACTGTTTCAAGTGGATTGTGAATTTCTCAAGTGTATTCTGAACCGTTCCAAAATAGCCCTGAATCTATTCTAAATGATTTAATGACAGTTCTAAATAGTTCAAAGACTGTCCTGAACTATTTCAAACGGTCCTAGAAAGTTCAAAAATAGCTCTATAACAAGTACATTTGTTATTTATAATACCATCTCTCTTCCTCTCTCACTCTATTACAAATTTCAGATACACTCTCTTACTTCTCTCTTGTTTTATGTATAAATTCATATTGCTGCAGGCCGACCCGGTATATTGGTTTCTGATGTTAACCGGACATTGATATATCGGACGTGAAGTGAGAAAGTAATAAAAAATTAATCCGACTTTAATACTCTGCACAAAGGCGCCTGTAAGATAGAACGAACACCAGCAAATCTCTTTAATTTTATAATAAATTCTGTAACGAAAAGAAGTGCACACTGATCCACTTCCACAAGATATCGAATTAAATAAAATTGGCAGGATCATATCAAGAAGGATAGGGGGAAAATAAAACTTAAATAAAAGCTATATTGGCTGTTAAGAGGAACCTTATTCCGTTTACGATCGACAACAAGGGTGTTGCTAGAGTTTCCCCATTTCCCTTATAGAGCTATCACAGTAATCCTAATAACTATTGATCCTAAATGGGACACACTGTATAATTTTTTTATTAAAGCATCACCTACTCCTACAACATTGTTATTGAAATCCCAAAGCAGGGTGATGATAGAAGGTTATCATCTTAACCATATCATTTTCCAGTTACTTCTTCTGTGTAATTTAAATAAGGAGACCGGGAAAATCTCTTAAACTCCTTGTCGTTGTTTTTCGGTAATTGGGAGGGCTCGGAATAATCCTAAATGAGATCGTTAAACATGAATTTCCCGAAAAAAAAACGCGATATTTTAGTCTGTTTCAGTTGCCTTTGAGCAGTAAAATACAGGTTAATTAACTTAAATTACAAACGCACTAATTTTTGAAGCGTTTTGAAGAAAAATAGATGTTTAATACAATTTTTTTGATACTAATTTCCCAAAAAAGCCACTTCTGGATGATTAGCGTGCCCTTGAAAAGTCGGATAATAATGAGGCTTTCCAAGTTTAAACTTCGCAAGAGGTTTTAGAGGAAAGAAATACGTCAGGTCGGATTTTTAAGCTATATCCTAGAAATTTTTAAATTGATTAGTCGAGTAGAAAGACACGCAGTCGAGTCTATAAAAAACTCACTTCTCGAATGCTTTGTAACTTCGGTTTAATTAATTTTAGCAAAAACTTTGATTGGATTTTTTTTCTAATCCGGCATTAGCGAAAAGTAATTGAGCGAATG